TTAGCAACCGGTGCCCTTTCGGTAGCGTTCTGTTCTTTGGTTGAGAGTCATTATAGTGATCATGCGCTTGATCTCTAAAAGGCTTTTGATACTAAGAACTTGCGAAATTACTTTACGTCTTAGGAGGATAAGGCTCGTAGATAATTGTCTATAAAGGTTCTTCCTATCGTTTTTCCTAATACTCTGTGTCGAATCGGTCATAGGGAGGCAGGGTTCCTTTCATGGAATACTGCGATCAAGGCCTTTTTCTATAATATTTCTCAAGAATTTGTTCTGCCTGATGGGGCTCTAGTTCCTCTAGTAAATGTTGAGATAGCAATTTTGAACATGGCCATAAAATATACTAATTCGATCTGATTCATTATCGCCATCCCCCCTCTAACAAGGGCGTCTCGACCGGAATTCGGGTTCCAATCGGTTCATCGTTTTTTGTTTTTTCGGAAGTTTTTGATAAGCTTGTCTATGTTTAAATCGTCTTGGCTGACCTATTGATTATATTCTGATGGCCAGCCCTTCTATTTGACTAGAAAGTATGTTTCGTTTTTAATAACAGATTCGTCCCGGATTTCTTCAATTTCCCAGTCTTCGTCGTCTTATAGATTTGGTAACATGGTTGATTCGTCACCGTTTCGGGACCTCTAGGGTTCAAGTAGTTGAATTGGGAAGATATTATGAATACGATCGTATTTTATGGGAAGGCTTAGACGATACGCTTAGGTTCCGACTTAGGCAAGAATCTTGAATGGTCTAATGAATTTTGGACCTAGTTTGTTTAATGGTTGGTCGAGGCGTATGTTTTTGGTGGAGAGTTTTACTAGTTCGCTGACCCTGAATTCTATCGGTTTGTGTTGGTTATTGTAGTGTTTCGATATTGATTTATTTGCTTTTTGCTAGCTCTCTACTGTTTTCTGTTATAGTTCGTGGAGTTTTTCTACGCGATCCTGTGCGCTTGGAGCCTCTTTATCTTTTTTATTTAAGCTGTCACGGAATCGGAGTTCTAGGCGGTATCCTAGAAGGCATTCGGATGGAGATAGATTTATTGTCGAATTGATAGCGTTATTATATACGTATTCTACTATCATCAGAAGTTTTGGCTAAACGACCTGTTCGGTTCCGATAAAACATCGGAGGTAATATTCTAGTACTTGATTTGTCTGTTCGGTCTATCTATTGGTTTATGGATGATATATAGTGGATAGACATCGTTTTACTCTCGAATAGTAATAGATTCGGGACCAAAACTTGCTAGTAAAGATGCTTCCTTGGTCGGAAACGATCCCGTCTAGGACTCTAAATCGGAGTTCAACGTGCTCGTAGAGGATTTCGGCGAAGTCTTCCGCTTTTATTGTGCTCGAAACAGGTATAAATAGGCTATATTTCGTGAACCTATCGATAATGACCAGAATCGCATCGATATGTTGGCCCTTCTATATTGTAGGAGGAAGGCCTGTGATGAAGTCTAGCGATATTTCTTTCTAAGGACGAGTTGGTTATGGCAAGGGTTGTAATTTCCTGTATGGTTTGTGCCTTAGGGCCTTAGCTCCCTGATATACTGCGCAAGTCGCTATATATTCGTCTACATCTCGTTGGAGGTTCACCTAGTGGAATTTTCGCCTAATAAGCTCTTTAGTGCGGTTTTGACCAAAATGGCCTGTATATAGATCGTTGTGGTGAAGTTCTATAACATACCTTCGTAAATTTCCTTGCGGAACGAAAATTCGTTCCTTAAACCATAAAAGGTTATTGCTGTCAAGGGTCCAACCGATTTGGCCGGGTTTTCCACTAGAAAGGTTTTCGATACGCTGTCGAGTCTTAGGATCGTCACCCTGGACCTTGGCGATCAGGTTTTCAAACTCAAAGTTTGGGTTTTCGGAGAAAATGTCCTCCTCCCTCGCTGCTGCAACTAAGGCTTGGCGAGGAATGGTTTAGGAGCGACCCAGGTTTTCAAGGATAGCCGGATCTCTAAGATCCGGGTCCTCGTCGAATGGGTCCCGATACCTAGGCGAATCCTGGGTGGATAACACATCATTCGCGGGATCACTCTAGGGAGATTGTTTCCCAGAGTTTTGGTTATAGGAGGCCATATATGGACGAATCCGCTCAGGTTCTCCTTCCCCAATGTTTTGGTTATAGGAGGCCATACATAGACAAATCCGCTTAGGTTCTCCTTCCCCAATGTTTTGGTTACAGGAGGCTATACACGGACGAATCCGCTCAGGTTCTCCTTTCCCAATGTTTTGGTTACAGGAGGCTATATATGGACGAATCCGCTTAGGTTCTCCTTTCCCCGGGTTTATAGCGAGTTAGCCCCGGCAACCATCCGAAACGTAGTCGAATGGCGCACAACTCGACTATAATGAGGCATTCCGCTGTAGAGATTTGCACTCGGTTTTGATTTTTTTCTTCTAAGAGAAGAGTTTTGGTAGCGTTAAGGGTTTCGTCGTGATCAGCGCTTCCGCCCTTGCGATCCTATTTCGAATCGGTCCTAGAACATCAGTGTTTCGAGAGGAACTCTCTTTATTTGGTTTTCGGGATAACCCATCTGCGGGGTTGGTTTTCCCTGACCTATGTTTTATGATAAAATCAAATGGTGTTAGAAAAAGACACCAACGGGCTTATCGACCATTTAATATAGTCTGCTGTATAAAGGATTAGAGGTTGGCGTGATCCGAGAGCACTTCGATAGTGAATCGGCTACCTTCTAAGTAGTGTCGCCAGTTTTTGAAAGATTGGACGATCGTAAATAGCTCCTGATCTGGGGTTGAATAATTCAATTCTGGCCCCGTGAATTTTCTTGACTAAAAGGCCATAGGATGCTAAACATTTTTTAGGTCTGGCTGAGATAGTATCCTAGCTATACCGAGATTTAATATATCGGTTTCTAGCCGAATCGGCCTCGAAGGATCGAAGTATCGGAGCAGAGGTGCGTTTTAGAAAGCTTAGATAAGCTCCCGAAAGGATTAGGTTTATTCTAGATTTAGTTCGACTTTTCTAGGTTTTTTCCTATTCACACTCCCTTTTAGCATATCTGTTAGGGGTAGTGCGATAGAGGAGTAATTTTGAATGAATCTCCTATAGAAGTTACAGAAACCCAGAAATACCTAGACGTCATGAAAACTGGTAGGAATCTCCCACGATTCGATGGCGGACATATGTTTTAGGTCTATTAAGATCCCGTTTTCGTTGATAACAAATCCTAGAAAGTCGACTTTGTTTTAGTAAAAGGTGTATTTCGAGGGTTTTGCGTAGAGTTGAGCCTCGCGTAGGCGCTAAAGGACCTACGAAACGTGCTCGGAATGTTCCTGACGTATTTTCGAAAAGATGAGGATGTTATCGAGGTATATAATATAAATAATATCAAGTAAACCTCTAAATACTATATAAATATAGTTTTGGAACGTTGTAGGTGTATTGGTTAGCCTAAATAGCATGACTAGATACTTAAAGTGTCTATATCTAGTGCGAAATATAGTTTTCTACTTATCCCCCTCTCTGATACGGATCCTATAATAGGCGTCGCGAATATCAATTTTGGAGAAGAATTTGGATCTAGAAAGGCGATCCAGGATCTCCGAAATCAGGGGTAATGGATACCGATTCTTGACCGAAACATGGTTGAGCCCCCGGTAGTCAACACAGAGTCGTAGACCGCCATCCTTCTTTAGCATAAAAAGGATCGGGGCGCCAGCGGGACTTTTTGAAGGTCGCATCCGGCCAGTTCGTAGGCCTTCATCGATCTGTTCCCTGACTATCGCTAATTCAGTTTATGAAAGCGGATATATTGGTCTATAAGATAGGGTTGCGCCGTCGATTAGGTTAATAGCGTGATCAGTATCTTTGAGTGGTGGAAGAGAAGATGCTTTTTCGTGGTCGAAAACGTCACGAAACGACTCGAATTCGGGAGGTAAGGTGTCTTCTCCCTATCTTTTATTATTATCTTCTAGGAGTCAAATGTCCTTGTTTATCCGGACTAGAGCGAAAACTTTCACTTTATTCCGGGTGTGTTTTACAAATTTGTGTAGGGAGTCTATCGAAATGGTTCTGTTTTATACTTAAAACCACCATTTTCTATCCTAGGTAGAAATATAGATTCTTTCGTCTCGGCAGGTTGTTATCGATAAGAGGATTAGGCTTCCTAAGAGATCAGCTTCTCGATCGATACTAACATAGAATCGTTCAAGATTCCTGGTCGTTCCGCGAGAGTTAGTGATAGTCATTAGGACCCTCTATACTCTAAATATTGGGATGTTAAGTTTTCCGACTGCTTAGATGATAGGTGCTGTTATCGGCGCCTGGTTGAGTTTATAATTTTACGCGAATTGGATACTAATAAGATCTACTTCCGCGTAGGTATTAAGGTCCGCGTGCGTTTCGATCTTGTTTTAGAGTCGAATCGGTATGAAAAACTGGTTGGTGGTTTTGACTTATGGTTTGTCGATCGATATTCTTGACTCGATCTTGGTTGCACCCTATACCCTAGTAGTGTTTTTCGGGCACGCGGGGCTTTTATGGTCGGGACTAAAGCAGATTTTATATTCTTTCCGCTTCTTTTCCTTGTTCTAAACAAAAGTCTAGTCATCAGGGACTTATGTCTTTTTTCCAAGGTATCCCTTCGGCTTAGAGTCTTTGTCGTTTCTTTAGGGTTTCGAGTCCGCGTGCTAAGAGAAAGAAGGCTTCTTTGTCGATAAGGTGGAGCTGGTGTAGGTTTTTTGGAAAGGGCTTGAATTTGGTTTTTTGTTTCCGTCCTTTTCGGCTTCTTTACGCTTTTCCCTATTCCTATGTGCGATATTTGAGGCGCGTTTAAGGATTTGCTAATATCGATTTGCCTCCGTAACCATAGCGTCTCGAGTGGTAGGGAGATCGCCTGCTCTCGTAGAGATGATCGCATCTCGGAGTCCTTGGCTAAGTTTTACGAAGAAGAAGAGGGCATAGTCTTCTTCGGGCTGTTTTCCGGCGAATTGTTCCAGGCTTAGAAGGTGTTAATGGAACTCGCTTAGACTTTAGTCTGGTTTCTGACGGGCGGATTCTAGTCGGATTCGGTATTCAATCAGGCCCGTCGCGAGGTTAGCGACCAACTGGTTGGTCCAATCTTTGAAGTAATCCCAAGACTTTTTTGCTTCGTAGGCTTCTTCAGGGTTCAGTTCATCGCAGTAGGTGTACCAGCGTTGACGACATTCTATATTCAGGTGCGCAATCCCAGCGTAAACCTTCCGTTTCGAATTTAGATAGTGTCTAGGGTTCGCTTTAAAGGATTGTTCGAGATCACGAATCCATTCTAACCGTTATTGAAGACTGAAATCAAGGGTAAAATTATCGATATCTTTAAACTTGATCTCGCGGAGTCCCTTTGGTTCTCGCTCTAAATCTGATCCTGATTGGGACGAGGGTCGGTCGGCGGCCTTCCAGCGGCGCTTCGATAGGGTTTCGTATTCTTCGAGTTGTTGTTCGTACTCTCTGATACGCTTCTGGAGCATATACTTCATTTTTGTATAACGGGATATTTTTCGAAGTTCACGGATCTCTTTGTCAGACTCTGATTAGTCTAGAGAATTTTCTGAACCTGATACTGGCTCGGGATCGGGGGCGGTTGGTAGTGGATTCGCTCCCGATTAGGTGAAGGTTGCACTGATAGCAGGCTCAACCATGGTAGCGGGGACCGATGGGGAGTCTCGTGTGCTAGTACTATGTTTTCGGGTTCGAGGTGCCATAATGTCTTCTTTGATCAATCGAGAGAAGAATCAGAATTGTAAGGGTTACTGGATTTTACAGAGAAGACAAGGATGGGAACAAGAACTCGATAACATTTCAAGACTGATTCTTGAAAGAATCATAGGGGATCCGGGTACGGATCGGTTAAGTAGTTGTGGGTATTACATAAGGGTCACATGATTTCCAGATTATCAACTCCGTGACATTTTCTGAGCTTTGAAGTGACCATTGGGAGAGAGAATTCTTCAAAAAAATCTTCGATATCTCTATCTGTCTATTCGTGAAACTCTTCTTGCCGAGCTACTATAGATAGTAGAGTGTATATTGGTGTTTTACGATCAGGGCGGGGGACGAATACTCCATGCTGAAGGAGATTCGCCCGTAATGCTGATCGTCTCGAAGGGGAAATTTGTTTAAAATGTTCAGGTTCCCAGTTTTCAAATAATTCGCAGTATACAATCCAGAGATTGTAATCCAGTATCTTGTTGTCGAAAAGCATGTTTTTCTCCACATAGTCGTTCATCTCCTGCTCTTCGGCGGCCCTATAGATTAGAAGGCGTCTAAACAAAAGACGGTGACGACTAGACATGTGCATGGGTTGGGTATGGGTCAAAATTCATACCCATACCCAACCCATCAGGGGTAAGGTAAACCCATACCCATACCCAACCCAACCCACGTGGGTATGGGTTGGGTATGGGTCCCATATGGGTATTTTTTGATGCCTTAATGCCTGACTTTCGCCTCAACCTAAACTAAATTAGGGTAATTAGTGCCTTAGTGCCTAATTTTTGCCTCAATCTAGTACTAACTAGGTGACAAATATCACGTGAAATAAAAGTCTTGGCAAAAAGATGGGTTTATGGGCTGGGTGTGGGTTTTACTTCAAACCCATACCCAACCCATATGGGTTTTGGGTAAAATTTCTGACCCATACCCAGCCCATTGTGGGTTGGGTTGGGTTGGGTATGGGTTTACCCAACCCAATGAACATGTCTAGTGACGACGTCCACTACCGAAGCAGAATTGCTTGGTTTATCGGACGCAGCTAAAACACTGGTATGGTGGAAGAGAGTACTAGTCCATGTTGGACTAGAAATGGAATACGACAATATAACTCTCGACTGCGACAACCAGAGAACAGTTGATCTGCTCACTAAAGAGGGAGCATTTGAGACCAAGCTACGTCACATAGACATACACCGCAGCTGGCTACGCCAGGAGGTGCAGGAAGGACGTATTAAGATCAGATGGGTCCCAACAAAGCTTATGGTGGCAGATGGCTTCACGAAAATCTTGCCAAAACAGAGATTTGACGCCTGGATTCGTCTTCTCAATTTGGAAGATATAAGTGAACTGCTCTAATCTAGGGTCTTACCCCTAGATTCAGAGGATTTAGAGCATCAACTGCCTAAATCAGGATATAGACTGCGTTTTTAGAGGGAATTGAGGCGATTCAACAGCCCAAATCGGCCCTGTGTTTAAGGCCAGTTTACACCTTGGAGGGGTGAAAACTGAAGGGGTGTGTCAAAGGCCCGATTCCATTTACAGTTAGTCTATTTTAGTCAGCATTGGAATCCCACAATGGGATTCCTCCATTCTACAATAGATACACATACACACTTTGGTACGCATACTGCGTTCTCATTTGCCCACTAGAATCCACTATTCCTTGGTAGTCGACCTCCATTTGACAGACCTCGCTCATCACACGCATTAACATTTTCCTCCTTACGACACAAATTTAATCACCTAGCTAAGCGAGACGGCTTTAAGGATATTTTACGTGTATATGGAATCAGGGGAGCTGTTGTAAATAAAGTTGATAGTAAGTGTTGGAACGAATATCAGCTGACATACCAAGATCATGTGATCTTGGCATGGCAGCTACTATATCTTCTTTCATCTAAGCATTTTAGAATGACACTTCACTTTTACCCAATATGCATACACCTATTATATACGTACAGAAACGATAGCTGTCTGCTTCGGTAATAACCTAGTCAACCGACAGTAAGTATTAATGTTGCGACAGCCGAGAAACAAGGCCATCAACAAACGGAAAGTATTTCGGCCGAAAAAGCTTCTGCCAAGACAGTGACTGGAAATAGATTAGTATATCACGGCATCCTTGAACGATATGCATTCATCGCAAGCGACTCCCTTGAGCGATGTGCATTCGCGACAGTAATATCCCGTCTTCACCGTCTCTTCTGTCTCAGACGAATGTTGACATTCGTCCAGGGCAGAGGGGCACCCATATACTATAAGTAGCTAATTCTTTCATCAATGAAAAAGCAGACTTCACAACAATCGCAATATTCAGTATCGTAGCATCCACTACACCCGGTGGATTTTCTACGGTGTTGAGTAGCGGTTTGTTGGAGCCACAACGTTTACTATTCTCAGTACAATATTCGAATATCGCCCTTTCGAGCGACAATTAACTCAATGATCAAATAATAAAAATTACTCATAACTTTTAGCTAAGGCATCCGAGGCCGCTCGAGGTCAGGTAATGGATCATGATAATCATGAAACCCACCTAAGATATCAGGCTCCCTTGAAAGCTCTAGATGTGCAGGCCATGTACTATGATCTAGAGCCTAACTATGAGGAGCGAGATATGGAGCAGAGTATGGCGCATCACAGAGACTTATATGTCCCGCTCCAGCTTAGCGCTATTGCCATTGCAGAATTCGAAAAGCAAGATGATATCATCCGAGTAAATCAAAGAATCGGTACTTTAACTCAAATGATTGCAGGCATGCCTGAAGCCTACAAGGAATTAGCTCAGAAACGCTCTCAACTTCATAATAAGAAGGCAAGGGCTGCACGTTCCGACCATGCTGCCTAGAGCGTTCCCCATTTCAGTATATAAGAAACCACTCCTTAGCGCACGTCCTATTATCTTGTAGCCTAGTGCTTAGATAGGTGTGTAGGCTATAGATACCAATGTGTAGCTACTAGGGCAGACTTACCTACTCCCCTACTCCTTGCTAGAGCCGTCGGTGCAGAACTAGGTTACTATATCTAGCTTATATAAGCGCCATACTCGTCTATGAGTATGATCTTTTCAGAGCTAGTTAGATTTCCTCCGCTACTTAAAAGACCTATGGCAACGGCATCATCACCAAGGAGCGCGGCCAATGCTATATAGGTGGACGTGTCTAAGTTAAGGGACCAAATCATCAGACCGGAGATATAGTAACCATTTAGGTACTTCAGCTTAGTCTGCCACGATATAGTATTATTATAGGAGATCGGCTCTCTGCGCCCCGTATACCCACTGTCGCCTTATCGTCTCATCCCAAAGTCGATCCCATACCCGGATTATGCCCACGATGGTATTCCCCGCTCTGAGCAAAAGCTGTTCGGTCAACACAGGATCAAGATCTTGAATAAGGCAGAGCAAGAGGGCATGCGCGTGGTATGCCGCCTTGCTCGTGAGGTTTTGGATATTGCTGGAGCTGCAGTGAAACCCGGTGTGACCACCGATTATATCGATCAGTTGGTCCACCAGGCTTGTGTTGAGCGCGACGTGAGTTTAACCATGGAATGAATTCATCTCAACTTCTATGTACTGACTTGAGCTACTTCAGTCTTATCCCTCCCAGCTCAACTATGTGCACTTCTCTAAGTCTGTATGCACTTCCGTCAACGAGGCCATCTGCCACGGTATTCCCGACCAACGGCCCCTCGAGGATGGCGATATCATCAACATTGATGTGACCTCATACCGCAAAGGATTCCACGGCGATATTAACGAGACCTACTATTGTGGTGAGAAGGCCATTGCAAACGCAGATGCTGTGCGAGTCGTCGAGACCGCACGCGATTGTCTGGACCAATCGATTGCACTTGTTAAACCTGGCATGCTTTTCCGCAAACCCGGCACAGTGATCGAGAAACTTGCCAAGTCCCGTCAATGTAGTGTTCTAAAGAGCTACTGTGGTCACGGTATTAACCAACTTCCACTGCGCCCCCCCCCCCCCCAACATCCCTCACTATGCCAAGAACAAGGCTGTCGGTACCGCTAAGCCCGGCATGTGCTTTACCATCGAGCCCATGATCAACATTGGCACATATCAGGACCGTACATGGCCTGACGACTACTGCTGATGGATCTCTTTCTGCTTAGTTTGAGTACACTCTTCTTGTCACCGAGGATGGAGTGGAGGTACTGACAGCTCGTCTGCCAACATCCCCTGGTGGTCCCGTTCCTATGCATGTCACAGAAGCAACCGAGATTGAAAAATAAACCTGTATAAAGCATGTACAAACTTCACTGCTGTTTAGATTTATAATACCCTGGGCACAATTTAACATTCAATGCTTCTGACATTGCATAAATATATTTTAGTACTTATCAACACATTATTTGAGAGATGAAGCACATCGCTTCTACGAATCAATAACATCTCAGCCCATCCTGACCATTCCAAACACCAGGGCTCTCTATAGAGACAACATCGTCACGACTCCAAGCCATTTTCATAATCTTGGCTTTCACCACCTCTGCAACTGTGTTGACTCTCCGCCAACTTGGATTCACCGATATCAAGTATGCCACAACTCCAGAAACAATGGGTGTAGAAAAAGAGGTTCCTTCTCTTTGAGTCATTCCATACTTCTTTTCTTCGTCGGTTGATGATCTGGTACTGCCCTGGGCACAGTCGAGACCTTCATCTATTGAGAGTTCCCCAGGTGCATAAACCGATATAAGATCCCCAGACCTAGAAAAAGATGATACGAAACCGTAGACATCAATTGATCCAACGACAATCATATTGGGGAAATATTTCACCAAAACAGCCGGATACTGTGTCACTTCTGAACTTCCAGATCCCACTTTCCAATTTCCGGCGGTTGCTACCACGATAGCAATCTCATATATCTCTCTATAGAGCCGGTAGAAGTCCTGCTTCAGCTGTGCAGAAATGGTATCCCTAAGTACATAACTGAAATTCACAATTGCTATGAAGTTAGGGTCTTTCTCTCTCTCCTTTTCGATATCCTTGATGATAGTTCTCAGTCCAGCTTTCATCCAAAAATCAGAATCTATATCGATGGTAGGAACCATTTTGAGGCTTGCACCCTTTGCAACGCCCCATTTGTGACCCACGACTTTATCCGCAACACAAGTGCCATGTCCGATAGGATCGAATACTGGCCTTGGGTCCCAGTTTCCCTCAGGAACAGACTGAGTGTCAAACTCGGGGTATAGCCATTCAATAGTACCTTTCTTCACACCCTTGGGTGGTGGTGATGTAAACTCGGAATGGTCGAGATTGATGCCGCTATCGTGGACATATACAGTTACTTTTGAGCCGGCACCGCTCAGAAAGGCATAGTCTGCATTTTCATAATATTCATTTGTTGGGTCTACTCCCTTTGGCATTGCAAGGAACTTCAGGTCATAGCCTGCGTCTGGCTGGAGGATGAGCTGAAATGAGTCTCGCTCAGATCCACAGACATATTCAAACTCTGAAGAGGAGCCAACATGTCCGGTAGACTGTACTATGGCTGTAAATATTTGAAGTAGAGATATCATTGTCAAAAGAGATGAGAACCACAGAAGCATCTATAGACAGTGTAAGCAAGAGCCAACACTCATGAAGCAATTCATACCTTTAACACTGAGCACTCGGTAATATTTTATCTGGCTTGACTGTTAGAGCTTTGAAACTTCAAAATTCGCCCGGGCGAATCCTATCCAGGTATTAATCATCAATGATACTAGTTGGCCGGAAATTTAGATGCTGTTATGGAAAGGAAGTTGAAGGAAGGACCTTTGACCGTGCCAAGACCGCCCCCATCCCACGATTCCAAGACTCTGAAAGCTTAAAATATCTTGAAGATTTATGTGGTCGACGTGAACACAGTCCCGGAGTACTCTTAGCTCTTTGTATTCTAAACAGCGTCTTCTTTTGTGTCATAAGAAGTGAGCATAAATTCTAAAGAGCAATGTTTTCTAGATATGATTTACATAATATTAGCCCATGATTCCGTCCAGGATCCGGCATGTTAAGTGGAAGGATCAAATTGCCCGAATCACGCAATGCAGATCTAGTTTTGGAAATCGATCTAGAGTTCGACCCATAAGGTTGATCAGTCTTCAGACCAATAACAGACTTTGATAATTGGAAGATACATCTCTCTGTCAAAACTCAAATAATTCAAGAATATCCAATGAGAAAAGAAATCTCAGAAAACTCATGCTTCCGCGCCAATATGTGCAAGTATAGCAGGACTGAGGATGATGTCTTGCTCGATACCTCGGGGTGGTCTATGTAAGATAGAATCGAAAGGAATACTCAATGGTCCACCTTTAATTTGGCCGTCCAGGTACTGAGCCCTTTGCGTACATTCAAGAACCTGCTGTGGACTGGATTTGGTGGATGGACCAAGTGAAGGATTGGATACCTCGTACCAGACCTCGAAAGCCACATGGAGGACAGGACTGTATGATACGCTGATCAACACAACCGCCTTGGTATTAACATTACTATACCACCAAGCGGCACCATTTCTGAGACTGGCATAAGACTTCGAGAAGCCGACTTCAAGGACAAGAGAGGGATTGGTGGTATTCTTGGGAGCTATGCCCCAGGCCGGCTCTTTACATGATGAATCTCCATAGATTCTGGCTGAATCAATTGCTTCGAACTCTCCATTCCACGAAGCAAAACCCATAGCGCGCAGTTTTGTCTTGATTTCCTCGGCAAAACTCTCAATGATTGAATTGTAGTCGTGTCCTGGTGAGATTTTCAGTACCATCTCCGCCTGCTCGTGTGCAATATGTGCTTGGGCACCTTGGAAGAGGCCAATGTCATTTTTAGTCTGGCTAAGGAGTGACGGTGGTATATTTGAAGCGTGAATGAACTGCGGGGATTGCGGCTGACCAGATTCAAATTGGTTTTGTAGAGTACTGATAGCTTGGAAGATGTCTTTGAGGGATGAGAGATGAATTTTATTCGCTTCTGGAGGTACATTAAGGTCGCTCGGAGGACTTTCCCGGAGCCGATCAAACGGAGTCAAGTTTGAACGTATGTCTGGGGCAGAAGATTTAGAAGAGACACCAATGTCACCGACTGTAAAGTCCTTCATAACGAGCCTTTGCGAAGGGGAGTAAGGTCTTAGTCTCGAGATAAATCAATTTTATACGCAAAGCCTACTTAAGTATAATATGCAAGGAAATCTTGGACCTTCAGTTGTTAATAATTACGTCGGAAATAGGTCACTTGTGATACTGAAAGAAGTATTTTATAGGTGTGGAGATTTGATTCCATGGTTACACCGATTGAACTGTTGTCAATCTGATATCATATTACGATAATTGACCTTACGCTTCACCCCAAATTTCATCTGCAATTTGACGGACTAAACACAGCTTATTTCTCTCGTCATCGAATGAGAGAGGGTACCCGGACTCGTGGGTATTGAAGCCACACTGCGGGCTAATACAGACACATTTCAGTGCCTCCTCTCGGGTCTCGCCACTACCGGAAGCAATGAAGTCAGCAGCGCTGTAGATACGCTCCTTCATAGCCTCCTTACCCTCGAGCTCGCTGATCTTGGTGCTGATGATTCCCACAACAAAATTCTTGTTCTTGGGGAGGTACTTGAGAGGCTCAAATCCACCAGCGCGCTCGGTATCGTACTCGAGATAGAATTTGTTGACGTTAAGATTTTCAAATAGCTTCTGGGCAATGACGTCGTAAGAGCCCTCGGCGAATTGACGGCCACCAATGAAGTTACCACGGCAAAGATGAATGCCGGGGTGCATATCAGTAGGGATTTTGGCGATACAGTCATTATACAGATCAACTTAAGTCTTGAATAGATCATCTACTTTGCCGATATTGTCTTTATTCTCCTCCCAGCCCTTACGGAAGGCACTAGAGCAGAAATAGGCCATTCGAGGATCGTCAAACTGCACGTTGCGTAGTCCGGCCTTGTAAAGAGCATCCAATTCGGCTTGGTACACCTTGGCCACATCTTGGAAGTATTCGGCATCATTTGCGTACGCTTCAGAAGTATAGGTCTTGCCCTGCTTATACCGCATGTGGAACCAGGCAGGTGTGATCATTGTCAACTTGATGTTGCTCCATTCACTCTCAGGGAGAGCCTGCTGCACCAGACGCAGCTCATGAAGATTGGATAGTGACCTGCTTGGGTTCCAGGAGAGCTTGGAGCCGGCGATCACCGAGTCTCCAGGCATAACCTTTCGATCCTGCTCGATCAGACCCACAACGTCAGGGTGATATAGGCGGAACATGGATGCCTCTGCATCTTGCAGACGAATGGTACCTGAAATACAGAGTCAAAATCAATAAAGTAATACCGTATTAAATGGAGGCATACCTTCGAACTTGTCCCACATAAGACCCCAGAAACGAGTACGATTGAATTCACCAGAAGTCACGGCTTTAAACCCGGCCTCCTGCTGCATCCGCACGACATTGGCGATGGATTTCTTCTCTACGGCTGCGAGACTAGGTTGCTCTCCAGGTACGCTCATGTCAGAGGCCATAGCACGTACATTGAGGAGGTCTTCTGGGCGGAGGAGTGAGCTCATAAGCTCAGCCCGAAATAAGGGCGCACTGTGAAGCTGGCTTGTCATTCTGTATGATTTTTACTGAATCTCGGGAGAACTGGAAATGGGATTGTTTGTACTATTAAGCTGATGACATCAGTTGTTCAAGGAAGAGAACTTATAGCCTTGGAAATGCATACAAACGCTGTGGGGGGGATCACAATTTGCTGGGGCTTCGGATGGGGCAAGCCCTGGGGCCCTCGGGAATACAGAAGCTACTAAGGCTAATCCTCAGTAAATATAATCTCGTTACTAATTTATGATGCATGATTTATGGATTCTTGGTCCAAACGTTGAAGAGTAAAACTTGAGCTAGTAGATCTATATACAACTGCTATTTAGATCTTCAAATATTTACGTAGTTGATAGCTGTTGGAATATGGAACAAAGCAGTCATGTGATCAAATTGTTACTTTATAATAGATAGCAAACTAAGAATGAAAACCAGACTTTACAACCACTTCAAGAGGACACAAAGATATCATAGGGGCGTAAAGCGTTACCTGTGATAGGTGTCAGAAGTGGGCGTTAGCCTCATCACCTTTATCGAATAGCTATTCCACACTTGGTACAGGTGTACCGACAATAGCTTTTGTGGGGCTTTTATAGACCAAGAAGCAGGATTGAATACGAAACATTATATCAATTCTATGCCCTAGCCTTGGACGAATCGGAAGTTATTGACAACTAGGTAATCCATTTCAATTTTCATACAGAGATAATGATAATGCTTTTTGTTAATGTTGAATAGGCTTCCTATTGAGACCCACATTCAGAAGGCCCACTTTTGATCTGCCAGTAACTATATGCACTGTTGTATGTTTTTTTCTTTTTTTTTTTCAAATGCTTTGAGAATCTTGTCACGGTAGTATATGACTTCCCTAGGTCTACGAAAGCGTCGGTCTTACTTTCATCTAAAGTAGATGCATATCTGAATATCACTTTAATTAATAGCTATGCACAGCGAGCCTTCACACTTGGATACAAAAAAGAATAAAAAAAAGCAAAAAGAAACAAAAAAGAGAATTGGCCGCAGGGGACTAGCAATTCCAGTTTTTAAGAAAATCTTGTACCTGCGAGTTTGTGTCGGGAGCGACACTCGCTCGTTAAACACAGTAAGTATGCTTGTACGTACGTGTTGCTGGAGTTGTAAAGTGTGCTTTATTCCCGTCTATCTACTCCCAAACTAAAAGAGACTCCGCTGCCCTGCTTGGGGCTGGTTGGTCCAATTAGGAGTGATGATATCCGTCCAATCAGAACGGATACCTCAACCCCCATTGTATCAACAGTTTGAGAACGCAATAGCCTGCTCTTGTCTCGCCTTTCAAGGCCGATCGAACAAAGCTTCGAAATCTAACCTTAACTGCCCCGATACTGCGAGCCGGATGCCTTTACCGCCTGGACGCCAGGCGTAGATTTTTTGTAGACAGATTGGCTGTTATAGATAAGGGGTGTCATAGTCATCGGAAGGAGCGTATTCGTGCGCCTTAAATTACCTATATATCCTAAGGAGAGGGGAGAAGGTGAATTCGGGGTGAAAGTCGCCAGAGAAAAAAAGCTAACTTTTGAAGTGGTAATGTTGATCAAAAGAACAAAATGTGTCTCACCCCCAGAATTATTGAACCACCATAATACGTCCCTCTCAAGCTGAAGTAGACCCTCCGACATACCAGTTTCGACGATAAACGTTGGCCATCTAGAGTCGTCCATATTGACTACCCTGCGAGATAGGGGCATAAATCTATTACCAGGTTGTTTGCCCTTATTTAGAGTTGATTTATACGTTGCCGTACCAATCCAGTCATATTCTCTAGGGTGCAGGCCAACGGTATATGTAATTTGACTGCACGTGCGAGTCGTCGCCAGCTCATGTGAAAAGCCAGGGATCATCAAAAGAGAGATTTTATTTTCGAAGGGCGACATTCAGTCGTCTCTCTTTACACACATCAGGTCGACCAGACCTTTCCATTTGTGCAAGTCGAGAATCTCAGGGATTCGTTGGTCATCCATAGTGGACGACAGAATGCAAGATCAATTATGATGCGATAATTGGGTACATGCAGAAGGAAGAAGGAAAGTGTTCTTCACTCATCGATGAAGATGTCTTGTCGCTTTTCGTACTCATAGATGAGTTCTTCTGCACCGACTGCATCTTGCTCTCGTACCCATTCGTCATGCGTTGATGGAAGGCCTTTCCAGCGGACCAGGTATTCGGTGCATAACTTTTGTTTCAGCCAATAGGGCGTATCCGTTTGCTTAGGATCGCCGCGACATCGTAGCGGTCTGTGTCCTCTGGGTATCTATCGTCCGTCGCGGCTGAGATGATTTCCGGCGGCGTGTCTGTGGCCGGCTCAAGATGTTCAACGGAAATGACCGGGTGGATTTACCCACATCTCTGCCAGCTCTGGAGTACTTCCGCCCCATTCAAACTTGTATGAAACACCGAGAAATCGTGGCTCTTCATCAAGTCGCTGAATGATTCGTGATGTGAGTCCAAGTACCTGAAACCAGCTACTCAGCATGCATTCGCTTAGCTGAAACCACTTTATCGCCCGTTTAATGAGACAGATGTTTATCGTGGAACTGGACTTTCTCGTCGATTGCTAACTGGGCCTCATCTTCTGACATCGAATGACCAAGACCAGTAGTCCGCTTAGACATCAAATGCCCGAGCAGCATCTTCCTCGAACGAAAAATGATGTTCGCGGAATAGCAGCCTTCGATAGAGCAGCCCTGCTGAGTCCAGAGCTTAGGTTTGACCGCGATATGCTTTTGCTCTCTTCCTTTACGATCTTCATGGAACTCAGCCCTCTCATTGCAGAGTAAATTTGCTGCTTCAGGGAGGAAGAGAGGAGTTTGAGAGAAGAAGGAAGTTATGGTGTCATTTCTGGGTATAAAAGTGCCAAGAAGGCTGTATTCCATTCAATTTGAAGAGTGAGAGTGAAATTGAAGGGTCAATTAGAAGTGAAGGTAAGAGTGAAAGTAGAAAGTAATAACAACTCATTATTGAATGTAATAGCTGAGATAATCGAGACGAGTATAGCTTAGCGTATCACCTGGTAGACAGGACATGATTCTTGCACTGGTTGTATTCGGAGAAATGGTTGACGCCATGGTTAATGGCAAGGAAGATTTCGGGAACTGAGGAAGAGGAAAATAGTAGTCATGCATTAGCCTAGTATCACCTCAATCTCACCTTGGCTCACCAGATGCTCACTCTAATTATTGTGTACTCACCTCACTCATTATTTACCTCACTTGTTCGATTATCATAATCTCATGTTTAGACGGTTATAGCACATACGACCACAGGGTGTGGAAAGCAGGGCTTCCCGTCCGCTCAGCCGTACTTAAGCCACACGCCGGTCAGTTAGTAGTATGGTGGGTGACCACATGCGAATCCTGACTGTTGTATGTTTTTGTTTTGTATGCAACTTTGGGACTAAGGCTTATATCCCCGTTATATGATCATCTCCATATCAGTCTAATATTAGCCGGCCCTACGGGCTAACCGGCCACCCCAGAACACCATAGTAAACTCGAATAGCATATCCCAACAACCACCAGTTGAAATAATTTTAAATCTTGAATTTGGATTATTTCTAGGTTAAGAGTTCTATACAAACCATTTGGAAGTCAGCGATTCAGATGGACGGTTTGTTGATGTGGGGCTAACAGCTTCGCGGGGAAGGTATTACATCTGATAAGCTCCTTCATTATGGTATTGAATGACAAATACACTACGTTCTCTAGGCTTTAAGTTGATCGCGATTTCAGCTCATGGTACAATGATCGATAATGTCATAGATCTTCTTGTTCCTTTTTTTCAAAATATCTGAACGTCTACCTACTCCTTTCAATGTAAAGTGATGAGAGTACCCCCACATACCACCCCGCGCTAGCCCGGAGTATTTCCGGACCCTGCAGGTTAGACCTCGGGAGGCTTGGAACCTATAAATACCTTCGTATCCATATTCGTAGGCTATTTAATTATTTTTTTTTGCTGTACGGCTGTCAGTTCTAAAGCTCCAATTTCATAATGTCCGACCCCAGCTTCGCACGTTCATCAACCGACCATGCACTTGGTGAATTTTTACCAAATGGCAATAAGACTGATACGCCTTTGCCAGCAAATGGACCGACCACCGGCTTTAAGCTGAACCATATGATGATGAGAATCCGCGATCCTGCACGCTCAATGCACTTCTACATTGACCTAATGGGAATGCGAACCGTTTTCACAATGAATGTCGGACCCTTCACAATCTACTACCTAGGCTATCCTAAGACAGCAGAACATCGCGAGAATCCATCAAAGTTTGGGGAAGATACAGTCGCAAGTCTGGCTCATACCCTTGGACTATTAGAGCTCTATCATATACATGGTAGTGAAAATGAGCCTGAGGGTCTATACAGCACTGGGAATCAGCCTCCCAATCTCGGCTTTGGACATCTGGGTTTTACAGTGCCTGATGTCCCTGCGGCTTTGAAGCACCTGCAAAGTAATGGGGTCGAGATTTTGAAAGATCTGGGGGTCGCCACTCGGGAGTCCATTCCTTTAAGTCCATGGGAAGCCCAGCGTGGTCTTGGATTGGGCGATGTACACCCCGAATACCAGAAGGTATTCAAACAGATTGCATTTATCAAAGATCCGGTAAGTCAATCCCTGGAAAGACCTGATCCACACACAATTTCTCATGCTAATCCGATATATTAAGGATGGATATATCGTGGAGCTTGTACCACAGCAGATGAACCCTCTTGAGCCATGATTCAAAAAACGTCTAATAAACAATACGAGATTCATGTCACCTTCAATGCCTCGTTTTGCCAGTTTTCAGATATCATTGTGTCATATTCAGGCTTATTCCATCGGAAGAAGTAAATAAAAATTGAATACAATCCCAGTGCTGTCAAAGGCCCGATTCCATTTACAGTTAGTCTATTTTTAGTCAGCATTGGAATCCCACCATGGGATTCCCACCATAGCTACACATACACATACGCATACTGCACTCTCATTTGCCCACTAGAATCCACTATTCCTTTGGTAGTCAGACCTCCATTTAACAAGTGCTTTTTGACATGTGTTCCTTACTACTATCATTTTGTTGGTTGGCACCTAACAACCAACTTTGGTCTTTTTGATTTTTCGAGCTAAAAACCACCTCACCTCTGATTAGGTTTCTTTTCTCAGGTGAGAATAATTAGTCCGCAAAATCAGATCAAATCGAATAACGGTTCTAAGCGATGCACGTACGTGCTAAGGTCATCAAGACCACGGCGAGGTCAAGTGATTACCTGCCCGATTAGGAAGATTTCAAAGATCGTTCTCGGTATGTCCATTCCCCAAATCTGCCGCGGTTCTTATCTCGATCGACTTGAGCGGGAGCTGGTGAAGCCCGAATGCACGTGGGAAGTGGACATTGCCTCATAACCGTATATTAGTTTATAGATATGATTAACTAGTAGTACTTTAATTACGTCTAAAAGTGTACGTAGATCTACAAATCGATGTATCTCTAGTCTTCAAGATCACCTGCACGTGTGGGCAGCAAAGCAGGCTAGTATTTTAGCACAAACTACACATCTGGGCCCATGAAGTCAGCTATCTGTTTCAATGATATTGAAACATTGCTGCTTCGATCTTACACCTCGTTCTATCACTTACAAAACATGTCAGTATTGTTACGGTGCTTGAAGATATGGAAAGAATGTATTTTTGTATTTGAAAAATTCAAAAACAAGACAAGGGAAAGGGAAAGAGAAAGCAAAAGAACAGAAGACAGGGGAAATAGTTCTCTCGTCTTCACTCTCGCATTCACCCAAATCTGAATTCTCCATGTCGGCACTCTGCCATCGGAGCTCTAGACCTAAAAGCCGGTAGCACGAGCTGCTAACAAGTAGAAACATTTGAAATGTTCTATCATGTGGTGGGATATGCAGAAAAACCTTGGAATCCGGCAATATGCCATGACCAAAATCCTGATATAATAGTGCCGAAGTACATAAAAGCTTCATAGGAACTCCGTTGGTTGTCCGGGATATGTCCAAGTCACCCGCTTCTTGAGGCCCATACTCATTGTCGCATGAGACAGCACAAGACCTTAATGAGTTGGTACCTGCGAATCTATGTGTTTCTCATGTAAGCTTAGGAGTCAAAAGAGGCCAGCAGCTAATCCCGATGTAAGTTTTGATTGATAGGATATAGGACAATTTGGTAAGTGAGATGCATGTACGCCGTACATAGTTACGGAGCAGGGGACCCGAGAGTTCAGAATCTCACTTTGGGCCCACTTCGGAGCTGACCGTTTATATGGTGGAGTGATAATGCATGAAGTACTCACACAGGAAAATGTATCCTGAGGTCCTTGATATTAATTGGATAAGAATTGATTTATTGACCCGTTCTATATCCAGGTTCTAAAGCGACCTTTGTTTGGGGGGGTAGCTTTGAGCTCTGATTGGACAGGAGCGCTAGATTACTCGGAGTCCGCGGGAGTGGAGATTTGCCTACAGTAAAGATGCTATGAATATTTAAAATGTAACGCTCTATGCATAGCACTCATGTGAGAGGCCTAATAGATACACAAATTGTTAGTCCTACGGTAGAAATCTCCAGTCGTTATATCAAATTCTAGCATCGAAATTAGACGGTGTACGCAGTAACCATTCATCGGCTGAGAAGACTAGTATAAAATTGAGCATGTGGATCCAACCGTGACGTTGGTTATTCCAAAAAAAAAAAAAAAAAAAAAAAATTTACTCTGAGGCTTTTATTACGTAACTTCATTCTATGAAGCTTGAATTCATCAAAAGGAGGAAGCAGGTGTGGAAGGATTTTTCGGCGAATCCCGACATTCATGCAAGTCCTTTGATTACAGAGTCCAAAGTACGCTTTTTTCTTCACAGGGATGGACCCACCCAGCGCCACGATATCCCAGATGCATTCCATCGCCTTGCATTAACATGGATGCCTTGACTAGAATCACCCCGTGTGATATTTGCTTTTTTTGCGTGACTGAAGGATATGAATCTAATTGATGGATTGGGTAAAGGCAACCAGTATCATATCATACGTGAAACCCAATAGTTATTGATCGTACTATGTTACATTGAAGGAGGGGCCGACGGAGATCCGGCGCGTGAACCAGAACTAATGGATGGCGTTGTCGAGTACCCACCTTCATGTATCTTACTGGGGTATCCTTACCCAGGTGGGCATGCGAGCGGAGATACAAGCTTTGACCGATTGACACAAGCTTTAACCGAATACTACGGACTGGTGGGGCCGCATTATTCCCCTGGTTCGATAATCGCGGCCAATGCTAGGTTTGGCCCTGATCCACTATCCCACGATATTCAATTGCGTCTGATAAGTCACTGGAGCGATACTGGATGAACCTTAGCTCAATATTGTGGCGACAGTCCACACATATCATGCAATCCAATTAGAAAACATGGCCTAGGGTTCATATTCGGCCAAATTCATTATCCCCAGCATAGGCCATAATTTATCCTAGGCATATTCTGGTACAGCCGCGTGGTTGACAGCCCAGTTTTTGTTTATAAATCCCCGCCAGAGTGCGCTGTTGATTTCCGATCCAATTTGTCGTCACTGCTCTCTTGATATACGCCAATATGGCAGGACTCGTTTCCGCCGCGAACCTTGGAGGTGTTGCAGACCCTCGCTTAGGGAATGAAGCAGATATCATTGGAACTTCCAAGGAGCATTCTGACGCTCCTCCAATTTACGATGTACATAGTGGCATCCCTCCACCAGTGATTCAAGGTTCAAAGTCGATCTACTTGGACTCTTCTATTACCTTTGAGAATTATCGTTACTGGGCAATTCGCTCCCGCGAAGTTGAGAAGCACATACGTACTGATAACAAGGGCCTTTCAGTGTGGAAGAATAAGTTATTGAGAAGGAAAATCACGGATGGTAATGATGCGCCTACCGCACCATCCACCCCTCCAGGCCAATCCGAGAAGACCAACGCCGACGTCTCATCCGACCCCCCGAACAGTCAGGCATGTGACAACTATGGTGTCAGCGAGCAGGAATGGGAAACAGCCCAGAGAGCTGCCCGTACTGCCACCTGGGGTTCCGTTTTCTACCTGATCACCACCGATATATTGGGTCCCAATAATGTGCCCTATGCAATCAGTCGAATGGGATATGGACCTGGATTTGCACTATATACTGTATTAGGAGGATTCGCTCTCTACTCTGGTATGCAGCTCTGGAACATCTTCGTCGGTCTCGATTCTACTCGCTTCCCCATGCGCAATTACGGTGATATGGCCTTCAGGATTTTCGGGAAGTGGGCTCAGTTCCTTGTCAACATCCTTCAAAGCTTCCAATTCTTCCTCAACGTCACCTTGTTGATCGTCAGTAATGGCCAAGGTTTGGCGCAGATGGTTGCCGGTGTCAACAACACTGGTGGATTCCTCTGCTTCATCGCTGCGGAGGTTATCTTCATGGTTATTGGATTTGTCCTTGGACAGATTCGTACCTTGCAAAATCTGGGCTGGCTGGCGAACTTAGCAATTTGGCTGAACATCATTGTTATCATCACGACCATGGCCGTTGTGTACGAATTTCCTCCCAATTACAGCGCTGTTGAGACCAGTTTCGGCATTACGAAGGGACCTATCGTCACAAGTGCTGGCTGGCCTAGCGGATATAAACTTGAAGACAACGTCAATGCTATGATGAACGCCGTATTTGCATATGGTGGTGCCACTCTATTCACCGAACTCATGGCTGAAATGAGACGTCCTTATGACTTCTGGAAGGCCATGATCTGTGCGGAGATCTTCATCTATGTCTGCTACCTCGTCAACGGAATGGTCGTCTACCATGCTCAAGGACAGTTTGTCTACAACCCTGCATACGAGGGTAAGTTTCCTATACACCCTTGAAATATCTCTCAGACTCTTGACTAACAAATTCCTGTAGGTATTCCTAACACCTCTGCTGCCGCCTACCGTTACCAGACGCTTGGTAACGCTCTTTCCTTCATTACCGGTGTCATTGCCGCCCTGCTGTACGGAAACATTGGTATCAAGGTCTTTTATTCTGCTGTCTGCCATGATATCTTCCATTTCCCCCCTCTCGAAAAGCGCATCGGCAAGTGGATTTGGGTTGTTTTGGTTCCAATCTACTGGATTCTCGCCTGGATTGTCGCCGGCGCTATCCCCCAAATCTCCAATCTATCGTCTTTCGTTGGCGCTGCCTGCATCTTGCAGTTCTCCTATACCTTCCCTCCTATCCTTCTGGTTGGATACCATGTGCAGAGAGATGCCATTCTTCCCGAGGAAGAGTTTGACCCAGTCACTGGTGTGGCTCAGCGAGTTGACAGTGGTTTCAAGCGCTGGGTCCGTGGCTACAAGAAGCGCTTCTTGTGGAATACCTTCGATGTGTTCTACTGTCTTGCCGCACTTTCTCTGGCTGGACTGGGCATCTGGGCCTCGGTCATATCTATGAATACGTCCTTCAACAGCGGTCGTCTGACGTCCTTCACCTGCGCTAACCCTGCTAGCTAAATCAGTCCTTGAAAATTTGTGCAGATCTTTGTTGACGAATCTGCTTTCAATAATTTGCTGGCATTTACTGGGGGGATAGATAGATGGTATTGCTGTGTATACTACATGGTCACGATTTATGTCGCTGGTATTGATAAATTCCCCTTTATGATCTCTAATTTCATTTAAATCTAAGATAACAATGTACACTCGACGGGCTATTCATGTTAAAGGTATGTTTTGTTCTCAACGTTTGATTCCTACCTCTTCACTCATTTGTCCTTCTCCCGAGCGTAAGATCTGAAGTCTCCATACGATATGAATTTATGCAATTGGTTTCGGTAGAGATTGAGATATCAAACGCAAGTGACAAGGAAGTCAATGTCACAATCAATATTATCGATTTCGTATAATCTTTACAATAAGGAGTCATGTAAAGTCGTCGGTAGATCGATAAGAAAGTCCAACCATAGACTATGTCGAATGACAAATCTAGATCGTCATAAAAAACTGACATTCCATGAACAGCAGACGTAAGGATCTGGCAAAGTCTAACAAAGGATCGACCGCTAAAAAGCTTGTCACCGTATGACGCGTATCAAGTGACCCCATTCTGTAATTTTCTTCAATATGACATATTATGTAAGAACTTGCTTCCACAGTATTATTATGAGGATTCAATCTAGTTATAGCTATCATCTTGCCTTTGGACAGCTTTAAATCGCATACTTCAAATTTGCCAAAGCGTAGTTGTATTACTTGATAATGATAGTCGGAGTTGTTTACCTAGGTACCATTCCGTGATAAGGTAGAATGAACAAAATGGCTATTCATTAGTATATAGTCATCAATCGATATCAATACTTGATGCTTCTTCGTCAGTATTCAAGCCCATAGATTATCCTTCGCCTGCATATCCTGCTTAGTATCCAAATTTCCTGTGTTATGTTGATTTCTGTTATTGAAGCAAAATTAGAGTACGGAATCCGATAGATGCAACCGCGACAAAACCCATAAAACGGAAAACAAAATACGTATTTTACACCCGGCAGAATGTTTTAATACCTGTATCTTCCCAATTCTGCTAAGTCATCTCAACCTTGACTAAGTCCAACTCCACTCCAACTCTACTACAATTTACAAGTAATAAGGTAAAATAACGTTTTCAATTGCATTGATGAGAGCACTTTTAAAGCAAATACTTAAAAATAAATGAGCATACATGAAAACCAATGAGATCTAAAGCTAAGTTGCAACCAACATCACTCGATTCTTCTTGTAAGGGTACTGGTGCACTTCTAACGAAAGAGGGCAGGTGTCGATGAATATCTTTAATCAACTTGAGGAGGGAAACCTTATGTGGGATATCCTTCGTTCTAATAGATCCCCTTCCTCCTTTTCCTCCTTCGTTTGTATGTTTCACTCGCCGTTTGTACGGTCCTCTGCAGGTCGATTCCTTGAAATCGTGATAAGTCAAAAATCGATTAGCTTGTTTTATAATAGGGTTCGAGAAAGATTCTATCACATCACAGGTACTAGCGGCAAACCAGTGGCCCCGTCAAAAGATATACGAACCATTTGGTCAAGCTCAGTCAACTTTCTCTGGAGTGGACATAAATATCCAGCTGTACAGCTATGTCTATTTGCAAGATCTTGTACGGCACAAGAGATGCGGAGTGCGAGTTCTGAGGCAGAAAGCGTCTGAAATGGCCATACTTCTGCTCTCCGTAAAGCTGAGAAGTATTCCGCAACCCTGTGATCGCTAGTACAATACTTCGGAAGCAGATCCATATTTTTACAAGGATGACACTTTTTTGCCAGAATCGGATGTGCTCGTCCGCAGCACATACAGTCCAACTTCTGGATGAGGTACCCTTTTTGATGGTCTCTCAGAGAGGCCTCAATAGATTGAAGCTCGTACTGCATGAGATTCAGCAGCTTTTTGATACGGCCTTCCAGGTCCCCTATTATGAATTAGATGGTATTTAGTGCGTTTTCCTTGAAAAAAACATACCTTTGATAGTGCCAGGCAGCCTTTTCATAATTTCAGATTTCTCCCATTCAAGAGCAAATGCAGGAGGCAGTCTCAGTTGAGCTTTCACGGTCAATTCGGTGAATAGCTTCCCATCTTGAATTAGATGAGCGGCAACCATTAGATGGCCGTAGTCTTGTGGACTGAGAATATCCTCCTTGATATTGTTGAACCAAATTGAAAACCATGCTCGAAATGCCTTTACACAGTCATATTTATCACAGAGACTGGCGAGGCTGGCGAGCCACATGGTATCCATATGAGCTATATCTTGAGGCTCTTGATAATGAAGAATAGCAAGTAGGGCACCCATTGTATCTGGGTCATCCTCAGGTAATGGAACTTCTTCTGGACATGCCTGATTCGCCAACAATCCTTCGCGAATATTGGATCCGAAAGATTCTTTGAATACCGGTGAAGCAAGACCCAGCAAATTTGAGGATACAAGAAAGCGTCTTGTTTTTTTTGTAAGCTGACTATTGACCACCAAAATAAGGTCGCCATTTTGGTCGAATCGTTCAATATCAGGATCTCGCTCTTGGTTACCTTCAGTATTTAGATATGGACTATGCATCGCAAAGGCCTTCTTTTGATATATCTGGAGGATAGAACTTTAAGGTTCGATGTTGGACAAGCAGCTTTAATTTGAAGATCATTAGCTATACGAATTTCGGGAGCAACTGAATTCTTATAAAGTATTCTAATTTCTTAATGTTCCATATCTTGAATGCCCTTAAGCACAGCGTTCTTTGAGAATGTTGTGATACTACGTTACATAGCCTTCAATGCTATGCAGCAACTAAAGGCAACAGTTTTGTGGCGTTATTGAGAGGATAAGAGAAAATAATATGGAATGTAGGGTAATGCAGTTTTCTTATCTGCCAAGATATAACATTAATGTTACTCATGATGTGAGAAGAACTTGAAGATATTCTTTTCACTTTGCATCGGTGACTGACAGAACTTAGTATAAACAGTGAGTGGCATCAGGAAATGCCACACAAATGGCTGAAAGCTAGATTACTGAGTCCAGAGTGCTAGACTTTGCCGCGTGGCCGTCTTCTTTTATTTCCGCGTCCTAAACTAATTTAAGCTGGACATGTCCGCTATGCTCGTGTGTGGAATGCTACTTAATATCCCGCCGAACACCAATTGTTTAAAGTGAAAAGGAAAATATTAAAATCAATTGCGTAAACCTCAATCGATCTCAAACTCATACGCCCTCACGAGAAAAAAATAAAAATAAAAAAAATAAAAAAAATAAAAAAAGCATCATTCAAATAGATAGGACATATTCACATTTTATTTGACTGTTAACATTAAAATTAAAATTTCTCCAATTTCGCTTAGTCTACATAACATATCAAGATGTTATAAAGGACGTCAGTAGAAATGCGACCGCGGACATATGACAAGAATGCTAATCAAAGGAGAAAATAGTTTCAATTTCAGTTGACAGAAACAACAATCTAGGATAAATCATTTATTCCACTTTACGTTACTTGTATTTGACTCATGCTTTCTTATAGTGCCTAATGATACGAATAAAGCTAGATATGAAGAAGTTTTGAAAATAGGAAGAAGCCCGGGCCCGGGGGATTCCAAGGCTCCTTCTGGACTATTCCTATTACTTACCTTAGCTTCTGAGGTTGTCGGTTGACTAGGTTATTACCGAAGCAGACAGCTATTGATATCGTTTCTGTACGTATATAATAGGTGTATGCATATTGGGTAAAAGTGAAGTGTCATTCTAAAATGCTCAGATGAAAGAAGATATAGTAGCTGCCATGCCAAGATCACATGATCTTGGTATGTCAGCTGATATTCGTTCCAACAGAGGTTTTAGGTAATAAAATAGTTCATCAGGTTAAAGTTATTGAGAATAACGACATCCTAGTTTTTAAGGTGGAAAATGGTTCCTAAAATTATATCGTTCATTTAAGGATTCCTTGTATACAACCAGGCTGATCAGCCTCATTCCATATTGTTCTGAGAGCGATGATCTTTAGCCATTGGACTCAGCGACCAATCACCATGATAGGGTGCTGAATATGTTAGTGTCACGGTGTTCGATTGGACGTCGACAATGTAAATACTGCTCTGTAGCTCTGGACGTACATATACAGTGAAATTATCCTATGTCTCATATGAGCACTCATCATCCTAGGTACAGTAGCAACCGCTACCATAATGAAACAACAGATGAAACCATTTTCAACCCATGATCACATACAAAGCTAACCCCAAATTAGTTAGTCCGTATCTAAGATGGTTCTGCGATTAAAGATATATTACGATACCAACTTAAGTGTACGTACTGTAAGGTTAAATATCATCATGGGCCAAGAGATACCCCGCTCAGTATGGTCTCAACTCTAGCAACCTTACCAGTACTCACAACTCTCCCAGATCCACTCATATTTGCGGCTCTCGTCTGTTTCAAAGGCCCACCTACGATAAACCTTGCTACAATGTCGCAAAACTCCACTATCTGTGATCTCCCAGCTGAGATACTACTCATGATAGTCAATCATCTTGATGCTTTCAGTACCATCTGGCTACAACGTTCGTGCCGGCTTTTTCATGGAACAATACCGTCTCCTACTCACCTGGAGTTAATAAAAGCGGAGACTACCTATTTCGGTACTCAGAACGACTTATACGCCTGCAGAGATTGCCTTAGATTACGCCCTAGAGCAAAATTTGCGGACAATATGGTGAAAAGGAAAAAGTCCAAGTGGGGAGAAAAAGTTACGGAACGGTGGTGTGTGGACTGTGGTATCAAACCGCGCCCTGGCACTAATCGATATACCGCCGGTAACATCATCACTATCCTAGGGGTACCATTTGTGATCTGCTCAAAGTGTCGCAAATTTAGAGAAGGTGCTTCGGAAAACGGGAAACTGTTGTTTGTATGCCAAGTCTGTCGGGGATTTACGAGAGCAATCGAGGAGCGCGCTGAGCTTGATAAATCGCGACATGAAAGGGCGCGACTGCGAGCTGAACAGGCTGCACGAAGAGCCAGGAGACGTGAAACATGGGGCTCGGCTTCTGACAGCGATGATCTGCCTCCGAGTATTACATCTAGCGAAGAGTATATGGAGATGATCCAGGCCGAGGCTGATACGTACATGAACAGCCCTGGGCCTGGTTCTGATTGAATACCCCCTCTCCCAATAAGATTTACAGCTAAGTTGGTATTGTTGAAATGATGAAATGAAAAAGGCTTGTAACTGTGGAGGGGTACATAGCAACCTGATAATTGGTGGATGCGCAAGACAACGGCAGGCTCTCAAATTAAAACAATGAAGAAATTCAAAAGACCGAATTATACAGTAGCATTACTACATAGAGCAAAAACCTTTCAGTATACAGTAGTTTTCGAAATCAGTCATACTCCACACTCTTGCCACTTGATTCCCGCAAAATTAACCCGAAATTAGTGAGTCTTGATTGGATAGGGCATGAAACGTCCGCTTTTCAGCCCGTACTTAGTTGAGGGCCGCCGTAAATTGCGACTTAAAAAGCAACGATTTGATCACATGACTGCTTTGTTCCATATTCCAACATTTCCATTTTCTGATTTCAAAAACTAGTTAGAGTAGTAATCAGGATGATGAGAAAGGTAATATGATAATATTTATTCTTTTCCAGTATTGTACGAGGAGTTGGAGTCATGATAAGTGAGAGTTGGGTGATGAAGAGTTGGATGATCAAGAGTTGAGATGAATTAAGTCTTGTACAAGGAGTCAGAGGTCGAATTATTAACAGTCAAGTTAAATAAATTCTCGTACGAGGACTATAATCATACTAACCCATGGGAGTATCACTTTTATCTGAGTATTGATACTTGGTTAGTGATGGGCACGGTGAAGAGATGGGTATTGCTTATACCGTTGTATAACTGACTGATGTTAGAGCATTGTATCATGTAAGCAGGGAGGGAAGTCCGAAATCCCGAGCATGGGACCAAGTGTTTGTGGACTTTTTAGTCATCTGAAGTAAATATTGCGGCCTGGATTGATAAAAGGACCTTAAATTGGAAAATCTTTTTGAAGATGTATATGGATTGAAGGATTTTTGACGTGCTATGAAGCTTGATAATGTATCATAGAGAAATAGAATAGAGATAGACTTGGATCTCAGATGGAATAGGAAGAAGCTATGGGAGGAGCAAACGATGTAAGTGCTTAGATCGTAGGAGGGATCTGGCTAGAGTTGGTACTAGTGTACTTCCAAATCACTTTCTCGCGTCCAAATAGAATTCATCCAGGACATGAAGAAATCAACACCCCACTTGTTTAATTTTTTGTCTTCTTTTTCTTTTCCTCCTCTATTCACTTCCTCCATCATCACCAAGGGACCTTTTCACCATCTTTATTACAATCTCCATTCAAGATGCCTTCTTCCTTCATGATAAACATGATAGTGGCTAGTCCGTGCCCAGACCCCCTGATTAATACACATAAGGATCTACTAGTAGAATGTTGCGCGCCGCTCGTTCGAAAGACCCTCAGTTGCATGAAATGCTCTGAACCCGATGAGGAGGAATTTCCTTCAGTCATGGGCAAAGGAAACGGCTTGATGGAGACGATTTTCAGGGCATACGCTCAAGAAATGAATATCCTTTTGCGACCTGAAGATGTTTGGTACACTATTGTAAGCCAAATTGGATTTTACGCCAAAAGCCATGGTCAAGCAATGCGCAAATTTCTTGTCAACCATGATCGTGTCAAAACTCTGAAAGCCACTAGCACAGAGGCACAGGATGTCGAGCGCATCAAAGCTCGTATGGACAGTCTCCTCGATCCACGCCTTTGGTTGATTGATTACGATAACACCAAAATAGCTCAGAAAATGGCAGAGCAAGATGAAAAAGACCTGGAACCTTTTATTGATGAAGCACTGCGAATTGAGATGCTTCGTGGACGCGAGACTATGACCGAGGAGATTAGGGAGTTGATTGAAGCAAACTCTCTCGCACGAGAGCTCAAGCTCCAAGAGAGACGTGAGGAGAGACTGCGCCAGCAAGAATTTAACGAAAAATTCAGTCAATTGCGCCTTGAACTGTCAAAGGCATCGGCCCAGAAATTGCGCCAGTCAATTCTTGACGGAGAATTGGAAGAGGCCACCAAGGGCATGGGGAAGTGCGCCGATATGATCAAGGTCTTCAACAGTTTCGATAAGCAGCTCAAAGATTCCATGTCTCCCGAGATGCAAGAATGGATGACAACATCCTTCACCACAAGCCGCGACTCTGATAAAATCATTGCTCCGGTCCTCCTGATGGGTACTGCGCAGGCTTATCACAACTACAAGATCGAATCTAAATGTGGAATTGCATGCTGCACCTTGGATGGCGAGCTTTCTGATTGGCAGCAGCTAGTGGATAAGCTCACAATGCTTCCCGCGTTTGGCGAAGAGCCTGCTCTATTTGCTCGCCTTCTTGAACCCATCCTCAAGAACTTTGTGAGATTTTATGCAAATCCTCATGCAGAAGACATCCGTCATTACTGGTCTACGTGCATCACCAACTCGTTTGAGTGGGCGGACTGGCGGGAAGAGCCAAAAGTCGGCCCTTGGATCTCTGGATGGCTGGGCGCATTCCGCATGTGGGATGAGAACGGCCTGTGTTTGTACAACTCCGATGGTTGGAGAACCCCTTGGGTTACCTACCCCAAGTTTCCAGCGGGCGATTTCCCTCCGGCATGGACCAGCATACCGTTCACCATCACTAAACAGCTCGAGGATTCATATACAGATATCCACGGCTTCATGGTGGCTGGCTGTGTCGGTTCTAAAGTCAATGAGATTGATGATCCAAATGACGTGGAACAATACGACGAACAGATTCAGCCTTTCCACATGTGGTGGATGCTTGAGGCGGACAGCGACTACGTCGATGACCCCCAGTTTGAGGCGATGGTTGATGGCGATATCTGGCATCTCCGCGGACCTCGCGCGGAACCATTGTCATGATCAGGACAAAGTTACAGAAGTTCCCACATCCATTCATTCATCCAACTCAACTCAAATATGCTAACTATTCGAATAGCTATCACAAATTCAAAGCAGATTTTCCAAGTTTTTCTTATCGGGCTTTCAAAAGTCTCTCGAAGTATCGTTATCAGTGCTTACGATATAGGTAAATCAAGTTCTCCCATTTATTTAACTAAAGCCTGCTAACGAGTCGCATAGTGAGCATTAAATATCTGAGCTATCAGCGGAGGGGGTCTATTGGGGAACTGCCAGTGCAGTTTTTGGATTGATCAGAAGCAATGGTCTGAGCTATCAGAGGGGTTTTATGCAGTATTTCGTATTATGACCAGGACCTTTATCCATCACAGCTCCATCCACTTTTAGAGTGGGTCTATGGATCAGAAGCTTCTTCACCACGTATCAATCCGAGCTCTAGATCTATGGAGAGCACTACTTCTAAAAAAACCACTTAGAACAGCACCGGGAATTGGTGTGGAAAGTAGTTCTTCGCACCTGTTAAATAGTACTTTTTTGTAGATTGGCCGGTACAGTTCTGATGATCTTCTATACAAGGGAGACTTCGAAGATCTGCGTCTTAATCGGCAGAACAATTTGCCCAGTGATTGATATAGCCAATCATGATCTAAAGGGATTGTCTTTGAATCTAAGATTTCACTGCTCTACTGCTAACCTGTCAAGCTATGACTATAATTCAAAAAAGAAATTATTCGAGCAATCGTTTAAACTGTTTCTAAGTTAACCGGAGTCAAGCTGCAAAATAATCATGATGTGAATTTAGGTAGCCATTGCTGACGTCGTGCTGAAAACTTTTGTCTCAGATCATAATAACCACTGTTTGAAAGAGATTGATTACAATTAAACATGTCTACTCTGTCTAGTTTTTCACACCTTTTGATTGATTGACACTGTAGACCCCCTCGAAAGCCCTCAGAAGATGATGCGTCTCATCATGTAATACTTTCCTTGATTTGAACTCATATCAGCATTCATGGGTTTTGTTCATCACAAAAGGTTACCTACAGACCTTGGGGCACCTTTCAAGGATCAAAGATGGGACTTCATGTAAGTTATCACATGTCCAAGGCTCTCAGTCACCTACCTGGGTATTATAAAGCTCAAATAGATATACTGATTAAGTCCAGGCTGGACAGTTTGGTCCATTTCACCAAGGGCAGATACCATCCTTCACAATAATCTTGCCCATTTCGGCATCTCTCTTACCCTTAACAACTTGCTTCAAATAGCCTCCAGAGATAGCTGGGTCCAGGCCACCCACAGCCTTGGCTATTTCAGGGTTGCCGCCCAGATTGGTGGCCATCATTCCCGGACCGAAGCAGCAAACCTTGACGCCGTCCGCCTTCAGCTTGTGGTTCCAGTCCAACATCAACATATTAAGCGCCGTCTTGCTACAGCGGTATCCAATGGTCTCGAAATCGAGCTTTTTAGGCCACCCAGCTGGCAGCTCAGGTGTGGGGAAGTAGTTCTCAGCTGCCTGGGTAAGGTTAGAAAGACCGGCGACAAAGATCAGACGAGGCTCAGCAGACTTTATCAGCAGAGGGATAAATGTCGCAGTCAAAACATTGGTGCCGGTGACATTTGTGTTGTAAGCCTGATTGAAAGCCTCTCGGAGAGAGACATTTCCACCAATGTATTCAATGTCCCATGTAGCACCTGAATATTACGAAGTTAATCTCAAAAATATTAATCGCGCTGTCTTGCATTCTACATACCCGCATTGTTTATCAAAATGTCAATGTGGCCCTTGGTAGTCTTTATGTGCTCAAAGGCGTTCTCAATGTCCTCGTCGGAGATCAGATCCAGTTTGATAGCTTCAATGGTATTGGTAGCATTGGGATGCTCCTTCTGAAGAGTCGCAATGGCAGCTTTGCCTTTTTCCGGGGAGCGACTGCCCAGGAAAATGTGATAAGGCTTCTCGGCTTTCAGAAGAGCCTTGACGGTTTCATAGCCAAGTCCACCGTTTCCTCCTGTGATAACAACAACTTTTGGAGAAGACATTATCGTGAGAATGGTTGAACTATAATGTTTCAATGCTGGTGGTGTTCAATGGATGGATGGAACAAGTGACAACTTCGAATCAAAGAATCTTATATACCTAGGTATACAGAGAGATGCTATATAGACGGGTTAAAAACCGATACGCCCGATCTTGATAACAGCCGGCTACGGAGATAAGGATAGTGTCGGTTGACTAGGTTATTACCGAAGCAGACAGCTATTGATATCGTTTCTGTACGTATATAATAGGTGTATGCATATTGGATAAAAGTGAAGTGTCATTCTAAAATGCTCAGATGAAAGAAGATATAGTAGCTGCCATGCCAAGATCACATGATCTTGGTATGTCAGCTGATATTCGTTCCAACAGATAGCTATTCGAATCCGAAGAAGCTTATCTTATTTCCATCAGACGATCAATCTCTTGAGACAAACTCCAAACGAAGAGTGCATTCAAGACCATTTCGACTTTCACAGCGACTTAAAGCGGTCTTACTGGTGATCGATAATTTGTTAGTACATGCTCTTCCCCAATATGTGGTGGAGTAAAATCAAGTTCAGGCCGGAGATTATGGAGGTTAATGGAGATAAGACGTAATCTCCGACATAGATTCTATACACTCCAACGTCCAAAAGCCGAATATCTCCAGTTTAGATGTATCTTTCAAAAAGATTTATGTTGGTACGATTTTTCACAGTACTTCTCTCAGATTCAACATGATATCTCTCGTAACTAGTTAATTGGCTTTTCTGCGCTACATAGTCACTGAAATCAAGGCTAATAATATCCTCTAAATATTCCGCGCTTTCCTTTTAAATGGGGTCAGCTTTTTATTTTACTTTTCGGGCTTCCTCTTCCTACCATTCTAGCGGGAGTAAGCTAGATTGATATACGCTTCTCAATACCTACCGAGATATCTTTCACTTCACACTTGCACCTTTATTATATACAGAGCTCTTTCACTTCACCCCTCTGACAATTACGGTTCTATTTCCATGTTTGTTCTCTTTCGGCCCTAGGCATCGATGTTCCCATGCTATAAAACAGATTTATTCTTTTCTCTCCTTTCTTCCTACTACAATCTTGGAACCTCAAACCAGCAGTCATCCATGTTCGGCCTCGGCTATAGACAGTGTCTAAGTTTCCGATCGACGGCTAGAAATGATATCTAGGTATAGACGCACACCCAACCTTGAAAATTCTTCGTTTTAGCACATGCCCGGGTGGAGTACTCAAAGATAAGCCTTGCTCCTTATCAAAAGCGCAATTGCTCCACAGTTTTGGTTCCCAATCTCTTGTTGCGTCTCGCCAATTTCTTTGCTAGTTCTTCAATTTCTTCGATGCTCTTGGTGAGATTGAAGTAGCCTTCATCATTCAAGGTATACAGAACCTCTTTGAGCCACACTCTGCAGCTTATTAATTCGTTGTATCGGATCGAATTATCAGTTGGAACTTGGTAAAGTCGCTCTAAGAAAGCCTGATAGAGTTCCGGAAATAGAATACCTATCTTGAGTCCAGCAACCAGTGACTTGTAAGCTGTGACATTCTGGCTGGGCTTAGATTCAACTTTCCAAGGGGAGGAACCGGGCCCATTTACCAGATGATGAATTATCCCTGAGCCTGTAGCCTGGTGAAAGTAAAGCCCCCAGTGAAATGACCGAGTTCCATCGTTACGATCAGAAAGCAGAATGTATAGCCCGTTGATCTCAAAAAACAGTTTTATAATCACCTCACACATTTTAGCGGATTGTAGTGCTTTCGTCTTGATAATTTTTGAGGCAAGCTTAGCGATACCAAATGAATAAGAGCCTTGGAGAAATGGAATTTTGCAAGGGCAGATATAGAACGGCTTTATATACTCTTCCTGGGTAGGATGCTGGCTGATATTCTTTCTCTGTCGCCACCTGCACTGCTTTAGCACTTAAAGGTAATAAATATGATCCCATAACGATCTATATTTTCAGAACTCTATCATGCTTTGTTTCACTTAATCCCAGATCAGTTAGCTCATTTGATAGGATGAATTACTTTTGATTCTGAAATCAGTCTCAGTGTTCTTCAACGGCTCTTTATACATAGTGCCGAGGTCTTAGGGTTTGAAAAAAAAATCTCAGTCTTCTTTCAATCCCTTTTTATAAATTTTAATGAGTTATTGTTCTTTGTGCAGAGATCAGAGACTTCTTTTGCGCCAACCAGTTGACTAATGCCCGAAGACCAATATAGCCAGCTTTGGAGTAGCGATATTACTGTCTATTCCATCAATAACCTTTATTCCAACTTTCAATGTCTCTTCCTCAATAGAATGACATAAACTATTCATGGCTAGATCGGTAGATGTTGGATGGCATCTCTAGACTGAAATCAATATACGTCAATTATAAGACAAAGCGTATTACGGCACTTGTGATAACCTGAAAATGAAAAATAGCTCTTTTAAACTTTTACTTTTTACCTAGGTTACTTTCGTCTTTTAGATATTCTCACGAGCAAAGCCTTATCGACATGATGGTAGGGGGTTACATTTTACGGTAGTAAGTATGATAGATCCATGGATAGAGCAACTATACCTAAAGGATCCGAGGCAATGTCTATTCGAAGGCTATGTTATGTGCCGTTCTACCACTTTAGGGAGTTATCGTCGATGCTATACTCCTGTCTCTGTGCTTATGCTCCTGGTAGAAATCATACTTCAAGAGTCCCAAAAATTTCGTTCCAAGATTTTCAAAAGATTGGAGCCCCCGAATCCAAACATTGAGTAGAGATCCCGGCTCAGGATACGGCGGTGATAACCAGCAAGAACAGCCCCTAGATGACGGTCACTTCCGCATCATTTCCGTACATACTGCAATCACATCAAACCTATGAGATTATCGTATTAGCATGCTATTATCAACATAAATAATATAACGGTGTGATATACCCGGAATCATGTGAAAGACGATCGGCAAAAGACTGCGGGCCTTGACATATAACCGAGCAATTAGTCCTGGTCAAATTGATAGACTATATTTGACTCACAGGATCCTCCAGGTTCCAGGTAGACTTGAAGGTCGGATGTGACTGCACTCTCTCTTCCAACCCTGACATTGGACAGTATTTGAACTCTCGAGGCGCGTGATACTCGCACAGCCTCAAACAGCTTAAGACGTGTTGGAATATTGTCGGAGCTGCCCAAATCACTCAATAGTATTCCGAGAGCACCTCCATCTTCAATAGCCTGGTTTGCACCTTGCCCCCCGAATGGTAGCATCTATATAGCTATTATTAGCCTGCCATAGTCTTAATAGTCTAGATTTCTACATTCAGCTTGATATGGTTTGTTTCATACCGAATGCGCGGCATCTCCAATCAAGATAACCTTTCCAAATGTCCAGCTTCTCAGAGGCTCATGTCTTTCCAGTGGCCAGCAAGTGACTTCCGTCGCCATTCTGTTTCGCTCAACTATTAGACAAACATGGAGTTACACCCACAGAATCGAGGCACTCACCTCATTATTTTGATTATATCGGGATGAAAATGCCGGAACTCACCCAGCATTTGGGGTTTGGCGTCTTAGACATGTGTAATTTTCATTAGGCCTGGGCGGAACACAATGTCAGGAGAGCTCACCTTCAGTTTTGTCCACACAGGATGGATGGATTGCTACAAAATTCTGAAAATCCCCTCTACAAGAATCAGCTCGCGTATAACTCTCATCAGGGGCGACCAAATTACCCGCGACACTCATACCAGACAAAGTGACGTTCGTTGACCGTATCACTAGTGTCTGCGAGTATGAATGATGTCGACTCTTTGTCTCGGAGCAGATCTTGGGAATTGGAATGGGAGAGTAGTGCTTCAGTCGGCAGCGTAAAGCGAAAGGCACTCAAGCCTGCTGGTACTGCTCCCTTGTCCTGAGGAAGCACCTGTGATCGAACAACGGAATGAAGGCCGTCGGCACCAATGATCAGATCAGCTCGGTGACAGCTATTGTCATCGAGTGTGACTATCCCCTCCTGTTGATTTACCTGGATTACAGAAGTTCCAAGTCGGATTTTGACCACATTAGTCCCATCCTGATCAGAGTCAAGAGCCAAGCGCAGCAACTCTCGATGCAAATCGTTCCGACCAATTGTCACAAAGGCCGACCGCAGTCTCGATGCCATACGGTCTATATGTTGCACTGCGATTTTCTGGAGCGAAATGCCATCGATTATCTCCCAGCGGTTTAACTGGCACGCCTGCGCTTGTTCAAAGTCTAATCCCAAACTTTTTAAGACAATAACACCGTTGGGACAGAGAGCAAGTGCGGCCCCCGTCTCCGTTTCAAGTTTCGATTTCTCAAAAATCTGCTTCCACAAGTAGCCTGGTCAGGTAACTTGGTTCTCCCATCTTTCAGGATGAGCGTGCGAGTGTGCCATCCTAAGTGAACATACCTGTACTGAGTGGCCGGCTCTTCGAAGGGCGATACCAGCACATAGACCCGCAATACCTGCACCAACAATAATGATATGAATCCCCATGACGGACAAAGGGTTTTCATGGGTCGAATCCGGAGTAATAGAAAAGGAACTCAAAGTTCAGAGCAATAAAATCACATATACAAAAACTGAGGGGAGTGCCAGCCCCACTCAGCAACCATTTACAAAGGCTCTAAGGTTGGCATGCATGATTACGGAGACCGTGTAATTTGTCGATATTAAGGCATGGTTGCCCGAAGCCCGTGTTGCACAGCCTTGGGCACTACACAATATCAGCTGCAGCTTGTATGCGGTAACAAAGTGATAGATCACGAATTATCTGATCGATAGCTGCGACGATCTGCGTAGCTGGTTGGCTAGTATGCCCCATTTGAATACGGGCTGAGATAAGAGCTTCTTGGGGGTCTGCCTGGTTAGAAATATCGATCTATGCGCCCAATTAAATATTCCAATCTTACCCAGAGCACTCTTTTTTAACTTCCAACCATGGTTCCACGAATAGTTTTATCGTCTATATATGGTGATAGTAAGCGGAATAAACGAGTTGGCTCCCTATATACCGATGTAAAATTGTTGCTTCTCTCTTGTTTGGCATGATAATTTAGTAAATTGCGACCCATTTCAATTTACCCGTCTCGACTGTCTAATATAACGTCGGAAAATATCATGACCAGCATGAAGATAAAAACTGTCCTCGATCCAGTCGTCCTAGTTTCATCTGCTACTGAAGAGCAAAATTGGACATAGGCAATCAGACTTTTTTCCAAGATACATCATGAGAACCTCCAATGTTCTGAGGAAAATGCTTATTGTTCGCCTCTTTAATAGCCTAGATATGGTTCCAATAATGATATTCTACCCGATGCATGTCCCATCGCAAGCAAGTCACCTTGAGTAGCCGAACAAACAGGCCGAAACTCGTGAGGTAGCCATAGAGTTCTTTCGCCATTCAGAGCAATCCAAGTATCTTCAAAAACTGATATAATCTCAGCTTTCAGATGTGGCGTCTCACTACCAAAATCTAGATTCTGGAGAGAAATTGATCCGATGTTGGTCCTCAGATACGAACCATCATCTGAAAATTCCAGTTGATGGACGGCCTTTTCAAACCTCCACATATGCTTATGTGTCGTTGTGGTGATTTGCCAGATAATAAGAGTCCCACCATTTGAACTAGACGCCAAGAGTCGTCCACACGGTGAGAATGTAACGGAAACAACTGTGGTCGAATGCCCTTCAAGAGTGTGTATCAGACTGCCTGTACTCACTTCCCACAGGATTACTGTATTGTCGCTTGAGCCGGAAGCTAGAACCTGGGCCTTAGGGGAGAAGGCTACACAGTGGATGGAGCTTGAATGGCCTCTGAGTGTCTTTAGTAGAGCACCAGTTGTAGAACTCCACATTCTGACTGTATTATCACTTGAACCGGATGCTAAGAGCTTGTCATCAGGAGAAAAGGTAAGACAGTAGACTGGATCCAAGTGACCCTTGACTCTCAATCGAGGCGTACTCGTCACGATATCCCAAATTATGATAGTTTCGTCACGCGAAGCAGAAGCCAGGTAGTGGCTTTCAGAAGAAAATGCGATCGCCAAAACTGCATCTGAATGGCCCCTCAAAGTTTGCTGTGAGTCTCCCGTAGTCAAATCCCATATCTTGATAGTGCGATCCCATGAACAAGAAGCCAATTTCCGATGATCAGGAGAAAACATGATGGACCAAACCCAGTCTGAGTGGCCCTTGGTGGTCTGGGGTGAAGTACATGTAGTCAAGTCCCAGAGCCGAGCTGTTTGGTCATAGGAGCCAGATGCCAGGATTTTAAGATCAGGGGAGAATGCTACCGACCGAACCAAACCTGAATGCTGTTTGAATGTCCGTTTAAGAGTTCCTGTAGAAGAATCCCGAACCTTGAGGGTTTTGTCGCCAGAGCCGGACGCTAAAAGCCGTCCATCCAGAGAGAAAACGACAGAATAGACTTCCGCTGGATCTTCAAAGGTTTGTAGTAGCGCGCCTGTAGTCGGATCCCAAAGTCTGATTGTTTTGTCGTCGGAGCCAGATGCTAGGATCTGGCCATCTGGGGAAAATGCCACTGACATAACCAAAGCTGAATGAGCCCTTAGGGTTAGTTGCAGAACACCTCTAGAAATATCCCAAATTCGGATGGTTTTATCCCTGGAGGAAGATGCTAGAGATAGGCCATCAGGAGAGAAAGATAGGGAAAATACAGAGCGTGAGTGGCCTTTCAAAACTGGTTGGATGGGGGCGCCTGTTTGGATATCTCGTAGCCTGATTGTCTTATCAAAGGACGTAGACGCTAAAACTCGACCATTCGGGCACAATGCAACATATGTCACTCCGTCCGAATGGTCCTCATAGTTTTGCTCCGTGGCACCAGTGCTAGTGTTCCATAGCCGGACTGTTCGATCATAAGACCCAGAGACTAGATGTCGTCCATCAGGGCAGAATACCAACGATGATATCCCATCCAAATGGCCCCTAAGAGTCTGCTGCAGTTCTCCTGTGGCTGTATTCCATAGCTTGATTGTTTTATCGTACGCACCAGATGCTATCAATCGACCATCCGGGGAGAATGACACGCATTGAACCCCAAATGAATGACCCTCAAGAGTTTGCAGGTCTTCGTTCCAGCTCTCTTCCAAGTCTGACGGTCTGAAATTCCAATTGGCATGTCCTTCTCTGAGATAATTTCGAATGATCATCTTCCTAGGAGAGAATAAGATACCTGATGAGTATATTTGCAAGGGTGCTTCATCTGCAATAAACCGAAATTTTAGGATAAATCGCTTTGCATCGTGTAAGAAATCAGACAACTCTTGATCGTTGACATGCTAGTGATATTAATCAGTCAAGATTGGAATTTGAAGGCTAATATATTTCAACAATACCTGTACTGATTGCAGCAGATCAAGTATTCCAACGACCTCCGAGATGAGTCCCATAATAGCCATTGCCTCTAACCAATGTAGAAAGTGATTCTGGAGGAAAACAAAAGCTATTTCCATATTTTTAGCAGGGGCTTCGCTTTGCACCAGGTGACGCGCCCAATAATGACAGGCATATCTCAATTCTGGAGGTATACAACGGTCTATAGTTTGCTGATCAATTTCTGAGCGCTGTGTTCCTTCGCTTGGTAGTCCACATAGATTCCTTTTCAGATCTTGACAAAGAGAGAGGCAGCGGGTGGTTGCCCCCTGGTGTAGCCCTTTCTCATCCATCCAGAATGGAGTTTTTCCTTGTATTGCTGGATGGAGGAGAACGTCACGAAATGAGAGGTGGAACAATCGTACTGGCGAATTATTGTCCGTGGGCACATTTATAACCGAGTGGAGCAACTTCAACCTCATGACAATCAGTCGCCTAGGGAGATTAGTCAACTTTGAAAGCGGTGTAATTGCGAGTGGGCTCTCAAGTATGACGATTATGCCAAGGATCTTTCGATACTCTAGAACAAGCTGGTCTTTCTGCGTCTGATTTTGGCCTTTCAGAAGTCGATTCAATACCGGAACATAAGTTCCTTCTAGTTGGGATCCCCCTCCTCGATATGTAAGAATCTCTGTTAGACTGTCGACCGGATCCCAAAAAGGATCATCGAACATTCGGCAAAGAGTCGCAGCAAAGATAAATAGTGGAACGGATAATGCGACCAGGACCTGGATATTTGCGAGCCCAGGCCAGTCATTACTCAATTCCTGAATCTTCCTTGTCTTCAGAAGTCGATGGTTAAAGTACAAAGAAATATCCCGTGATATAAGTGACTCAGAGATCTGGTGAAGAGTTATATTCTGATAGTCATGATCCGACATCTCTCTAAATCCCAGACGAATCGGGAGCTCAGGTCTGCTTGTCAAAAATATTCGTACGTTAACAGCCTGTCGTAGCTGTGGAAGTAGCTGGAGAATGACTTCTACGTTATCGTCTGGGTCACATTCATCTAATGCATCTATCACAAGCACCATAGTTGGAATATGATGACTGGATTGTTTCAACTCCAGAATTGGCTGAAGTAGTAGGCTGTCAAACTGATGCCTCAGTGAGCGTGTCGCAATATCGGGATCATCGCGGACTGCTTTTTGGATAATCAGCGTCAGGTCAGGGATTTCTCTCCCGATCCGTCGTGTCACTGTGGTAATAAATTTCATCGCATTCCCTCTATCCCCTTCGCCTCTTTTGAAAAAGAAACTTGCTCCAAGCAGCTTTTCATGGCTCAACAATCTAGCCACCGTCCGTGCTATTGTTGATTTTCCTGTTCCAGCGGCCCCACTCAACCAAAATATGCATTTTCCTTGCGATGATTCCACCCACTCTTTGATCTCGTTCAAAAGCTCGGCTCTGGTGCCTTGTAGACATTCATCTTCGTGTTGATCCGCAAATGAGTCAAATTCGGCCTCGTGTGAGACTGGCAAGGTATCTAAAGGATCTGTATACTCTCAGCTTATGGACCACGGTTTTCATGGCTCATGAATCTGACCTGGCCGATCATGTAGTTCGAAATTGACGGTGCCATAATTGATCCCTATCTGTGTCCCTGAGTTTGGGCTGCAAAAAGACACTATGGATGTCATGAGAATACTAGTATAAGGACTTGGCAGTGAGATATAAGGTATAAAATATGTCGAGGTGTTGGTTCTTCTTCAGTCATCAAGGTGTCAGATGAGGCATCTGACGGTACTTTGGTTTCTTTTTATGGCTGACGCACGCGGGGGGCGAAGTGTTCCTGCGATTGTTTATTGGTTGGCATTGCCAAGTCACTTGCGCTGCGTGTAAAACCCATGATGACTGCATATCTCCTTCACATGGGCTGAGTTTCTATAGCCCGGACAGTGTCTCTGTGCAATTCCCCACAGTGATACTTAGCGAGAACTGAAGGTGGCTGTATTCTGCCATATAAGCAGGGCAAAGCTAATAAGCTATTGGTGCCAAGGTATTCAGTTAGGGATGGTAACGGATTGACGGATTGACGGATTCAATCCGTTGAATCCGTTATATTTTCTATTGAGGTTTAGCGGATTAGAGTACTATTTTCACTTTTTTTCTTTTATCTTTATTTATCTAACTAAAAATGGAGCTAACTCGACGCCATCAAAAATATCCAGACCATTATTAGTTAACTAACTATATCGTCAATAATTTTTGATTACCTGAAGTCCGTCAATCTATGACAGTATTACCATCCCTAGCAATCAGTACCAAGTACTCTTCATAGGAGCTTCGATCCTACTCTGTGTTTTTAGTGATGATGGATGCCCAAATTCCACGGCCTGTCTAGTTAATGTACTGTAGTTTCGTCTGACCGCCTCCTAAAATGGTTAGATTGGATCACATTGTGTCCACTTTTCTTGTGTCCAATAATAAATAGGCTGTCTAATTTAGATTATTGCCAAGGCGCCGCTAGTTTGGGACAGATGTTATACTTAGTATAGCTTATAACCGTGCCCAGGCTGAAATTCGAGAGTGCCTAAGTTAGTGATTAGATATAAACCATCTTTAGAAAACTTGAGATCATGGACAGCTATTCTCGTGTTAAAATTTTCTTGTAGACCGCCCGTCGCCGTTTCCCGGAGCCGTATAGTGTTATGCGAAAGGGATTCAAATACCCACTTCATCGTCGCAATAGAGAGGATCATAAACCTTGGCAACAAAGGTTTTACCGGGTTGAATTCTTTACAAGTTCTAGGTATCATATCCCGCACAATTAAAGTGAGAAATTGGGCTAAATGCTTATCCCAGCTTCTAATGTCGCCAATAATATCTAAAGTAATGCTCTGTAACCTCTTAAGCTTGTCTGCATCATACGAACAAAAAAATCCATACTGAGCATTACTCTAGGTCGCCGACTATTCTTTGGCTACCACTTTGTCAGCACTATCCCCATTCGTCTCAACCTTTTCATCTTCAAGGGGCTTCCTAGCCCAAACCCTCCGCCTATCAATTATCAGCGTCAAGTTTTCAAACACATATACCTCAGATGAAAGTGGGAGCCACTTACGCATATCCATAAGCATGCAGACTGGGTTTCTTAAGATCAGTCCGCACTTTAGCCAAGTAAACCTCTACCTCCTCCGTAGTCCACGGCACCGGTGCTCCATAATGAGTAAGAAGCCACATAGCATACCCCTCGAGACCAGTGACCCAGTGATAGTAGTTGACCTGGCCAACCTCCTTCAACAGCGGGTCCTTAGGCCACGGCCCAATGGGAACCTTATAAAGCTGTTCTTGTACATCCACAAACCCAGCTGCTTCAATCGCCGCCCGCATTGTTTTCTGCGTCGTCAGTGACCGGCCAGCACGGTTTGCGCACTCAATAAAGTTGTCTCCCCAGTTACCGAGTGCACATGTCGGGTCTAGGGATCCGTCGTCGCTTAGAGCTCGGATATCGAATTCCATTTGCTCGATCCAGCCGCCTGGAGTCAAATTCCTATTATAGTATCAGTCCCGGTTCTACGACTTTTGAAAATCGACACTTACTTGTAGCATTGCTTGTATAGTTTTTCCCATCCTGCAGGGTCAAATGCTCCAAGCAGCTGGCGTATATGGATGAAGTCGAATGGATCTCTCCACGTCCAGTCACGGTTGATGTCATCAACTTCGAACACGCAGTTAGGGGGTACCCAGGAAGAAGGAGGTGGGAAAAGGTCGACGCCACGAACGGTTGCTATAAACTTTTAGTATCTGTGCTAGAAAACTTTCAGAGAACAGAGCTTACCGTTTGGGTAGAAATCTGCCGCATCTCTGTATAATCGCAATTGTCACTATTACATTCGATAGCCCGTTCGATTCCACTTACATAGCCCAGTTTCCCTTTCCAGTTCCAATGTCAAGAATATGCTAATCCAAGCTTTAGTATGTTTTTAGAAAGCGAATTTGCACAGCGATAACTCACTTTGACAGAATCATTGACTGGGGCTCTGTGGAGAGGATTGGGCCGCTGGTGATCCAACATGAGACACACTAGGTGTCTTGGCTCATTCAGTCAGTTACCCAAGGTAGATTGAAGCAGTAGGTCCCGACTCACCCCATTTCAAAAGCCTCGAACTGTTGTTCGTCTGAGGGACTCCTATGCAGCATTATCAGAACCAGGCCAAGCTTACTCTTGTAAAGTGCACTCACCAGTAATCATCCTCTTTCAAATTCTGGTATCTGCGTCCATTTTCCAATCGACCTTTCGCAATTGCAGAGGCGATAGATGTAGTCTCGCTGGGTCATTGTTCAGTGACCATATCCTTGATTTGAACCTGAACCTGAACTTACGAGACGAAATCTTCAGGCTCTGCGATCTGGGCCGATAGATGCAGATCGGGATCCTGGATGATTGTGAGACAACATCCTCATAGCGATCTTAGACTTAAATTACCACCGCAATACTGATATTATCACCTTCACCCATGATGAATGATTAGACAAGTCGATTGAATCGAGGGGTAGAATTTCATTGTAGAATGGCAGCGACGGGAGTTTAATAAATGCGCAGGTGGTGTGATATCTAACTGTTTGTGTTCTTAGTTCCACAGCTCTAACCGGCTTAAGGACAAAAAACAGAATCCTCCATTGCCCCGCCCCTCGGGGATACGGAACAAATCATTCTATAATCCTTTTTATGGGCCACTTGCTTGTTTCTATACTTATCATTGGCTTGTATCTAGCACTCCGTACTTTGTATATAATTGTCGGTTGATGCGATAAATTAGGTCTCCTGCATATTTTAGTACAGAGTGTTCGGAAAATTCAGGAGAATGCTTACTTTGTGGTACATTTACTGAGTGTCTGACGTGCGGAAAAATTATATTTCGATCGTATCTAATCTGATTCCAGATTACAAGGTTCCTTTGGCCGTTTTGAGTAGATATACTAGGTACATCTCCAGATGAACCCGCGGTCGGAGAGTTGGATTCTGATATGAGTGAGAGTGATAGTAAAATTTAAGGGCTCAAGCAAAATGTAGATGGCTAAAGATCTTTCTAGCCACGTCAATCAGTCAGAGTCTGCGATGAGATACTCCATCATCCTCATTCTTGATAAAATCATAGACAGTGTCCGGTAATTGCACTCCCTTCGGTGCCGTCAAAATCCCGAACTCAGCGGTATAGCCACATCCTTTTAGGCTCTGTCCGAAAAAGCCAACAATAACTTCACCCTCGCTCGGCTCTAGGACAGTTAGACCGTTATCTTCCTCGACATCGTTATTTCCCACTTCGTTCAACTCGCCCCACTCCTCTCCATTACTCAGTGTCATTCTAATGCCTGAAAGACTCCCCCATCCCACCCGCCCATTGTTAATCGTAACTTTGGTGATGGTCTCGCCTTCGGGGATATCATGCTCTTCTGTCGCATGACCACCGAAAGTGTGCGGGCAGCTTGGGTCATTTATATCATGTATCGGACCACAGTTTGCAAACTTTCCGTCAGCATAGTGGACAATAGCTCCGTCCATGATACATCCCACGCAGAGATCAATGGATGTCGCAGGGTACACTTTGCCATCTTGGCCCTTGTGCTTCAGGAGCATAGCCCATTTCACATAATCCTCGTCGTTTTCTTGTTCTGATGATGTTTTTATGGCTTTTTTGCGAATCACAACTTTGGTGCCAGGAACGATAATGTATGGTTGATCGTTAAGCTGCGGCCACATATTCTTGACAACACGCTCTTTTCCATTCAAGCCCAAGGCAGTAATCTTGAGAGGAGCAGTCATGTCGAAGTTGTTCCGAAGGTTTTGGATGTGAAAACTCGAAGGTTCGCCCTGAGATTCGTTCAGGAAATTGTAAGTGAGGACATTGTTCTCGCCAGTTTCACTGTTCTGGCCGTTTTCAACCTTCACATATGCGAGACCTGCTCCACAGGAAATTTTGATCATTGGATCAGCAAACTCAGACACATCTTCATCTTGATCGACACCCACTCCATCATCTTGTTTGTAATCAAATTCTATCTTCACGGTGGCATTCTTGTGTTCTTTTGGTACAGGCTTATCTCCAGGGAGAGCAAAATGAGGCAATAATTTGAACCTGAGGACATCTTGTAGATCCCATTTGGCCTCGTTTTCTCTCTTGTCGCTGGCCTCTTGCGCGAGGAAGTTCAGGTCCCATGTCTTGCTGTACCCACGCGCCATGATCCCAGTGGTATGCGCAGCACCGAATGCGTGGCCGACCTCGTGTAGGAACGCGCCTTGCCCGACAAAGCACGCGCCGCGCATAGTATCGCATTCACCGTTGTCATTGCCAACAGTGACACCCGGAGGTGTCATGTCAGTCAGACAAGCAGGGATTTCTTCCATAAAGCGTGGCCAGGAGTAAGTAAGGTGGCTACCAAAGATACCCAAGGACAACCCATCGGGCTTGTGGCAACCCAAGGCTGCATGTCCCAGAATCATGGACTTTTCGATAGAGTAGTGCGCATCCAGAATCAACCCGGCAACAACTGGGTTGGAAGCTGAGTCAAATGGCGCTCCTGATTGGATGAGTGCCGTCTCGAAGTATCTGTGCAAGGCATCTTGGTCCTGGGCACGGGGGTTCTGCTGAGCAATCTCAAGGTCTCTGAGCTCTGCGACCGTCTTATCCGATCGGATGATATGAACCTTTGGAACTGAACCCATTAAGCCCGGAACCGTCTGGTGGGCTGCTAGCATAGTCGAGTTGAAAGCCCACTCTTCCTCCAGGCGGAATGAGCGTCTGCCCAGTCCCTTTTGACGGAAGTCTTCTGCCGTGAGAGCTTGCCACATGTATGCTGACAAACGGAGCTTTTGGATCGCTGCGCCGAGGCTGCTATGCGCTGTTGAGATTGCGCCATATTTGGCAGGCGGGCAGTCGATCAGCAGGGGTGAATCCTTTGCAACAAGTATTGCGAGGTGGAGAGGTGGCAGTTGTAGCAGAGGGATATAATTCACTGTGACCTCCAGTGAGTCCGAGGTACCATCGGTATGATGCAGCTGGAAAGTAAGCATGTTGAATCCTGGAGAGAGCATAACGAGGGCCTTCCAGTAGCCTTTCTCCAGCGGCCAGTGTTGTACCGACTGGATGTTGTTGAGCATGTCTGTACAAGAAACGGAAACATGACTAGTTCCTTCGGAGTATTCAATATTAGAGCCCTCGCCATCGACTAGGATGCAGCTCTGGTGTACAACTTCTTTATCATCAAGATTAATAACTCTGAATGGTCTCTTATCGATGAGATTGGGCTTGACGCGACGTTGTTCGACACCGTCTTGCATTGGACGTTTTGTCATGATGGAGTGAAGTTGGAATATGAAATCAGATGAAAACAAGAACAAGCGGAAGGTTGACGGTTTAAGTACAGAGGAAATCAATAACCCGATAAGGGTCTCATAAATCCCGGCACAGACCTTAAGACTGCAGCCAATAAGAGTCAAAAGGGGGACTCTAATTACAATCCGTGGGGGAAATTTGTGGGTCTTTGCTGCTCTAGGCTTCAGCGCTGCCTGAAGCCGTCTATCGCTGCCTAGGGTTGCCTGATGGACTCACAAGATCTAGGATAATTAATCAAATCGTGGAATTTTCCACTTAATCAGGTAGATAGCTATCTATGAATTAATGTAAATTTGACATGAATATTTGGAAGGTTGAGCCGCATAGGTACATCCATGGGTGTGTATCATCAACCTCCGCTCAAGTAGACAGCGGATTTAACTCACCACTAGAGCTGCATTTGACTAGATTAAGTCTTGGAAAATCCAGAGACGAAATGAAATGTTCGGCGAAAAAATTAGATGATGACTATTTTATAGATTGTTGATATTAATGTTCTAAGGAGATTACCTATCTATATATCTTAAAAATCGCCAATCCTCCAACAAATCCGCGGGTAGTTCAGTTGGTTTAGAGCGCCAGACTGTAATGGAAATTGTCATCTGGAAGTCGGCGGTTCGACTCCGCCCCAGCGGATCTTTTTTGCTTTTGTTCAATCCACTTATCCATACTGGGTCGGGAAAAATAAAATAATTAAGCTCATAGATAGGTACTATTTAGGTAATCATTATTCATAGAATTTTCGACTTAATATTTTTTTCCCCTTGGTAGTTATGCATTGGTTGAGTAAAGAACTTATAAAAAAATAAAAAAGATCCGCTGGGGCGGAGTCGAACCGCCGACTTCCAGATGACAATTTCCATTACAGTCTGGCGCTCTAAACCAACTGAACTACCCGCGGATTTTGTTGGAGGATCGCCAAAAATTAAGTAATTTCACAAAACACTTTTCGACCTATCATTTCGAGCTTTTCACCAAGATTTAGTATTGGCAACAAAATTGATCCGTCAAAGATGTTAGTGGTTGAAATTCAAAAAAAAAAATAGTCAATTGTTACCTGTATACATCCCGTGGTTCCCGTAATCGGTACATGATAAGTATAAGCCCCTTGAATTAAGCCTGCGCAATACATATGCAGGTACAAACCTTGAATCCATCACGTGTATTAGACTACAACCCTTGGAAATGAATGTAGGGATGAACTACAGATATATAACCTTACACAGATTTCAATCTTGGAAGTTAATGACAATGTGGCTCGAGCAACCGACGACTCTCAAGGGCTAGATAATTTGGGACATTCTTGACAACCTTGGAAGGACTTGGCAAGTACAAGAACTGAGGACATCATCCATGGTTGAAAGGATATATCCATTTGGATTAACTGATGAGTACCTCGTTGTGTGCCTTTCTAGTTATCAGTTTTAACCAAAGATTAAACCCTAGATATCTCCGAGTGTTTCTTTGATGGAATAGCTTTTCTTTTTTACCTAGGTATATTAGGGGTGTATATTCCCTAGATAAATACCGGCCAATTTGGGCTAGCAACAATAAAAACAAAATTACAGAATAAATCTTGTCCAGACAGTTCATAGGTAGCTACGAACGAAATAATTACTGATAACATGCTCAGGTGGCCAATTAATAACATATCAATGGGTCAAAGAGTCAATTATAATGGTGCGGCATTGACGCCACATTCCGCCGTTGCCCTGAATACCTGGCAGAGAAAAACTGTTGACATTTCTACAAGATCAGTCCCAGAAATATTCTTCCTTCTTCCCTCAAAGTTTTCACTCCTCATAAAACTGAACTCTTAAATTCATTAAAAATGATCATTAAAACACTGGCCTTTGCGACTCTACTGCTAGATGCAGTACATGCGAAGAACAAGGACGGCTCGGATTCAAGATACGACTTCGTCATTGTTGGCGGGGGAACAAGTGGATTGGTGGTTGCCAATAGACTATCAGAACTGAAAGGTGTCTCTGTGGCAGTTATTGAGGCCGGAGATTCAGTCCTCAACAGTCACAATGTGTCAACCGTTAATGGATACGGGCTAACTTTTGGATCAGATATCGACTGGGCTTTCCAGACCGAAAACCAAACATACGCCGGCGGAGCAAGACAGACGATGAGAGCCGGAAAGGCTATAGGTGGAACAAGCACGATAAATGGTAAGAAGACTCCTGTTTTATAAGTATATTCATATACTGAGGTCTGTTATTTGATGTAGGAATGTCCTATACTCGAGCACAGAACGTGCAGATTGATGCGTGGGAGGTATTTGGAAATAAGGGATGGAATTGGAACAGCCTCCTGCCGTATTATAAGAAGTCAGAGGGTTTTGAGGTTCCAGATCCTGATCAGATTGCACATGGTGCCGATTATTACATCAGTTATCATGGACAGGACGGTCCGATGAAGGTTGGCTGGCCACACTTTATGACCAATAGCAGCATGCTTCCAATACTCGACGAAACATTCAAACAACTCGGTGTTCCCTATAACCGTGACGTGAATGGTGGCAATATGGTTGGGCTCACGGCTCATCCTGACACGATCGACAGAGAAGCCAATGTTCGTCATGATGCTGCTAGAGCTTACTACTGGCCTTATGAAAGCCGCTCCAATCTCAAGATCATCTCAAACACATATGCGAACAAGATTATTTGGTCCGATACAAATCTTACCCAGGCTGTCGCCATTGGAGTTGAAGTTAATGGCCCTGATGGAGTTGAAACAGTATACGCCTCGAAAGAAGTGATTCTATCGGCTGGTGCGTTGAAATCACCCATGCTTTTGGAGTTGTCGGGAATCGGAAACCCCAATATCCTGCAAAAATATGACATCCCTGTCAAAGTGAACCTTTCTACGGTCGGAGAGAACTTGCAGGACCAGACAAACAATGGTCTCGCCTATCAAGGAAAAGAATTCTGGCTCGGTCTGCCGACTTTTTCAGTTCTTCCATCAGCAAACCAGATGTACGGAACAAATGTTGGCGCTGTTGCTTCCGCAATCAACTCCAGCCTCGTAACTTACGCCAAAGATGTGTCTGATTTCTCAAACGGCGCGGTCACTCAAGCGAATCTTCTATCTGCTTTCCAACTTCAGTATAACTTGATCTTCAAGTCTCAAGTTCCCTTTGCAGAGATTGTTCTCCTTCCATTCGGACATTCATTTTCTAGTGAATACTGGCCTCTTCTCCCTTTCTCCAGAGGCAATGTCCACATCAACTCCGCAAATCCCAGTGACCCAGCTTCTATTAACCCGAACTACTTTATGTTCAAAGAGGATCTGAATGTACAGGTTGATGTGGCCCGGTACATCCGCAATGCGTTCCGCATTGAACCTCTGAAGGACCTCGTTGGAGACGAGTTTGAGCCAGGACTGGAAAATCTTCCAGATAACTCATCAGGTGCTGCCTGGGAAAACTGGGTCAAATCAAGCTGTAAGTAACAACAGGACAGGAGGAAAAAATTCATCGGCTAACTTTCTAGATCGAACAAATTTCCACCCTGTTGGTACTGCTAGCATGTTGCCTCGGGAAAAGGGTGGCGTTGTCAGCCCTGAACTGAAGGTCTATGGTACCAGCAATGTCCGGGTGGTTGATGCTTCTATCATACCCTTCCAGATCTGTGGCCACTTAACAAGTACTCTCTATGCCGTGGCTGAAAAGGCTTCGGACATTATCAAGAAACAATATTCGCCACCTGCATAGTGGAGTAGCATTTAACAACGTTTAGGAGAGGGAAAATCATTGGAATATGGTGTTGCTGGCAATACGTTATTGGTTTCTATATACCCAGATTTTGATTCGTTTCGTTATAATGTATGCCATGATGGAGCTAGGAATGGCACCAATATTTCTGTACATTAATCAACTGTGTTCTCTGTCTGCGACATTTGATCATGCTTTCAACCACAAAATTGAAAAGAGAGGCTTTTTGGGCCCTTGAACTCATACAAATGCAATTGATTCCCAATGTGGACTGCATATAGAATGACCAATTTCCTTCTGCATTTCCTCCATCGTAGCATTCTTGGTTGAAAACGAGGACATAAGAAGCTCCATTTTTTGTTAAAAAGCAGTACAATATTGTTCGCTTGCGATGACCAGGTTTGAAAACTGGTTCAAAGGGCTGAACAGATGAAGAGTCAATCTTTTGAGAGCCGATATTGAAGGCAGCGTATAAGAGTGATCAGGGTCTAGCATTTTACTGCGTAGTCTGGCACACTCTGAAATTAGCTGCTTCGCAGTTAAACCTTGGCCAAACGAATGCTAGTTATATGCAAAGTGATTCATACTGATCAAAGTAGATGAGTGTTTTGACCCAAAGACCTGTTTCCTGATCTTCATTTAGGGATGCACACGATACGATAACGCCGACTTATTTTTCAAACGATACGATAACGTCCAAAATCTGGAAAAAGGCGTTATCGGACCGCTTTTTATCGTCGAGTTCGTTTTAGGGCGGTCCGTTATCGCCTGATATCTTCTGAAACGGTCCGTTATCGTTGATCTCGGAATAATACATTTTCCTGATTTAGGCTAGTCCTAAATAAGAAATAACATAGTATCAAATTCGAAATAGTAAACTAAATCAGTGTGACTGCCCAATATCATCTAATAGCATCAGAATTCTCATCGTCTCACCTGACATACGATGTCTTCGAATTGCAAGAACATCCCTCCCACGATTAAAAAGTCTTTCAACTGAAACCTCAGAAGCTGGTATTGCTAGATAATCTCTAGCAGCAGCAGCTAGCCGAGGAAAATCATGCTTATGAGCCCCCCACCAATCGCATAGCCATGCCGGATTTGATAGACTATCCCTATCCCGAACCTGTGGAGCATCAAAATAGCGATCAAACTCAGACTGGTCGGCGTCTTCAGCTGCTATAGCTCTTTCGAGAAGTCCATGGATATCATTATCCTCATACTCCATTGAGTCCACTCTTTGCTTCTTAGGCTGAGGCTGTCCCCTGATCAAGTCATCACTTGATGTAGCAGGAGGATAGCTACATTCAAGCTTCTCACGGATTGCTTGAATAATATTCATTGCAACCTCAGGCTCATTAGGTAGCAAATGCTTCTTAAGAAGTGACCCTTTGATCCTAGGATCTAGAAGTAGAGCAATGTAGTAGAGGTCTGTAGCATCCATATAATAGTAGTACTTCTTATATTTCTGGATACTATTCTCCACAGCACCTGCAATATCCCTAGGAAGACCTTCGAAACCCTCTTGACGACTAGCCACATTATGAAGAAGATCATCAAGTCCATAATAGACTGGAACAGTAAAACTGATATGTGGCTGCCGTTTTGAGACAAAAGCAGTAAAGCGATCTAATTTCGCAAGAACATGATGAAGGTGAGAGAGCCAAATCCAGTCTTCCTCTAAAAACATGAAGAAGGGAGTCTCAAATTTGATGAAATCCTGTAGCTGTAGCTTTGACTAAATAATTAAATAATATTAGTTAAATATGATCAATGGCATAATGGATGGAGATAAATACTTACCTCCAAGGCATCATCCAACATACGATTTGTTGAATTCCATCTGGTCTCCACATCATATTCAATAAACTTAGTCGGCAACCCAAGCCGGATGCAGGTCGAATACCAGATTTGCCTAATTATAGGATTAGTATAGAATAAGTAGAAGGGAGAATAATCATATAAGAGGTCTTACCTACGTTGTGGACTTCCCTGAATCCAAAGAACGATAATGCGAAGCCTCATAAGTGGAGCGATCTCAGACATCTCTGCTGCATCAAGCTTATCAAGACACTCATAATAGGTAGTAGCCTCCTTTATAGTGCCTGATTTAAGACTTGAGAGAATATCCTTAATAATGGGATTAAGGATATGAGCTATACATCGAACATAGCTATCTAAACCATCAAATAAAGAACTTTCATTCTTTGATTTAATATTAGATAGCTCTATTACCATGCGCTCGTTCTTACTAGCATTATCACCTATAATTGAGAGTAGCTTTGGGTGAAGATCTAGCTCAGTAAGTAAAGAATCAATATGTAAGGGTTTGAGTCCAATGCGGTTGGGCTACCGTAAACAAGAGAAGAACTATTATGAGAAGGCTACCAGAGGACGGAGGTGTGGGTGTGGTATCCCATAGGGCTCAACTCCACTAAGGTAAATTGGGGACAAGAACAACTCTTGAACTCCTTCAAGAGTCCAAAGACCTCAGAGAGTTAAATACATCAGGAAGTGGCAAATCTCTAACTAGCTTATCCGGGGAACCCCTGCTTCCCTGACAGCTGGTTCAGCCAGCTTATGTAGAGAGTCCATTGCCTCTCTCAGCCTTCTTGCAACCCACGCCGTTACACAATAGCCTTCGCTAGATTCTCTCCACTATGGGAACCAAAAATCTCTTGGAATTCAAGGACTCTCTCCTGATATTGAAAGTCCTCTGTAATCCAATGACCAATGATGGCAAGAATTGGGATTTGGTTCTTACTAGTCCATAGCTCAAGAGAAAGGGCAATTGTCTGACATGAAATAGCAAGATCTTCCTTCAACTTCGTACGTTGGAAGTCAAATTCTTCTTTTAGGCGACGTAGAAGTGTTGTTCGGGAGGTAAAAGGGAGTGAGACCCCCATACCTTCAACCATTTCCCGAAATGAAGGCTCTTCAATAACAGTAAATGGTTGCTTAGTCTTAACAACCCAACGAAGAAGTTTCGTCTCAATCCGCTGTTGATGGTCTAAGGGAGTCTCCTTTTTACCCCAATAGGAATAAAGAGAGGCTGGTGCTATAGCCATAGAGTTATCCATCTCTTGGATATCAGGGGCCCGAACATCATGGTCAACTTCCAGATGCCGTTGAATATTCGCAAAAGATCCATATCGTTTTGAATCAAGGGTGCACCAATTACATGGATTACCGTCTTTAGTCTGGAGGGTACACCGAATCTCTCGATCATGAGCTACCTTTTTCTTGGTCTTTTTATTGAACCATTCCATTGGAAGCTCTTTAACCGAGAGATATTCAAACATCCAATCATGCTTTGATTGTCTTGATCTCTTAGATCTAGCGGTCACCTGGGATATAGACTCAGAAGGTGTAGGCCCAAGTGTAGAACTTAAAGGCCCAGGAGTAGCGTAAATAGGTATGTCTGGAGCCAATTGGTCATCATGATCTATAAAACAAAACATCAATATCAAGTAGAGAGAGAGATATAGTCACATGGTGAGATTGATATTACCAATACGATCAGTGGGTTCAAGGATAGGGTCTTGCCAATCTTCATTTTCAAGCCCTCCATTTAGATTGAAGTATTTTTGACGATTACCGCGTGTTTCCATGACGTTGAACTGGATAGAACCATAGAATACAAGGCAAGGATTCTGGATTCATAACTAGTTAACTATCATATGATACTAAATATATTATATAATCTAGTCAGACGATAACGCCCGTTATCGCTTGACGATACGATAAAAACGGTCCGTTATCGTCAGCCTAAAAAAGTCGGCGATAATTATCGCCAGACTGAAAAAAGTCGGCGTTATCGGACCGTCGACGTTAACGGACCTTCATTATCGCACGATAAAAATATCGTGTGCATCCCTAATCTTCATCACCTGGATGTGAAGCACCTTCAATATTTCCTGTAAAAAGTGTATAAAGGCGAGGGAATTTATATGATCCAGAATATCAGTTCTGACCCGAGGTGCTTGCTAGTCTTCATGCCGGTCATCCTGCACCCAATCACAACAGAGGCTAGATATATTCGCCTGGGAATTATGGCATCCAGGTATCTTGACAATACTGGCAATCTCACGACAGCTCTGTTGGAATCTATTTGCATTACTTGCATGGATCTAGAAAACCTAAAATTTGGTAGACTCATTTCGAGCTCGATAGCAGTATTTGATAGAAAGTTTTGATTTTCTGTCAAGTCATTAGCATTGATCATTATCTTATGTCAAATAGACTGTGACTGGCTGGCCAATCATTCAAATGCCACAAATGAATGAAACTGAATTTTCTAACTAGGGTGTAATCTGGCTTAAATACACATCTAAAAGTGGGTCCCAAACCACTTCCTTTGACATCTTATCAAAACGGCCTGGATCTGTGGATTCCAAATTATTCGACAGCACCCAGGCCGGCAAGTGCAATGCAAGATCCTGGTGCTGAACATATTTTATATAGCTGATCAAGTACCCCACGACTGACAAAGGGTAGTGTCGATACCACTAGACCAAAGTAGGGCACAGGACCAATGGTTCCGATGCTGTTGGTTCGACATGAAGTGAATCTAGCGAGTTTTGTCTATTTAGTTACAGCGAGGATAAGATTGAAAAACACACCTTTTACAACTTCGCATCGACGCACCTAAATCTATTCCGTCGAGAATACTAGTTGCATATGCACCGTAAGAACGTCACCGTTCCGACAGGTAGCCACGGAATGGAATAGTTGAAACGGCCATAGTTAACCATATCTTACGGGCTGGTGGAGTTTCCAGTTCTACCCATATGGAAGTTAAGCTGCACATTTAAAGATGCATTCGCAACTCCGATTTGGAGTCCGGAGTTTGTGCTAAACAACAAAGACACGTTGAAGGTGCTATACAATCTTTGACGAGTGGAGCAAAGCTAAAAGGCCAGCTCAGACGACGATCAGCCGCATAGTCAGGCGATCAACTTCAATTTCTACTTTTAGATCAAAATTATCTAGAATTTTGGAGTTGGAAAGCGGAAAGAAACGATGAAGTCTTTCAACATCTTTACACCTGATACTGACAGTATTTACCAAGTGTACAGATTAGTCACAGTAGATATACTTGATGGCCAATCAAGCAAGTGTCAGGCCAACCTTCGTTCCATTAGCACTGGTCAACACCAGAACCAATCCCTCCACAAATGGTTCTGGATCATGGCTTTCAATAGCCTTAAACTCCTGCAACATGCGCACAATGGTGTATGAAGCTTCGGTCAAGGAAAACTGTTGCCCGATACAGATACGAGGGCCCCCATTGAATGGGAGATATGCCCAACCAGGCCTCAGCTTCTCCCATCTCTCTGGTCGGAATTCATCTGCATCTTGTCCGAAAAACTCAGGAAGCCGATGCATAGAATAAACACTATACATAACCTCATATCCTTTAGGGACAAAAAGAGGGTCCTTTCCGCTTGGGCCGCCTCCACGAGGGAGGAATGTGTCCATTTTGGCCATTCGTGTATTGAACGGAGCGATTGGATACAGACGCAAGACTTTGTATTACTTAGTCAGTGTCAGGACATATTTAAAAGATCTAACACTTACTTTCATTGAGAACCCATGTTAGGTACGTCATCGATTTCAAATCTTCAAAAGACGGCTTTTCCCCATTGAGAGCTAGCACGCTTTCTCTTAGTTTGTTCCACACGTCAGTTCGCCGAGATAACACAAAAAATGTGATACTTAGTAGATTTGCGGTTGTATCACGACCAGCCAGTAAAATACTTATCATCTGATCTATCATCTCTTCTTTGTCAAGCGTTTGCTTCGACAGCTCATAGGAAAAGACATATTGTTTCTCGGTCAATTCCTTGATATCCTGAGGAACATCGTTACCACTGGTGACTGCCAGTCTGTAGTCGATAGCTTTCTGAGCGAATTTCCCAGCGTAAGCACGTGTCTCTATCACTCCATCGGAGTATTCCTTATTTCGGTAGAATTTCATAAAAACCCCAAGTCGAAAACGGTCAGCGAGTCCGTTTTGGGCATTATCAAAGGATTTTCCAAATGATAAACCTGAGGGGGAGGCTTCTTTCTTTAAAGAATGAGCCGATTCTCCAAATAAGAACTCTGTTGCGGTATCAAGAGTCTTAGGTAATTAGTAAGAGACCCGGAGAGGGAATGGGAAGAGATAAAGAGGGATATTTACCAGGCGATTAAACAAGATCTGCAAATCAACTGTGGATTTATCGCGAGGAATGTTCTCTAATAGCTCGTTGAAGTGAGTTTCATAGACCCGGGTGTTGGTGACCTGGGCGCGAACAAAGTTTGGACGAAGAAGAGCTCGTGAATGCTCCCATTGTTTGCCATTTAGACTGAAAATTCCAAAGCCAACCAGGGGAATTCCTGCATCAATTCGGACTTTTCCCACTTCGAAGTCGTTAAATTTGAGCGCTAACATTGTTTGAAGGTTCTTCGGCTCTGCAGTGAAAATAACGTTTCGACCGCCCATTTTGGCTCTGAATGTTGTACCGTAATTTTGGTGCCAGCCACGAATAAGCTCGAGAAAACGGTGCTCATGTCGTGCTTTGATTAACTCTTTGATCATTCCGATTCCGAACAATCCCAGTGTAACAGTTTTTGCTGGGGGTAGACACCCATTTTTTTGACAGAATTTCCGATCTGGAAGGTCAGCTTTCTCTCTCTTCATCTAATGTCAAAAGTCTTTGTACCATTGAAAAGTCTTATCACTTTAATAAGAAGGAAAACAAAAGCAAGAGTCCCAGCTATCAGACCAAAAGGATGAGTATCGAGCGAGTTTGGAAAAAGTTGAATCATGGTGAAGGGACTTTCTCTTAATCCACAAGGTTTCAAGGCTATGAGATTTTCACTTGGATCTATTAATGAAAAAATAGAATACTTGTACTTTAACTACTCTGTATGTATTAAGGCTGACTATGATGTGCCAGTTGTCAGTGAAACACTCAGATTATGCCGTTGGCTATTACCTAGGCAGTAACATTAGACCTAGCCAATTGGATTGAGTCTTACTGTATGAATATTACAATTTCAAATATGATACGCTGCTGGATATCCGGTCTGTACTTTAATTCAAAATGTGTCTGCATGGAATGTCAGGATCAGCAGGATTGTTAATATCCGTCTATACATCATGTGCATACCATAATACTATAGCTTTGACCCTTTGCTAGTCCTATTAAGGTTATGGTCTCCTAAAACTCGACTCTCTTCTTCATCCCAAACTCTTCACATGTTCTGCGAGAATCAAGCTGTGTTATCAAGTCAAGTTATTGCTTATGTGCGGCCCAGTCAGCTAAATTAGGCACCAATCTGATATCTCCATATCATCAACCTTAGCTGCATAGGAGGAGAAGGAAAGTATGCTGAAAAAGCCTTTCCGAGGGTTAGTACAGTTTTGAAGCATACCCTGCCAGAATTTCCAAAATGCGAGTTGAAAAAGTCCATAACAAACAACCCTTATAAGTAGCTAGCTTGTATTGGTCAAGGCAGGATCGATAGCAATAAACAGCGAATCGGATGAGTAGGAATCACAGATTTAAGTCCTCGTACAAGATCGTCATTCTCTAATTTAAAAAAACTCAGAAGTACACCGATCTCGTTACTACGACCATTGTAACGGGCTGATGCCCGCCATATGGATCTTGGTGCCCATTATCCATTTTTACTGTGTCTACTTGGGCTATGAAGTGGGATTATAAGAACCAATCAGAAGACTTTACAATCTCAAATATGTGTATATTCGCAGTAGTAAATCTTACTGCAGTAAAGAGCGTACGGAAGCTGACTAATAAAGAACACTAGACTAAAATAGGACTGGCATTTGACACTGCAGTAAGATCACGTGACTAGAGGACCCGTCATCCTCGACTCCACGCCGACTCTTTTACACCCTTAAGGATTTTGTACATAGTTTGTGACCTAGCTGGTTCTGAATCTAAGATTAGCTTTAGCCCTTCACAACCATAAGCCTATTTAGGTCTCAAGTGTCCATCTACCCTAGAAAATGGGCAATGCATTACTACTGATGGTTCCTTTAGTCGCTATAAAAACACAAGAAGCCACTCAGGAGGTATAAATCTAGGCATGTATGACCCAGATTATTCGAGTTGCAATCTTGTGTTGATTGTCAGATGAAATCTTGTATAGCCCTATTAGCCAATTTTCCCCCAAGTGATCAATATTCCCTAACAATATTAGATTATTTACTCACCGAACTATTGACTTATTATCAAAGTATAGTTAAAATAACGAAGAAATTGAGTACAGTAAATTAATTATCCCTTATGCTTCTGACTTCTATATATTATTCCTTACCTCACATACTGATATACAGCCTTCAAAGAGATATCTAAATGACGGCAAAGAAGTGCTTATCCTGCACTAACCTGGCAGCGATGAGAAATATGCCTCCAAGAATCAGCGAGACTCCCGAAAAGAGGGATAAGGAGAGGTATCCAAATTTCTCGACTAGTACACCACTGATCGGAACATTTGCCATAGCACTATCCAAGTTAGTAAGAACTTATGGTAAAAGTAAAAAAAAGTATGATCGTACGAGAGCGAAACAGAAGCTGCCACGGTTCCAATAGCAAGGCCCATAGTAGAAGGTGTGGCAACTTGCGCAGCGCAAGCTTGTTGGAGTGAGATGATTCCCTGTTAAAATGTTGAAATATCAGTATGCGATGATGGTTTCAATGTGGCGATTCACAACTTACCCCCGATGCAAGTCCATAAGCGGCGCACCAGACACCTAATCCAGCCACAGAATTCACTTTTGTCCAGCACAGTGCGATTACACCAGCCAACAATGTGGACAAGATAACACAATTAAACTTCCCATATTTGTCAGCCAAAAATCCTGGGACAACACGACCGACAAAAGAAGCTCCATTGACAATGGAGACGGTATAAAATGCGAAACTCGAAGAGAATCCCTTTTCGACGGCATATGAAGTTGTAAAGAAGAACGGCGAGAACATTCCGAAGTATGTGATGAACATAGCAAGCGAAAGAAGCTGTAAAGCTGGCTTTTTGGAGAGAGCCACAGTCTCTGACTTGCTACTAACCTTGACACGAGCGGTAATATCCACACCATCCTTCTGTTCGGTTTGGCCAACCTCAGAAGTGATTTTTGGCGGCTCCTTCGCAACAAGACAGGCGAAACCAAGACACGGGATCATAATAAACCCTACAATCCGCATTGTCCATGGAAACCCAATCCCACCTGCCTTCAACAGATTATCAATAGCAATCGGCCAAACAACACCACCCAGCGAAGATCCTGCGATAACAATCCCCAACGCCGCACCACGATTCTCTGCATTGATACACTTTCCCACAAGTGCTAGCATAGGCCATGTAATCAGCGCCATTGAGATACCAAGCAATATACCCTGTGCAAGTACAAACTCGTAAAATTCCCGACAGAGCGAAATCATCATAATCGAAAACACGGTGCCTATTGCACCGGCCCAACACATTAATTCAGGTCCGAATATATCAAGGATTAAGCCGGAGATCACGGAAATTGAGAATAGGAAGAAGATTGCAACGGCACCCAGCCAGGCGATTGTCGATTGGCTGGTTTCAGAGAGTTGGTCGGAGGCATAATACTCTTGAAAAACACCGAATGCGTTGAGGAAGCCGACTGTGCAGAAAAGACATAGGCTTGCGCCTGATATGACGAGCCAAGACCGGGATTTGAGCCTTTGATATATTGGAGGTCAGGGCGAATTTGATCTGTATGGTGATTTTGGATGAAACTTACATGTTGATGAATAGTTTGGTTGAGTTTTTCAGTATTTCCAGGTTATATGACAGAGATGATCTCAGACTGGGATTTCTGATTTCTAGTAGATAACCTTCAATCTAATATACAAAGATTTGGACCCCCTAATTAAGAAAATTATTTGCCTTCACGGAGACTCCGAGTTATATAGTATGGTGGGGTTATTTGACCAATAGGAGCGCACCAAGCCTGGACTCTCCGCGGACTCTCCGCTTCTCCTTGAGCCTCCAGCCAGCGAGAATTTTCTGCTCAGCACAATCATACTCAAATGAGTGTGCGTTGTTTTGGAACTCTATTGGGGATGAAAAAGTCAAAAGATTGTTTCATTCATTAAATCTTCTCAAAAATGAAGCGAAAGCCGAAAACCAATTCGGATTCAAGCTCTACGAAAAAGTATCCTCGACAAGACCCTGTGTCCTGCGAGTCATGCCGAAAGAAGAAACTAAAGTGCAACCGGAGCATTCCATGCAGCAGCTGTATAGTGCGCAATATCGACTGTAGCTTTGGGAGCCGTCTAACTGCATCAGCTAGCTCCGCAGTAAAACAGGGTAGCCAAACGGGAGTGTCCCAGCCGTATAACCAGGGGGAATCACGACCTCAACATCCAACTCCAGACGTTGAGCCTCGGAGCCGCAACCGTGATGACCCTCTCATGACTGTTGACTGGCTCGAGACTATGGTCATGGGTCATCGGGTTCCGAGTGCCATTCCGCCACCGTTAAGAGATGAGTTATCACAACATTCGCGAGCAGCTGTGGCAGAAGGGATATCTAACCTCGGCGCTTTGTCATTTTCTTCTGGTAGTGGCCATACACCATCTTGTGAGAACCCTGCCAAGATTCGATTATCTTGCTTCCTACCACCCAAAGCCGAGGCACTGGACCTGTTCCAGTTTTACATCAATCACCTTGACTATCAATATCACATCATCATTCCCAGTTATACAAGGCGGGATATTGAAGATATATATGATAGTTCTCGAACAGATGATCTTAACTTACCGCATGTTGCACTCTTATTTGCAATCGTCGCGGCTGCACTGTTCTATAAGCTCCTCTCGACCGAATCAGCCGGGATTTCGGAGGCCTCCAGCTGCGAGATGGCGTTCCTGGCAGGTGCCGCTTTGATTCAGAGTGACTATGTTGCTTGTCCCACTGTTGAGGGTCTACAAGCTGCGATGATAATTGGACACAATTCATCTATTGCGACCCTCAATCCTGCTGTCAGCTCGCTGTTCCTGCATGGGTCTCTGATTAGCCAGGCTAAAACTCTTGGGCTTCATATGGTGGATTCCTCGATATCAGAACCAAAAATCAATGGAAACGATAGAACTAAAGTCGAGCTTAAGCGGAGGCTTTGGTGGGATCTGGCTTCCTATGACTGGTACGTTAGACGCCTGGATGGAAATCTCATTTTAAATTGTTAATTCGAGGTTAGGTTTCTTGGTTTCCTCAGTGGACCACAAGAGTGGACTTACACAATCAGTCCTCGGCAAATGAACGTGCGAAGACCTTGGAATATTGAAGATGAAGACATTGAAACCAGTGAAACAGAATTGCCAATCACAGAACCAACCTGCATGTCCTACACGCTCCAACGATTGCGCTTAGCCGAAGTTTGCCGTGAGATTGTGGATAGCACTGCATTCGAAAATCTCCAAGGCATGGAAATACCCTACGACAAGATCCTATCCCTGGACCGCAAGCTTCAAGATGCATACGCTGAAATTCCAGCATTCTTCAGATTTGACCAATCATCCCAATACAGATTTGCATCACTCTATCGTGAAAGACCTGTAGTAGCCTGGCAACGCTCATTGCTCCAACAAGGATACCACTACCGGTTCTGCCGCTTACACCGACAATATTTAGTCCGCGGGGCTAAAGATCCTAAATACTCATATTCTCACATTGTGTCGCTACAATCAGCTCGGAAGGTGCTAGAAGTGAAACGCATAATGGATGAAGAGGATCCAATATTTGCACCGAATAGCTCATTATTCTGGGCGGTGATGCACCATGTCTTCATGGCCGCGGTCATTCTGCTTATTGATGTATGTTTTAACTGGGATGATATACTCGCTGAGAAGCGAAAGGAGGAGGTTCTTGCTGCTTGTCGCTTGCTTTGTCAAGCGCAGCAGTCATCTTCAATTGTGAGGGGGGGCATTGATGCTATGATGGAGATTTTGCGGAAGCATTGGAAGAAGGAAAGGCGGCAGTGCCCACTGGCTGATTCTCTCAACGAAAAAGTTGGGCAGGCTCATCTACAGATTTCATACGCATCGAAAGACACACAGATTGAAGTCCCCGAGCAAGACCTTTCTATAGCCTCTGACTTCGGCCAAATTCCGCTGGAAGATCTATGGTCAGGGATGCTGGACAGAAATGAGGATATTGGACTGGGAACGCCTGACTGGAAGGACTTGCTAATGGAACTGACCAATGCAACTTTGCCGCCTGAACTATAGGCTCATATTACTGATCATTTACGCGAATTGCGACTTAAGTTGTATATTTTTGGCACTAGATATCTTGTAGTTATAATTTGAGAGAGGAGATCATATTCACGATCCCATCCCTGCAGTTTCCTGAGAAAGAAAGCAGTGTCTCTCACAAGCTGATCTGCATCGTATGGCTAATCGAATATCTATCTAATTTATGGAACGAAGACGCCAAGAAGACCTCGGGAGAAGGAGGACCCACAAGGGGTGAGGCAAAGAAATACTGTTGCCGTCTCCAGTGGCGTAGAGTAATAGGCTCAAGTATGGATGAGCGGACAAGAAACCTGTTCTCTAACCCTTCCCAAACGAATGGATCGAAGCTTGACACGGCACCGAAAGTATTACTCGGAGTCTACAACGGTTTTTTTAAACCAATGTATAACTGCAGTTTCAGACTTCTCTCAAAAAAGAGATTGACGATCTAATTGAAAAGAGGGTCTTTGAAGTAGCTAATTCAATAGGCATTCCCCAACCTGATTGTTTAATTCCCGATTTGTGGATGAAGTCAAGAATATAGGCACAGAAACTGTGTTTGAAAAAGTCACGGCTGGTTGTCTACATTGACTAGGGCAAATAGTCATTGCTGACGCAGTCACCAGCAATGTTCGCTTCGATTCGATCTGCTGCCGTTCGTAAAAAGTCCCTCCAACGATGAAAATCACCTTATCAACCAACCAGTTAAGAGACGTGTTCTATGCCTCTAGTCGGGAAAACATTAGTGCAGTCGACAATATTATCAGGCAGACAGTCTGCTATGGTAGAGGTATGCGAGTGGTAGAAGATGTGTCTATTCCAAATGATAAAATCGACGCAGAAAATTCCCACGTACTCTAACTAGTTTCAGTAAACATCCCAATCCGATTATACTGGATGAAAGACTACGTTCTTCTATCAAACAAACTCCAAAATAAATCATGTGCCTTAAAATCAGGTCATTTCCCTGAATTCCAAGCATTTAATGTAACATAACCCAATCTTTATTGCATATTTTGACTTTCACAGAAATAGAGCCCAGTGGCAAAAGAGAGAACGTAAGTACATTTAAACCTTGGAAGATAACGTGCACTTGGGCAAACAGAGTTATGCGGAGAAGCAACATGGGTTGATTCGGCCGGCAGTAAAACAAACTGGTGTTTTACCTACGCGATAGTTCAGTTGATGAAGTAGGGAGGAGAGATAGGCTTTCCGAGGGCAGTTGGTGAAAGTCCCCTTCTTAGGGTCGGTAATATCCGCCACTACGAACCTTAGAAGCACGAGCACTGTCAAACTTAGCAGGTTCTTTTTAAAGCCGCAATAATCACCGATGAACCATTTTCAGGGGGTGAATCTTACTGATTAGTGCTTTCTGCAGTACTTTTATGAATCTAAGCTTATCTAGATTCACACCGAAGGATTTAAGAATTACTGCCGATCAGAGGAATTACGTGCATTGAGCACACAGTGAGATATTGACTTAGACCGATGCCGTACTTTGTCATATAGCTATAGAAGAAAATCACAACGTTCTCGAAGGAGACCATTTTATTTAAAGAAAAAGCATTAGTGAACTTTCTATGTGTGCAAGGTTTCAAGGTTGCTTAAAGAAAAAAGCCAATCTCAACTTTTTTTATGGCCGAAGAAGAAACTGGCGACGGGGTAAATGAATAATTGCCACCTAAATCCATAGTTACCTGACTAACCCTTTATAAGCTGTTACAGCAGAGCTTGCCAGTCCCAGTAATTTAGGGTCCAGTTATTGAGAAGTGTAATAGATATAGTAAGGGGTGTTCTCCTATCCATAGATGAAACAAGGGTAAGGCGAGTATCGTTTCTCTTGGCGGCCAAAATCAGTCACGATAACTGATGAATTCTTCAGGTAAACATGGGATCCATTGTTACTTTCTAAGGTTGTATAGTCAATATGCCTAGATTATAATCAATTTTAGATCGATCCATATAATCGACTGTTTTCGGCAAACTTAAGGTTTCGTTAGTTAATTACTTGTATTCAAAACTAAACCTATTTAATCTACTCCGTGATTTATCCGTATATCCTTATATCCGTATATGCTTGTTATCTTTCTTCGCCTTCTCTATCTATTAGTTAGATACTCTGTGTATGTCGTAGTCGGGACAGGACTACATCTATGTTTACTCATTGTGACCGAAATCAAGGGAGGAAATACCTACCAAACATTTAATTGACTGGGTACGCTCCAGTGATTGTCAGCTTTAGAAGATTTGATGAGCAGCTCATAAGCCTATTGTATAACCTTCTAAATATGGAGTATGCTATGGCCACCTACGCCTATTTCCATCACAGCGGAATGTAAGGTGAAAACCGACATTGTGGAACGAAGGTTCGATCTCGATGGCTCACGCTAGCCCTATTGCGAAACGCTACAGCACCCACTTTACAGCCCGTGCACATGTGAATTCTTTCGCATGTGCGATGTAATTTATCCGTACGCAGTACATTCTATGGAATTTTCCGTATATCACGGTCTATACTTCTATGCAGGTACCCAATTGGGAATAGTCGTAGCTCTAGGAATATTTCGCCGCGCACAATAGAGCACATAAATTGGGGATATCTAGCCCGAGGATTAAAAAGCCACGGGTGTAATTGTGGGTACAAAATACGAAATACTACATACTACCATGGACCCGATTTTCACATGGTGCCCATCCACCTCGACTCTGTAGCTTCACTATTTCCATACCCCTTGAATACGTCCTTAATACCGCAATATTAATATTCCAGCCTCTTGGTGCAAGAAACCGGATATATATGAGTAACCAAAGTCCACTTTAATACCTTTTCAATACCAATAACCTGATATGGTATAGTGCCCTATCTCCAGGACCCTAGTCCGTATCGGGATTAGCCAAATCTTGCCTATACCCGACTCCGATTCCATCATATGCCCGATTTCTATTACCCCGTACATCCTTTCTAGCCAGATGCGAGATACAGATTTATCGTTCAATTCTAGTGACAGCCAAATATATGGCTGTTTCATGTCTGTGCCACGTCTGTGCTTGTTTCATACGTGCTTTAAATCAGTGTCAGTTAATGAATCTTTGGTTCGTACTGAAGATAGAAACTCTCATCTGCTTAATTTGAAGTGCACAAGTATTAAACCATGGATGGATATCCAAATTAGGCCGGCATTATTTGACCGGGAGAGTTCCGGTATCTTGGGTTTGCCACATCTGGGTGTCTAGATCTACTACTCCATGGCTGCACAGACCAGGATATTAAAGTTATAGCTCATGTCTCTCCCACGTGTACGTGAAAACCTAATCACCCCTAAAAATCGCGATTGGAAAACTTTGAACATAATTTATTCGCCGATCTATTGATATACGGTGCCGTGGTCCAAGAACGTACCCTCTGTTGGATTCAAAATTTCTTTATATCCAAGAGTCTCCCAATTCTGGAGGATCATTGCTAAATTTCTGTCAAATTTTTCTCCCTTCGGAGGTTTCCAAGGGCTTCACTCATTATGGGTCTCAGTGAAGATTATCCTGCATATGGAGGTCGTGGCCCGGGTGATCTGAGTCTAGGATTAGGCCTGGGATCGGTCGCCACTGTCTTCATCATTCTGCGTGTGTATGTGCGACTGAGAGTGAACAAATTTGGAACTGCAGCATTACTGTGGACCTTAACTGCTTGGGTATGGGTTTCTGATCATGTGTCGACATTTAATCAACTACTAATTCTCCCAAAAGATTTTTACTACCATCTCACAAAGTGTTGCTACAGTCGCTATTCTCCATGGTCTGGGAAATCACATCGAAATTGTTGAGGAGCATGATAATTTGAGACAATATCTTCTGCTCACGTGGATCACCGTCTTTATGTTCAGTATCGCAATTCCACTCGGAAAGTGTGCTGTATGCTCATTCTTGATTGAGATGAATGGACAAGGAAGTAAGTCATTTATATCCATCTCAATACCTATGGCTCCACTCCATATATTCTGTCATTACGAACATTATCACGGTATCTAACTAGTATGTCTTCACATAGATCCTAGGATTCGCCTGAGTCTAATTGTCTGCGGTGTAGTCAACGTCATTCTCTCAATTCCCATGCTAGTCATTGTTTGGGCCCATTGTTCTCCTCCCCACGCGCTTTGGGATCCCACACTACAGTACCAGTGCAACACTAAGATGGCTACCGACTATCTTGCTTTCGTTGGTGCCGTGGCAGCGGCCTCCGATCTTTATCTCGCTATCATTCCGGCTGCCATGTTGATCCCATTGAAGATTGACGCAAAGTTGAAGTGGGGTCTGAGTTTCCTCATGGGTTGTGGTGTGTTCGCTGCCGCTGCCGCAATTGTCCGAGCATGGTCTGCCAACGCCCTCAACAATACCGATTCTACATGTGAGTGACCTATCTACAATGCTTCTAAGTTATAACCATCAAATAATGAAACTAACCAAAATAAATAGGGGAATCTGGTGTTCTGTTCCGCTGGGGTGAGATCGAAGAATGGGTCGTGCTCATTTGCATGTCAATTCCGCCAGTCTGGCCGTTGTTTCGCCCTATCACTAGCAAATTTTTGAATTCTGGTGCCAAATCCTATCCCAACCAGGGTTTGAACTATACCAGCAAGGGCTACAACCAGTTTGCCTCGACAGGACCACAAGAGACCATTGTCGATCCTCCTGTCGTTACTACCACTATTCACATTTCATCCAACAAAGTTCCAGTACCTGGAGTCAAGCCCACTGGTACATCATCATCATCAGCTGAATCACTGATTGTCGAAGAAGGGCCCCAAACAACTCTCAGGACCCATGGTGGCGGTGAAGCAGAAGGTTGGGTCGAGATGTCGCAGTACAACAAACATCAAACCTACGAGTAATCCATTCATTATATCTTGCCATAGCACTTTGCGGAGCTCTGAAACAGAGACATATCTTTTTACGCTTTTATACTCGAGGGCATCCGCCCAGATGTCACGGTTACGAGTCCACTAGCTCTGTGTATGTAATATTAGTTCCGAGAGAAAACTCAATTTCTCTTTATATTAGACTTCTCTATACAAATTTCTTTCTTATCTTTTTTGACCTGGTTGCACATTCACTTTATATAGGCATAACTAAATAATGAAATTTTGAGGACCATAGCCGCTTAATTAGCCCGGTGAAAAAGAATGCTTGTGTAAACAAAAGACCATTTATCTTGGTAACATTAAAGGAACCTACATAACTAGTTCATAAGGAATTTACCTAGATGTTGTGAAAGTGGATCCCAAGGTCTATCGATTTGTCTTATTGGACGACTAAATCATCTTATTTCCAATGTCTCGCAACAAATACTTTTGGTGTTTTCCGCTTCCAGTAGTTGGAAAATCTTTGCATACTCCACCTTCACCAACCCAAAAGACATATTGGGGACACTTGGGCCTGCTCATAACATCCCCCACCCAAGATTGTATCTCTCCCGCAGTTGGACGCTCTTTTTGTTGCGCGATGGCCTTTAGAAAGCAGGCCACGACCTCGCCGTACTTGGCATCCTTCACGCCAACAACGCTAGCTTCAGAGATAGATGGGTGCGAATTAAGGCGCTCTTCAATTTCCGCGGGGAAAATGTTCTCTCCTCCTTAATATTATCAATCAGAACCTTGGAATGAATTGACACAAAGGAATATCAAGAATTTCAACAAGAAACTGCAAAGCCTTACCTCTGATGATGATGTCTTTGATTCTCCCAGTGATGTGGCAGTACCCATCATTGTCGATGAAGCATTCGTCGCCGGTATGCATCCATAGAATCCCTTTATCGTCAAGCTTCATAGCCTCCAAAGTCTTTACCTCGTTGTTCAGATAGCCCTTTTGTAAGCTATATCCACTGACACAAAGTTCCCCCCTGATACCCCGATGCACAGTTTCGCCTAAATCATCGATAACCTTAGCCTGATTAAGAGGCATTATTCGGCCAACCGTCTCAGTTCGCTTATCGGATGCGTCATCTATGGCACTCATGAAAGAAACGGGCGCAGTCTCAGTCATACCATATGCAATCGCCATATGATTCAGCCCCATATTCTTACGAACTCGACCGAGCAATGTGTTCGAGATGGTCGATCCCGCAATTAGGCCTTTCCGTAGGCTATTTAACGATTCATTCCTGGACTGAAGCAAGTCTAACTCGGCGATAAACATTGTCGGCACTCCTAGGAGTGTTGTACATTGGTAGCGAACTATGCTGCCAAGGACTGCACTGGGATCGAAGTGATCGGATGGAAATACTACGGTTGCGCCTTGTATTATACCTGCCAAGAAACCTATTACCAGGCCAAAGCAATGGAATAGTGGAGGAGGGCAGCACACAACATCAGTTGAAGTGATGCCGAGTCTCTGGCCGACAAAGCGTGCGTTATTGATCATGCTCCTTTTTTCACTGTTAGGGTTGCTTGATAACTGGGAAGGACTATTACCCTTACAGATGAGATAGCATAGCCACTTTAGGATCGCTGGTCGTGCCTACAAGGGGGCATATTAGGGGATACTCATGGTTGGAACTGGGAATATGCTGGGACACTCACCGGAAGTAAGTTGGAAACTCAGAGTATCCGAGGATTGGACTGTTTGACGCCAACATTCACTCTGACTGGAATTATCATGACCAGACTTCATAGTGGTGAATTCAGCATAGCTTTGATGCTTGAATGATATGTTTTCAAGTGAATCTCCAAGAAAAATGATTTGGCTCAGAGCTGGTAGCGAAGAGCAGTTTGATGAACTGCATAGCAAGTCGACATGCTCACTAAGACTGCGGATTCCAATAGTCGGAGCGAGAAAAAGAATATTGCATTCTACAAAGAAAAGTCAACTTTTGACCTGAGATCGCACCCGGGAGTGCCATACCAGTTCTCTGAAGGGCAGAATGAAGTTCCGAGGGCCGGTAGGTGTTATTCAACACCAGTACCTTGCAGCCAAGAAGCGCTCCCCCGACAAAAACCTCAAGATACTCATACCGATTGCCAGCGATGATACCCACACAGTCGCCATGTCTTATTCCGGCGTGACCAAGTGCTCTAGCGACAATTTGAGCCCTCTGAAGCAATTGACTGAATGAAAGCTGTTTGTCCTGCCATGGGAAGATAACAGCAGGCTTTTCCTTGTACTGAATTGCCTTTTCATGAAGAATACTTTCCAAGTTGACTGACCAAAGAGAATCATCCAATGAGCCTTCCACCAAGGCTAGAGGTTTCTCTATACGAGACCATAGTTGACCCATTGTTATGTTAAAATAACGTTAATTGATGAGTGAGAGCAGCCCGTGGACCTTCGAAATGCAGTGAATATTGTATAATGGGATACGGTTTTATCACCGAGAAGTCACAGAAACTAATGAGTCTCGGTAGTCGGAATGGCTTTTCATTCGCAATGGTCCGCTTGTAATTTCAATACGAGTGATGATTGTCTATCACTTTGAGCTTACGCTTTAGAACGGCAATGTTAGTCTCACATGTGGAGTGGGAAAAAATGACCTATCAATTATGACCTCATGAAATGTAAGGATAGTCCGTACTCGGGTAGTGAAAGTTAAAACCCCGGAGAACATGTTCATTGATAGGTATTTCGTAAAGAACCCTTATGCATCACAATGCTGACGGGCTACCTGGCACGGAGTTCACCGATATTGACCCAGAGTTGTGTAACCTTGGCATCGATCTACATAGGCTTGGGGAACCAACATTAAGTTGTGTGACCTATAGATCTAAGATATTATGTATCTTAACGTAACATGCATCGCGAAGATCCCTGTCTGGGCAAGTGGTCTTGCGCCCAAATGGACAACAAAAGGAGGCACATTGTGGCCCAAAATACAATAAATTGATGACGAGGTGGGAGCCAAGGGGTTTAATTGACCAAGAAGCTTAATTGAAGATAAAAGAAATGGTGAGGTGGGAGATGGAGTGCGCATCTTTCAGTCTGCCCTAATTTCATTTCCTGTTAGGTGTCCCCCTTCCTTCGAGGTTTAAATCAGGGACAGATTCATATCAAGGCTCTAAAGCTGTTAATAACTGTTGAAAAAACATCGCCAATATAACAATAAAGAGCATGTTCTCAAAACCAGAAGAATCTAAGGAGTCCGCCTGCACATCTCCAGGCGACTCAAATGACGAACAGCCGTCACAAGAATGGAAGCCCCAAAAGCAAGAATGGCTGATTTTTGGCTGTCTAGCCCTGCTAGCTTTTGTTATTTCACTTGATACAACAATCATCACTCCAGCTATACCAGTACGTCATGTCAAACTATTGATAAGTGCTGAGAAACTAACCATCGAGAACCCAATCAGGTCCTAGAGACATCATTAGATGGCAATGCAGTTGAGGCCTTTTGGGCCGGTACCTCTTATCTTCTGGCAAGTGCTGTTTGCCAGCCACTCATCGTCGATCTATCGGATATCTTTGGCCGCAGGTCTCTACTGATGATTGTGGTGCTATTATTCACACTAGGAACCATTTTGTGCGCCGTTTCTTCCTCATTTGGCCTTTTTCTCACTGGTCGTTCCTTACAAGGCGTTGGGGGCGGAGGTATAATGGCAGGATGTCTTGTAATCACGACTGACATTGTTCCATTGCGAAAACGTCCAACGTACTATTCTATCGTTCAGATGGCTTGGGCAATCGGCACTCTCATCGGACCATTGATCGGGGGAGCCATTGCGCAAAACATCACTTGGCGATGGATTTTTTACATCAATCTTCCATTTTGTGGAATTGGCATCATACTGGTTCCTTTGACTGTGCGTCTCAATGCGAAACGCCCTAGTATCGGAGAACGTCTGGCTTCAGTTGACTGGATTGGAGGGTTTTTATTCATCTCCAGTTTCTGTGCCTTTTTGATCGGTATCACGTGGGGTGGTAACCAATTCCAATGGTCAAGTTGGAGAACATTCATTCCGATCATTGTTGGGTTCTTGGGAATAATTAGTGCCCTTACTTGGGAAACCTTCGGTGCAAAGCGACCTTTTATACCCATGTCCCTGTTCTCAAGCCTCTCATCGGACATATCATACATATGTGCCTGTCTCCAAGGGGCGTTGGTAAGTTATTCATAAGATCCAGGGGGGCCGTTAATAGAAAGCTAACGTGGTTAGATGCTTGGGCTCCTCTATTTTATTCCTCTGTTCATGCAGATAACTAAAAGCTTTGATGCCATCCAAAGTGGATTAGCCCTGATGGTGATATTGGGTCTCTTGCTTCCAAGTAGTATCATTTGCGGTGTTGTTCTGACTCGAACTGGTCACTATCGATGGGCGATTTGGTCCGGCTGGGCTTTGGTCACATTGGCGATCGGCCTTATGGCTCTAATGAATCAATATATGCCCGCCCGCCACTGGGCATTTATCTTCGTCACATTAGGCATCGGTAATGGCCTCGTATTGACCTCATTGAATTTCGCAATTCAGGCGCTTGCAACAAACAGCAGGGATGGTACAGCAGCTGGCATGTACACATTTTGCAGGTCATTGGGAATGTGCATTGGTGTAGCAGTGGCTGGCACATTCTTCCAAAATAGGCTGCGCGACCACCTGACTTCTCGAAATCTTCCTGGCAGTGTGGCGAATTCTGCACCGGAGTTTGCTCTTCGATTGCAACAACCGGGCTGGGATCCCGTTGAGAAGCAGAGCTATATTCTAGCATTTACAAGCTCTTTCAAAGATCTGTGGCTATTTTTCATGGCTGTAGCCGCACTTGCACTGTTGTTATCGTTATTTATTCAACATGCGACGCTAGACCGAAATCTTGACTCCGATCATACAATTAAAGGTCGGTCTCCTGGGTCCGAAGATGGTGTGAACAAAAATCATTCTGAGGGATGAAGGATTAGATAGCCTCCAGATTGAGAGGGGGCCATTGAGCCAAGTCATATATATATATATATATATATATATATATGAACCTTAAACTTTGACTATTTGAATAAAAAACCTTGGTTAATCCCTAGATATACGATTTGCGAAGTCCCCTTATCACATGTGTCACCATGAGGCAGGTTGATTTTGCTCATGTCATGGTTATTTGGTTTTAGAGATCACGCCAAACTTGGAATCTCAATGAATCAAAATCATCTATGCCCAATTCCTTCCAAAAGTTGACAACATGTCATATCACATGACGTGATCTATTTATCTACCATATTTCATTTAAGCGACGCATCATGGCTCTTTATGGTGCTAAGAAAGGGCCTTGCCTTTTCTGGGAGAAAGAATGGGGGACTGTTACTAGTCAGAGCTATTGTGAGAGGATTATTCTTTTAGTAGAAGGTAGGAGGAAGCTTGTTTTGGATGAAGAAGATCTAAGGTTGCATTTCATACAGGATAATGCCCCTGCTCATCGTGCGGTTGATTGATGGAAGAATTCTGTTGCCGCAGCATTATCCTATATCTTGGCCCGCGAACTCTCCTGATTTGAATCCGATTGAAATGGTCTGGGATTGGATGAAAGATTGGATTGGGAAACATTACGTTCGTATTGATACGTAGCTTTCTTAATGTGGTAAAAGAGGCCTGGGATGCTGAGGAGTTTTTGGAGGAGCAGATCAGTCTAATGAGATCAAGATGCTAGGACGTTGCAAATGATAGTAATACTAAGTTTTAATTCAAAAATGAATGATTTTTCGGGTTTATTTATTACCTTATTTTATATAGTGTAGACTGAAGAATATAGAGCAGAACATTATATTTTTTTATAAAATACTATAAGTGGTATTTAAAATATGGCAGAAAAGTGGGGCGAGAAAGTCCTGTTTTAACACACCTACAGGGACATACCATAGTACTTCAGAGCGCGACTGAAGATAACCGTGCAGTGCATTCGATTGAAAGCCAGATTCGTGGGTCTATTGTAAGCAAGAAAAATGAAATTACCTATCGTGTAACCACTCCGCACATACGAGCATCAATCCTGACAAATTGGGCCATGCAAGGGTTGGGGATTTGCCCAACATTTCTCTCCTGCAATGATCTGGCCAGCTTAATCAGATTGGATGGTGCATCATTTTGAGATAAAACCAGCTCGACGAGCTACATATTATCAGCCTCAAAGACTCACAAAAAGTGTTGAGCAAATATGATAGGTAAACTTACCTGAAGAGCTGAACAGTCGGCGAATTTTTTGTCGCTCCAAAGGGATTGGAGATGTTCTCTTGTCTCGATGCGGTGAGTCTGGTAAGTCCCTAGTGCTGCACCGAACGCCGCCGGAAGAAGGCTATGGTTCCATGGCTGAATGTCGTTGTAACCCTGCTGCTCGCCATGTATCAAACGCTCCACAGTGTAACCACTGTTACAAATGATAAAGCTGAGATTGATGGGCATTATCAGCTGCTTGCTTTTTTAATGATGCTCTCTTAATAATAAGACTCACACTATAGGTTTCAACCCTTGGCGGATGATTGTGCTTAGCTCCTGGCATCCACATTGGAAACTTCCATCCCCAATGAACAGGATAGTACGTCTTTGTGAGGAATGCGAATCCCGTGCTGCTAGGGCTGCTCCTTGACAAGCACCAATAGTGTATCCGATGCTAGACCACAAGTACTGCGCGAGGAATGTACAGTGCGGGGGAGGCGTCGTGCTCCATATTCCGAAGCTTGCCGTACCTGTTTCTGCTAAAATGATGTCTCCTTCTTGAAGCCATTCTCCTAGATTATTCCAGAACCAATCATGCGTAATTAGTTTCTGCCTCTTAGACACACTTCGAAGCATACGCGGTGACTTGATATACCATAACAGCTGAAGACATTTCGTCGGGTTTCGAAAAAAGCTGAAAAGTTGTTTTTCCAAGCTCTGCATATTGCTTCTTTTTCCAAAAGGCAAATTCGCCTCGCTTTTAGCACCAATATTATCAAGGGCTTCACACGGATGAGTGGACTCAACATAGGCAGTGCCATGGAAAGGCAACTGGCCATGGCTCAACCTTTCAGTCAGTGCCGTAAGTACACCATCAATGAAGACGTTATAGAAAGCTTGGCCCTTCACTTTGGTCTTAGTTCTTTGGATCTCAATCAACTTCGTTTGGTCCAAAATTCCATCAAAGGCTGAGGTGCTCAGATCAGACTGAATGTTTCCAATTGAAATCACAAGATCAACAGAATGCATCAACTCAAGAACATTGGGGCTTGATAAACTGCCCACATAAAGCCCAGCATAGTTGGACAGGGTTGCGTTCACCACTCCAAGCCCGGAAGCTGCGGCCAAAATAGGAAGCCCGACTGAGGCTAAGAAATTTTCAAGCTCGTATTCCACGCCGTGTAAGGTACCATAACCGCCCACTAACACTGCAGGATTAGTCGCCATCCGAACTGCATCTATCACCAAGTCGACCAATCTGCTTTGCTGATGTATATCGTTTTGTGGCATAGTACGGCTCAACGGTGGACCACTGCTTAGCGTGTGCCTTGCGATTGGAATACGAACCATATCAGAAGGAACAAAGATTGAAACAGGTCGACTTTGTATCCAGCATTGCCGGATTGCTTCATCAATTAAGCTAGACGCCTTGTGTGGGCAATCAATGCTCGCTGTCATACAAGAAACTCTGCTGCTCATCTCCTCAAAAGCTGTGAAGTCCCCATCACCCAGAGTGTGATGCATGCAAAGCCCCCTTTTCTGTGAATCTTTGGTTGGTTTGCTGATAATATGAATCACGGGGACATATTCAGCAAATGATCCAGCTATAGCATTGATTGCGGAGAGCTCTCCAACTCCCATAACAGTCATTAACACAGACATCCCGTTGATGCGGGAATATCCGTCTGCTGCGTAGCCTATGAACTCACAGGATCAGAATTGGAAAAAAACATTACATTCTCATTGAGCACTGAGTCGTGACTTCTATCATACCAGCATTGAGTTCGTTGCAGTTCCCAACCCATTTTAGGCCGCATTTTTCCACATAGTCCAAAGCCACCAAGTTGAAGTCTCCTATTCATTCTTTGTTAACTACAAGGAAAAAAGGGTTTGTGAGATTAAGATAACTTCGGTCCTTTACCTGGAACTCCATGAATTGATTTGACCCCGATTTCCTTTATTCGAATACAAAGATATTCGAAAAGATCGATGCTATCCTCGGTGGTGCGACCCGACATGTTGAATAATGAGCAGTTTTGTTAACCCAGTTATACACACCCACTTCGTATGTCCTAATTTCTGTTCCTCTTGGGCTATTTATGCACACACCTGCACAGGTGTAGACAGAAACACCGGCTATCTCTCAACAATAGACCGACAGATGACCCGTTCTTGCTTTCGAATTTGGCAAATTCTAAACTCCGTATTCATTATTCTCGAATATTTACATACGCTCAGGTGTGGAGTAGACTGGACTGGACGATACTAGTCGAAGGAGCCTCGATAGGTCAGAATACTGCGGCGTCATCTGTGTAATGATGTAATGAACGCAATCCCAGCATTTTAAAAAGGATTAGAACATTAGGCGATTAAGTTTCAACTGCATTAAGATATGATACATATCACATCGTAAAACAAGGGGGAACTCGCGATTGACACGAGTTCCAGGGTCCTGGGATTGACCTTCTGGAATGGAGCGGGCCATCGGTTCCATGCTCCACTCCGGACTTGAATTGGAGTTTGTACGCGCATTTCATGAAGATGCAAGTGGCGGTGAGAAATTCTCATGTCTAATACATCAATTTGGGAAATTTCCATATTTTTGAAACAGTTCTCAAATCGAACTAGCCTCACTGGGTTCAAATATCATAAAACTTGCAGCTGGTCAGCAACGCCACCTAAATCATTTAAAAGGCATACGTGGGCAGCTGAGCCACATTTACAGGCAGAAAACAAGAGTTTATGGTATCAGAAATTTTCAAGGTAAGAATCACTGGTACCTAGCAAGCGTAATTGCCCAGTTCCAAGGTTAGTCTACGTAAGCAAAATTACCTACACATTCCAGAATTATGCTGTTTAGGTACCCAGGTGTAGTATGTAATAGTTACTCAAGATCTTCCAGGGCTTGAGTGTCTCTGGGCAGTAGCTATGACCCTGGTATATCCACGTATGATAATTTAAGACATAAGGATCAACAATTGAAATTTTGAGAGGGCCTGACTCAACAAGCCACCCGGGAATGAATGATAAGCCTCTATGACCAAGATACTACCTATGCCTGTGCTATGGCTCTATTGATGACCTTAGCCATTGAGATCACATTCTCAGATGAGATAGGAACTTCATGACCTCTTTCATGGATAAACACATGTCTCACTTCCTCTTTACACGCCTGACTGCCTAGCAAAGCATTTTCCTTGTCAGGGTCACTGATCCCCCAAATATGAGCTGTCGGCAAGCCAATAAGCTCATCGAAAGGTATAGAGTCTAGAGTAATCATGTTGTCTGATGAGATGTTGTAGTCCAGGAGTTCACCGGCATTGGAAAAGAAAATCCCCAGCTTGAAGGGCAGCTGTACCGACTTCTCTTTTTGTTCTCGAATCTTCTTGGTCATCCAGGACAGCACAAATGTGGCTCCCATGCTGAAGGCCATGACTCCATCGTATGGGCCCTCGGACTCCAAATAACGATCAAGGTCCTCAGATGCCTTTGCACAAGACTGTACCGACGATGTGTCGCAATATGCGAATGTCTTGTCGCCAGAGCTTATGAACTCGGTCATATCTGCTTCATTGTTAGACTCATTGTCAGCGCATTTCAGACCAGACACACCTTTGTCCATCTCCCAAGGCACTGTTCCATCGACGAAGTCATATGTATGATTGCTACCGAGCTCATAGCGAAGTGCAGCTTCGTTGGATTGTTAGTTCGGATGATGGGAACATATATTTAAGTTGAGTGGTCGTACCCGTTTGTCGCTCAAAGATCTGCAGTTCCAAATCCAAAGCTGTCAGAATTTTCGAATCTTGGTAGTTCAAATTTGCTGCATATTTACCTCGGAGTTGGTACCGATACCATGAAAACTGTAACTAGACTGTTAGCTGCCTGAGGTCGTAAATATTAAACACTACAGAGCATCATACCACAAAAATCGCATATTGCAAATGTGGAGAAGATTCAGTAGTTATCCAAAATAAAAGAGATATTTATAACTAGAGTGCAGGTGAGAAATAAGAATGATATTCTTTTCCAGAGGTCACAGTAGTTTCGCGCCAATCTCAGCTGAGCTTGACTTGATTTGCATTCGGGTTTAAAAAACAACATTCTCTCATGTGGCTTAACTTGCCAAGCCTAGTTTTTGTGGGTAAAATCTATACCAAATCTGTATCACCCGGTTTTTTGCACAATATGGAGTAAACACCTCCACATATGCAAAGCCAAAATGCCATTCTTTTGATTCGTATCTCAAGTGACACAACAGTTTTCAGCTTACCAAGGTTCAAGATCTATCAACCTGCAAATCGACCCACATCGTGTTCTGCACTAAATGGGGCAATATTGTGCATGCTGATACCAGACCGGATTCAAATCTGATATTCAATGCACTGGAGCTTCAGCCACCGAGCAAACCTTTTGAGTAGCTGACATCTCACATGAGGCGCATATAATATATTTTACCGCTAATTTTTTTTAATTCACAGCGTCCACCGAGATCAATTTTTATGGAGAAGAGCTGAAACAGGTAACGATAAGAAGGACAAAATCTTTTTCCTATCAAGTATCCTAAGCTACAACTTTGTATCTATCCCCAGAAAAATACATAGTCTGGCAAAAAGTGTCTTCGATATTTCAAAACACCGCATACAGCAAGAACAAGGAACATTAAAATGGCAGAGAAAACTGTGCCTCCTCTGGCAATTGTTGGGCTATCACTCAAATTTCCACAGGATGCTGTCTCTCCAGAATCTTTCTGGGAAATGGTCGTGGAAGGGCGGTGCGCCTCGACAGACTTTCCACCAGATAGGTTGAGCATCGACTCCCATCATAACCTGGACTCAAGTCGACTTGACAGCTTGTCGCCACGGGGAGCGCACTTTTTGGCAGAGGATCTGTCTCTTTTTGATGCCCCTTTCTTTTCTATCACTGCAGCAGAGGCAGATGCCATGGACCCCCAGCAGCGACTGGTTCTGGAGACTGCCTTCCGAGCCTTAGAAAATGGTGGAATCACCATGAATGACATCGCGCAGTCTAAGACTTGCGTTTTTGCTGCCGTCACAGGCCATGACTACCTGATGTTGTCGACAAAAGATACGCAATATCTGCATAAGTGGAATATCACAGGGACAACTTCGAATATGCTTGCAAATCGGGTCAGCTGGTTTTTTGACCTGAACGGACCCAGCGCAGCGATTGATACAGCCTGCTCAAGCAGCCTGATGGCTATCGATATGACTTGTCAGTCTATCTGGAGCGGTGATTCAACCATGGTAAATTTGATCTACAAACTCTTTATGTCTTGGCGTTGCTGATCGATGAATAGGGTTTGGCCATTGGAAGTAACATCATCTTGGCTTTGGAAACTTCGCTCATGATGGACAATTTGGGACTGTTGTCAAAAGATAGCCATTGTTACAGCTTCGATCAACGTGCTAATGGATACTCACGAGGAGAAGGAGTGGGTGTCCTTGTTATCAAACCTTTGGAAGATGCAGTTCGAGATGGGGATACGATTCGAGCTGTCATCCGTTCTTCCGCCTCAAATCAAGATGGAAAGACTCCGGGAATTACGCAACCAAGCCCTAAACTCCAGGAACAACTTATCAGAGACACCTATCACAAGGTAGGACTGGACATAGCAGACACGAGATACTTCGAGGCGCACGGAACAGGTAAGTCTGAAATGATCCCTGAAATTATATGCTCCAGCTAAGATTAATGAGGCACTGCTGTCGGGGATCCAACTGAAATCAATGCCATTGGATCTGTGTTTCGACCGCATCGTTCTGTGAATGAGCCATTGTACATGTATGTGCCACAGTATTGATTTCATACTCTCACTAATGTTATACGCAGTGGGTCAGTGAAATCAAACATTGGGCATCTTGAAGGTGCCAGTGGAATTGCGGGCGTCATAAAAACAGTTTTGGCCCTTGAGAAAGGGATAATTCCGCCTAACAGTGTCAACTTGCAAAACCTAAACACCAGAATTGACGACAGCTTCCTGAATATCAATGTAGGTTTTATCTCATACCTGTCTAATAGGCCTGTATCTGACTGGCGCAGTTCCCACAAAGGGCTCTACCCTGGCCTTCTGAAGGGCTCCGGCGGGCATCGGTGAGCTCCTTTGGTTACGGAGGCTCTAATTCCCACATTATATTGGATGATGCATACCACTTTCTGAAGCGGAATGGACTCAAAGGGATTCACAATACGCTTGTTTCCTCTCAGTCACCCGAGAGCAGAAGCAGCAATTGGTCCGTGGTTGGGGAAATCAGTTCAGATGAAGATAGCTTCAGTCCCGACGACGCACCAAAGCTGTTTGTCCTTTCAGCAGCAGATGAAAAGGGAATTATTCGGCTTCAAAAAGCCTGGAAATCACGATGCTTGACAATCTCAAATTCAAGCAATGGAGACCCATCTTTCCTCAAAAATCTGGCTTATACGCTAACATGCAGGCGAACACATTTTTCATGGAGAACATGGGCTATTGCTCGTCCATCAGAAAGCCTGGAAACTTTGCTTAGCCGATTTTTACCAACACCGCAGTCCCGTGTATCAGCTAACCTTGCCATGATCTTTTCTGGGGTAAGTTTCTATGCTGCTTTCTCAAAGATATGCCCGGTGAGATATTAATTATGATTTAGCAAGGAGCTCAGTGGTACGCGATGGGGCGCGAGCTTCTTGATCTTTATCCCGTATTCTTGCGAAGTGTTGAAGAAGCCGGGCAGTATCTTCAAACTCTAGGATGCGAATGGAATCCTATTGGTGTGTACTAAATAGCCATACATAAGTGAGAATCTCCAGCTAATGCACCCATCAGATGAGTTCAGCCGCGGCGAATCCTCTTCCAACGTCAATAAAACCGAGTACAGTCAAATTTTGTGCACAATCCTCCAGGTCGCCCTGGTGGATCTCCTTCGTTCTTTGAATATTATTCCTAAAGCAGTGCTTGGACATTCATCTGGAGAAGTGGCAGCAGCGTAAGTCATGAATCAGTGTTTTGGCTAGATTGAGATTGCTCTAACACAGGATTTCAGATATTGCTCTCGCGGAATATCGAGGAACTCAGCGTGGAAAGTGTCTTACTATCGGGGCAATATGAGCAGTACACTGGAAAAAACTAGCAAGATGAAAGGTTCTATGCTTGCAGTCGCCCTGTCAGAAAAAGAAGTTCTCTCATACCTTGAACGGCTTGCCGAGGAGTTTGAAATTGTCAAAGTCTCAGTTGGCTGCATCAATAGTCTCAAGAGCGTAACTATGTCTGGAGAAGTGATTCAGCTCGAGTCCATGAAAATCATGTTGGAAAAGGACGATGTATTTTGCCGGATGCTTAAGGTGAATTTGGCCTATCATTCCTCCCAAATGAAAGAAATTGCAGATCTTTATATGCAAGCTCTGGGAGAATTGGAGTCAGATTATACAGGAAATAAGCATTGGCCAGAGATGATATCCTCCGTGACCGGCGACTGGGTCAAGCCTGGAGATACCGCTTGCGCTGCGCATTGGGTTAATAACATGGTTTCTCCAGTACAATTTTCTGACGCGTTGTCCACTCTCTGCTCGGGATCATCCGCAGATTTGAGCAAGAAGCTAGATGGCAGCCACCGCAGGAAAGTATCAATTGACCATATACTCGAAGCTGGTCCCCATTCAGTCTTGCAAGGGCCTTGCAAGGATGTATTGAAGAACATAAAGCGAGACACCTCTGTTGAGTATATCTCGCTACTTGTGCGAAATAAGTCAGCAGAGGATACGGTGCTTGCTGCTTTTGGCAAACTCCATACCGCTGGCTATCCGATAGACCTTGCTGTTGTGAATGGGTTTACCACTGAAGGATGTGGAATTCTTAAGTCCCTACCGGATCTTCCTGAGTATCCCTTCAATCATGACATATCTTACTGGCATGAGAGTGATATCAGCAAGAACTATCGTTTACGTCAATTTGCCTGCAATGATCTTTTGGGGGTTGCCGACCCAACCTTGAATCCCTTTGAAAATAGATGGAGACATTTTTTGCGGGTTTCTGAAATGCCGTGGACCCAAGACCATCAGGTAAAATATATCCTGTTCCCTGTAATAATTCAATTTATCTGCTAACTATTTATCAGATTAACGGTACCATACTGTATCCTGCTGCAGGAATGTTGGCGATGGCAATAGAAGCTGCCAAGCAAGTTGCAGAGCAAGGCAGAACTATTGCCGGCTTCAATATCGAGGAGGCCAAGTTCCTCGCCGCAATTATTGTGCCACCTGGGACACTTGGAATCGAGACAAGTTTCTATCTTCGGCCTACCAAGAACAGGCAATCCAAAGGCTCTTCGTGGTATGACTTCCGCCTCTGCACATATGAGAATAAAAGGTGGACGGAGAATTGTACCGGGTCCATCCAAACTGTGTATACTTCTGATGAAGACAATGCTGAAATGGATAAACGCCAAGCAGAAGAACTGCAAAGCTACCAATTGGCATCATGCACTGATTCTGAACAAGCTTGTACGCTGCTGGTGGACAGATCTAATCTTTACACTCATTTACAAAAGTCCGGCTATAGCTATGGAGATGCCTTTCAGCTAATTAAAACATTGTCGCTGAGTCCTGAGAAGGCATGTGTAGTTGCACAAGTGGAAAGATTCGTGTCATCGGCAGGCGAAATAATTCACCCAACCACACTTGATGCCATTATGCAGACGTCAATTTTCACAACGATAATTTCTGAGACAGAGGAAATTCCTACGGCTGTTCCGACATCTGTTGGGAATCTGTGGGTTGCCAGTCGAGCTCTCAGCAACCTATCATGCAATATTTTGAGGACGCATGCCACTCACAATGCAGGATCTACGTTCCTCGGTCCATCTGTCGACATCATCGCATTTGACACAAAAACAAATGCGGTACTAATTTCGTTTGAAAAGCTTGGGACAAATGTAGTTGGCGAAGTAGAGCCCAAAGACAGTTCACCGGAGTCAGCAAATGATCTCTGCCATCATGTTCAATGGAAGCCGAACCTCAACGTACTGAGCAACAAAGAAGCGGCAGACCTCTGCAGAGGCGAACTCTCTGACTTACCAGATCCGAGTGATTTCTTCAATGACGTGGATTTCATTTGCATGGCGCGCATCAGTGAAGCACTTGAAATGCTGAATGATCAGGTGTTCAAGCCTTCCAACCCACATCTTGAACATTACGTGGAATGGATGAAATATCGACAGAAACTGCTCGACCAAGGACAGATTCGATTTTCTTCTGAGACATGGAAGATTAGACTAACCGATAATAGCTTTCTTCACAACGTTGAGCATCAGCTGTTGAATTTGAACAAACGAGGCTATCTCTATGTCACTATTGCCCAAAACTTACAGAATTTACTCACTGGCCAGCTGGATCCATTGAGCCTTCTTCAAGAAGGAAACATGCTCAAAGAATTTTTCTTTGAAGAGGTGGGTGGTCATATCAGCATAGTATGAGCCATCGCTAACAACAGGATTAGCTTAACGAGTCTCACGGGATCAAACAATTTGGTAAATACCTAGATCTTCAATCTCATATTAACCCCAAGATGAAGATAGTAGAGGTCGGCGCAGGCGATGGATCCATGACAGAGATTATGCTACAAACTCTGGGTTGTATTGATAAAACTGACTCTCAGTATGCCCAATGGGACTTTACTGATATATCGACGTCATTGTTTTCCGATGCTCAGACAAAATTCCAGCAAGAGACCAGACTGATGAAATTCAAAGTTCTAAATATTGAAGAAGATCCGCAAAAGCAGGGATTTGATTGTGGAACATACGACATGGTCGTTGCGTGCTTGGTATGTTCACTACTTAGGTGTCTGAGAGTGATCTCAGCTTTTAACACATCTCATATAGGTATTCCATGCTACTTCAGATCTCAAAGCCACTCTGTGCCATGCTCGGAAGCTTCTCAAACCGTGAGTTTTGACTGCTATTAGATAATGACTGATCTGACGTTATGTATAGAGGTGGCAAGCTCATACTGTATGAGATCGTCGTTCCCAACGTTCGGTCCACCTTTGTGTTCGGCCTTCTAGAGGAATTCTGGCGAAGTAAGCCCTCAGTTTATGATGTCCAACAAACGAGAACGCTAATTCCATTAGGCTCGGAGTCTTATCGAACGCTGGGACCTTGCATTGACACTCGACAATGGAACGAACTTCTTCTTCAGACCGGATTTTCTGGCCTGGATGTAATACTTCCTGACTTTGATGGATCTATATCTCATGAATACGCGTTGATGGTCTCCACGGCTGTTGATGAGCCGACAAAGGTAGCTCCTGTCTCAAAAATCGAAATCGTCTACAACAGCGTCGAGCCAATGCAACAGGAGCTCGCATTGTCTCTTGTCAAATACTGTGGAACAATCTCAACATCTGCAATTTGCTCATCTGTTGAGGAAGCAATAAGTCACAGATCTGATGATTCTCTGTTAAAAATCTTCCTTCTCGAACTTGAAGGTCCTATCTTCTCCGACATTCAACCAGAACTGTTTAGTCAATTGCAACTCCTCCTCTCATCCACCACACGTGTGCTCTGGATTAATCAGGGAGGAGGCATTCTGGCTTCCCAGCCCCACGCCCACCTTACGGAGGGCCTATTTCGCGTATTGATGACAGAGAATAGCAATCGCGATCTTCACCTGCTTTCTTTGGAGCCCACCAATGTTTTGAATGGAAGACAAAATGATCACATTGCAAGAATTGTCAAATTGCTTCTGTCAACAGCGGCCCCTGATGCAGAAATGGAATATATGGAGCGGGATGGATTACTGCATTCTCCTCGCTTGATCTCTTCTCAGACATTGAATGATAGCATATCCCTCATGTCCAGCTCGTATCAACGCCAAATGCAGGAATTCGATTATCAAACTCCACTTCAATTAAATGCTGACTCTCCGGGACTGCTTAATGGCTTTGAGTTTGTGGAAAATGCAATTTTGCACAGTCCCCTCCAGCCAGATGAGATCGAGATTGAGGTTAAATGTGCCGGAGTGAACTTCCGCGACATCCTGATTGCAGTTGGTCAATTGAAAGCAAACCACACTGGATCTGAATGCTCTGGAATTGTCACTAAGGTGGGTAATGCTTGTGAAGAATTCAGGGTGGGTGATTCTGTCGCTGCTCTTGTCGATGGATCTTTTGCCAACTTGATCCGTATCCGCGAGAGTGGTCCCGTTGTTAAGATCCCGGATGGTATATCCTACTCAGATGCCTCCGCGGTGCCAGTAACATTTGCTACAGCATATGTTTCATTACACAATGTGGCCCACATTCAGCCTGGCGAGACTGTACTGATTCATTCAGGAACTGGAGGCACCGGTCAAGCTGCGATACAGATTGCCCAAAAAGCTGGAGCAACTGTTTTCGCAACAGTTGGCTCCAAAAGCAAGAAGCAACTCCTCATGGATGCTTATAACATCCCTGAATCACATATATTCTCGAGTCGGTCGACATTGTTCTCGAAGATGATTAAGCTCCGAACAGGGGGGAAGGGAGTTGATGTTATCCTTAACTCACTCGCAGGGGAGAGTCTGTTAGCATCATGGAGATGCATTGCTCCATATGGTCGATTCTTAGAGATCGGAAAGAAGGACATTCTCTCGAATCAACAGCTCCCTATGCTCCAGTTCCTGGATAATGTTAGCTACAGTGGTGTGGACTTGGCGGTTATGTCACATGAACGACCTGAAGTATGCATCGCTGCTCTCAAGTCGGTATTTGCCTCTATAAAGGATGGCACCTTACATCCACCTCAGCCAATCAACCTGTTCGGGGTTGGTGAAATTGAGAAGGCTTTCCGATTGATTCAATCTGGAAAACACATCGGGAAGATTATAATTGAGATGAAGCGACAGGATCGGGTCATGGTAGGTGGTACTTCCACTCTTTATCGTTCAAATCACTCACGAATCTTCAGACCGTCTTGAAAACAAGGCCCAGTCTCTCGTTGGATCCAAATGCAACATTTGTGGTTTCTGGTGGTTTGGGTGGTCTGGGAAAAAATATTTCTTGCTGGCTGGCAGACCACGGAGCTCGCCACTTGCTTGTTCTTTCGCGATCTGGGAGCCAAGGTGCAAAAGGTATGGCTCTAACCAGGTACCTTGAAAAAAGGGGCGTCCAAATCTTGGCACCCTCGTGTGACATATCGGATGAAGAATCGTTGCAAAATGCTTTGAGTGAATGTAGATCGAAAATGCCGCCAATCAAAGGATGTATACAGGCAGCGATGGTCTTGAGAGTATGTGCTCATATCATCTAATATCTATCTGGGTGTACTGACCTCTTTAGGATGCTTTATTTGAGGGTATCTCTCACGAGCTTTGGCGCGAAGTTCTTGGTTCCAAAGTTCAAGGGTCTTGGAACCTTCATCGACAGCTTCCCAAAGGCATGGACTTTTTCATCATGCTATCTTCCATTGCGGGAGTTTTGGGAAACGCTGGACAAGCTAACTATGCCGCCGGTAATACCTTCCAAGATGCCTTGGCTCGGCATCGTATCGGGCTGAATGAGAAAGCGACTGCACTTGACTTGGGCGCGATTGCCTTCGCTGGTGCTATAGCGAATGATTCACGGCTTCATGAAGAGCTGATCAGCAATGTTGGCTTTAAGCCGGTGACTGAAGCACAGATACATGCGCTTCTGTCCAAGTATTGTGACCCTGAGATTGGTCTATGCACTTCCTTGGAGTGTCAAACGACCGTTGGTTTGACACCCAGCGCGTTATCTCAAAGCGTACAATGGCAAAATAGACCACTCGTTCGACGCTTGATCAGAAATGAACAATATAATGCTGATGAGGATACCGAATCAGGTGGGACTATTGGGGCAAGCTCTTTAAAACATGCTACATCTTTGTCCAACGCAAATGAGCTTGTCACCGCAGCCTTCGCTGCGAAGCTTTCGAAAGCATTAGGCATTGCGGTTGCCGATATTGACGCAAACAAGCCCCTGCATCAATACGGAGTTGACTCGCTCGTTGCGGTGGAGCTGCGAAGTTGGTTTGGTAAAGAGCTGCAAGCAGAGCTAGGAGTTTTTGAAATTCTTGGAGAAGCCACACTATCCTCAGTGGCCAAACTGGCGACCAGGAAGAGCAAACTGGTGACAATCGCGTAGGGCAAACGCAGATGCGGTTCAAATTTGGCGAATCTAGACTTTAACAAGAAACAGGCCGGTCCTTAATTTCTGTGTACTTGTGACAATGCTTGAAATTGAGAAGGTTATTTATCATTTAAACTATCTAACAAAATCTATTCAGTAATTTGTACTGAAATATCAATATCGACCACAAGCTAACAAAACTTAGTATCGGTACAAAAACTGCCTTAGCTTGTTCTATGTATCACAACATTTGGCATGAATTAAGCAAATCATCAGTGTTCCCTTTCATATTGTGGAAAGCGTTGTAATATACATATTGCGAGAACACTTCCCTTCCACTCTCGGAAAATGCCAGTCTCCTCGCATATCTCAACCGAGAACTACAGCCCTAACCGTGCGTAACCTCCGAACCTGGTCGGTATCGGCACTATTTCTAAGCAGTAGTTATGTAGCCTGATAATCGGGATATAATTTATCAGGCACCTCAGATTTTCCCAATCACCTAGGATGCAACGGAGAGGACGACCGAGGAGATGAGATCAATTCTATGCGTCAAACTTCAGGACATATCACATTCAAAAATAAATCAGACTACAAGCTGCTTTTGGAAATCATTCACGACCTGCAAGTACTTCCAACCTGTTTACAGTAGCCCCGGAAGCTTGTACACCGTGGTTCGGGACATCGGATAAGTCCCTTGAATTCATGACTGCAAATACCAACATTTGGAGCCATTCTAGACATTGTTATTTGTCTTGAATATATCATGGGCCTGATCTTTTAAATGGGACTATTTTGGCGCTCAATACAGGCAAGCCCAATATATCTGTGCCTCTGTTCGCAATTGGCGATACGAGATATTAATGGTGCAACATATCATTGACCTTGTTGTCACCATCGTTCACCATTTTCCATCTACCGCCTTGAACTTAAGGTTTGCTATGACATGCTATTTGCAAGAAATTGTGGAAAATGCGGGGCTAATCTGGTTGTTGATGTCTAGGTTATACGCTTGGATCGGGGTAGGATTTTTCATTTTCGACCGTATAGGTTGTCAGCTTGAGCCAAAAGACTACTAATCAATTGTACATTTTTATGAGAAATGACCAGTAACTAATACAATCAATGTCTAAAATATGAAATAGAGAAGGCAGAAATGCAAAGATAGACGAGGAGAAGAAGTGCTGACTGGTCGTAGATACTAGGGCCTGCCGAAGTTTTCACCTCTTTCTGAAACACTTTTCCGTATTGGTCTTTACCATATGTCGAGTTTAGCGTGATTGGTGCTGAAATATTTCCATCTTCTAACCGAACCCATGTCTGTAATTCATGCTTGAAATTTTCTTGATTCAGAAGGATTTGACGTGCACCCCGGACAGCATCGCCATAACCTCCATATCCTTTTTATGTAGTGAGTAAGTCTTTGCATCCATCGGATCACATTTCATGGAGAGGAATTTGAGACTTACCTGTCCGTCGACCATAACACATGTGAATTCCATCTCCAGTCATATTCTGATCAACAACATGACCATCCCATTTGAAGCACCTGCAGTTACCTGGATATCAGAACTTGGACTACAAATGTTCTGGATTGAATGAACATACCAATCATCCTGGTGATCATGACCGCTGAACGTCGCCATTAGTCCCTTAGTGTCAAGAAGAGCGCGCATAAACCGGCTATCTTGCCCAGTATAGTTTGTATCGCCAGATCCTTGGGATACAACTGTTTCCCCATTTATACCGGGTGTTTTGTTCAAGTCCACGCCTTTTTTCTGGAACGCAAACATTGCATGGACAGGAATATGATAGAATGCGATAGATGGAATAACTCGACCATATTCCGTCGTTAGATTGGCCTTCGCTTCATGAAACCAGTCAATTGCCTTTATATATTGTTAGAAATCAGCATTCAACGATAACATGGATAATATTAACAAACTTGCATCTTCATGAACCCAATCACCCCTAGCGCCTGATCTATTATCTCCTCGATTTTTCGCATAATTCCCTCCTTTGGAATCGAAGAACCACAGTATTAGCGCAGGTATACTCTCGGAAGTTTTTTGTGGATACACCGGTAAGTAATAATTCGTTATTCCAGCCTTGGAGCCGGATACCATGCGTTTTGTCAAACTATTCGAGTAGCTTTGTTCTTTTTCGTAGATATCTTTCAGCGGATCTAAGTTCGGATTACTATCATGATTGCCGTAGGTCGATGCCCATAATTTTCCGGCACTAACTAGTGGTGCTACCACTTCATCGAGGTATTGATCGGCATTGTCAGCCTTTGTGGCTTCGCCGGATATCAAATCACCGTTGAGAACAACCAGTTGTGGTTGTGTCTCTTCCTGGGAGAGAATTTGCGTCATGAGTTTTTGGGTCTTGGCATCCTTGTCATCGTCTGATTTATTTTTCCGGTCATAATTTAGCAATTGTGAAGCCTAGCGTCTAGGGCAACCAGCATAAGACAAATACCTTCGGCGAAATGCAGATCTTCAAATATTGAAATGTGGAAAGTGCCATTTTCTGTAAACCGTAGTGTTCGATTATCGGAAGGAGAATTTAGGGCACTCATAACCAGTTGGGCGGCTTCGTTCAAAGGCATTTGGAAACAACCTAAGCGGGTTCCTCGATCCTTTTAATGTGGACTTGACAATCATAGAAGATGCGGCTATAAGGACTTATGAGTTGTATTTAAGAAGTCACTCACGTCATTATTGAAGTCGGGATCCTTGCATTTGCATGTACAATTGTCATGTAGTATTAGAAAGATATTAGAAAGCCGGAAATGGGTACAGAGTGCCAAGAATGCCAAGAGCCATTGCTACTCCGATCTGGAGATATCGGATTTAATATCCGATTTGTCCCACATTTCCTCAAGTACATGAAAAGATAACTAGAAGACTTTTTGAATTTTCACAAGATCATTTCTAATTTCTAATTTCTGATTGAATAGGTAGTGGTTTAAAAACACTCTCATCTGAGATGATGGATAGAATATGGGTGTGGTAACACTTGAATTTATTGGTTTGCAGCTTGTCCAACAGGGTTGGACTAGGAAATACAGGATTGAGGATCCAACAAAACGAATATGAAGTCTCATGTTCAAGGTAGAATTAGTATATCTAACATTTGATGTAAAGGTAATTTTAATGATTGTGTCGAGGCTCTTCCCATTTCTGGGCAATACGCTGGTACTTTACTGCATCACGCAGGACCATACCCTCATTCAGCTGATCAGTCTCACGACGGAAAATTTCCTGCCACGGAGTTTGGCACTCAGGCCCAGAATAGCCTCCACGGGCCTGTGTATCAGCGCGGCGACGTTCAATCTCTTCATTATCGAGTAGAATGTCGACTCGCCGCTTATTCAAATCAACGCGCAGACGATCTCCGTCGCGAAGAATTGCGAGGTTGCCACCGGCAGCCGCCTCGGGGCTGGCATTGAGAATTGATGGCGAGCCCGACGTGCCGGACTGGCGGCCGTCGCCGATACAGGGGAGAGAGTGGACTCCTTGGCGTAGGAGGCGTGCGGGTGGATGCATGTTGACGACTTCTGCCGCGCCTGGGTAGCCTAAGGGGCCTGTACCACGCATGATCAAAATGGTAGAGTCATCAATAGGAGTTTCAGGGTCGTCAAGACGGCTATGATAGTCTTCTGGTCCATCAAAAACAGCGACAGAGCTCTCGAATGCGTTCATATCCTTGGGGTTTTGAAGGAACCTTTTTCGAAATTCCGGGGAGATCACGCATGTCTTCATGATTGCTGAGTTGAAAAGGCTTCCTTTGAGATGTAAAAACCCCGCATCTGCAAGAAGAGGCTCATTGAAGGCTCGAATGATGTTTCTATTCCATGTCTGCTGTCCGCGAACATTCTCCGCAATCGTCTTGCCATTGCAAGTCAAAGCACTTGTGTTTAATTTTCCAGCCTCTAGTAGCTCTGCCATTATTGCAGGGAGTCCACCCGCGCGGAAATACTCTTCTCCCAAAAATTCGCCAGCAGGTTGCATATTGAGAAGTAGTGGCACTTGGAAGCCTAGATTATCCCAGTCATCCAGTGAGAGACTCACGCCAATGTGCTTAGCCATGGCATTGATGTGAATAGGTGCGTTTGTGCTGCCACCAATGGCAGTGTTGGTGACAATGACATTCTCAAATGCTTCTCGTGTCATGATATCACTCGGTTTGCGGTCTGCGTGGACCATCTCCACAATACGTTCTCCTGTCTCGTAGGCACATTGACTGCGTTCTCTATAAGGTGCTGGAATCGCTGCCGAGCCTGGAAGGGCCATACCCAGCGCTTCTGCCAGTGCATTCATAGTAGAAGCCGTGCCCTAAAAACACTATCCATTAGAATTTTATCCTTTGATTAACCTTGGAATTGTGATCAAAACTGCACCCACCATGGTATTGCAATGACCCACAGATGGCGCACCTCGAGAAACATAGTCAATGAATTCCTCGCGATCTATGTCACCGGCAGCGTACATCTCCCTTCCTTTCCAAAGCACCATTCCCGAGCCTGCCAACTCATTTTTCACGTAGCCATTCAACATCGGGCCAACATTAAGACATATGGCAGGAATATTCTTCGAGTCTCACAATCAGTTCCATGAAAAGAAAGAGAAAAAAAAAAAAAAAAAAAAGAAAGATTAAACCAAAACATACCACAGTAGCTGCTGCCATTAAGGCAGCTGGTGTTGTCTTATCACAACCTGTCAACAGTACCACGCCGTCAAGGGGGTAAGAATGCAAAATTTCAACCAACCCAAGGTAAGCCAGGTTACGATCCAAGCAAGCAGTCGGCCGGCGCGAACTCTCTTGGATTGGGTGCATAGGAAACTCAAAGGCAATACCGCCTGCACTTCTGATACCCTCTCGCACTCGTTTGGCAAGCTCCAGATGGTGTCGATTGCAAGGTGAAATGTCGGAGCCAGACTGTGCAATACCGATGACCGGTTTACCGGACATTAACTCCTCGCGTGTCATACCATAATTCAGATAGCGCTCAATATACAACGCGGTCATGCCAGCATTCTCGCTGTTGAACCAACGTGTTGAGCGCAGTTTGCGGCTCCTTGGAAGCACGAGACCATCGTTCAGGCCGGCGAGTTTCTTTTCTAGCTCATGTGTACGTCTGCGTAAGGCGAGGAGCTCTGTCTCACAGTCTTCGATATTGATAGGCTGAGGGTTTTCACTGCAGGAACAACCTTTGCAGGAGCCTTGAGGGTTGCACGACATGATCAAGTCAGTCAGATGCGGGGAAGAATGGTGGAGATGCGAAATGACGGGATATACCCGGAAATAGAAGCACTTGGGGGTTGGAAGGAGTAAAAGGATAAACCTTGGAACATTGGAAGGTTAAGAAAGACTTGATATAATATTTCAAATCTACCTAGTAGGTAGCATTGAAGGTTCATGCTATGATTAAGACTGTAGAGGAAAACCCGTTGCCGACCCCCCACGAAGCAACTCCGTGGGGGGTCATTGATTAGATAGACGTCTAGACTATCCATTACCTCGGAAATCATAAGTTAATATACCTTAGCATGAGGATTCTTCTTTTCGTCCATGTTCTTTTTACTCCTCTCCATTTATACCTCATATCAAACATTCCCCCGCATATGGTCAATACTTAGGTGTTGAGTTGAACGATATACCTACGTATTTATGCAATTGTCTAACTCTGAAGTGTAAAAGTCATTATCCCAACCGTAGCAGAGATTTCAAGAAAAGCTCAATGCCATGACGCCGATGCCAGTAAAAAACCTCATCCTTTTTTTATCTACTGGGTCGCGCACTGGGCGCCTTGACCTTCTTCATCGTCTTCCTCTTCATTCTCCCAGTCATCGTCATTGGAGTTACCACCAAACTGAGCGAAATCGACTCCCAGTTCGAACTCAACTTCGTCCACGGTAGTCGCTGTGATAGGCTCTTCAGGCTTGGGAAGCACTTCCCGAATCGTATCGAGAATCGCAGGGGTCGGCTTCCAGTTCTCATCAGGGAATTTGATATCCACAACGAGGTACAGGTCTCCGCGAGAGTCAGTACGCTTAATCGGCATGCCCTCGCCACGGACAACAAGAAGCTGTCCGGGCGAGAGGATTTTACCGGCCGGGTGCTTGATCTCAATGCCGCGTCCATCGAGGTGCTTCAAAACAACTCGAGAGAAACCGGTCAAAGCCTCGGCCAAAGTGACTTCGATAGTGGCCTGCAGATCAGCACCTCGACGGGCAAAGACCGGGTGCTCCTCTTCAACGAGACTGAACACAATATCGCCAGGCTCTTGGTCTGGGTGTTGGTCAGCCTCACCTTCGAGAACGATCTTCTCTCCTTCGCTAGAGTATGGTCAGCATCTCCATTTAAGCAGAGTGAAATAATATGAGACTTACCGAGAGCCGGGTGCAATGTAAATCTCCAAAAGTTTCTTCTCCTCGCAAGTCTTGGAGCCCTTGCACTTCTTGCACTTGTCCTTAGGGCTAAAAAATTCACCTGCACCATTGCAAGTAGTACAAGGTTCCGTTACACGGGTGACGAACTGTCCCATGTTTCGGAGACCCTCCCGATATCCAGCACCGTCGCAAGTAGAGCACTTCTTGGCCTTCGCCTTTTCCTTTCCACCTTTGCCCTTGCATAGGCTGCAGATGACATTTTTAGTACTGGCGAACTTGACGGTCTTACCCTTGTACATCTCTTCAAGGCTCACATCATAATCTTGCTCCTCATTTGCGCTCTTTCGGCTCTTACCACGAGGACCACCGGGCATGCCGGGCATACCTCCCATACCGCCCATCCCAGGCATACCGCCCATACCTCCCATGCCACCGAACATTTGAGCGAGCAGGTCGTCAATATCAGGACCCATTTGCTCACCTGAACCGTTGAATGCACCCATACCATGTGTGTCATACATGTGGCGCTTATCTTCATCGTAGAGAATTTCGTATGCCTCTTGGACGGCCTTAAATTTAACTTCGGCGGCAGGGCGTTCGTCTTCGGGGACTTTATCAGGATGATTTGCTAGGGCAGCCTAGTTCAGATGACTGTTAGCATATTTACTATGGACGTTTTCACGGTGCATCATTTACCTTGCGGTATGCCTGTCGAATCTCATCCTTAGAAGCACCGCTATGAATTTCGAGGACCTCTGCAAAAATATCATGTTAATAATTTCTTCTCTTTTCTTTTCTTTTCTCAAATCTGTTCATCGCGATAGATTCTTCGTACCATATAGGTCAACTTGGACGTCAGCCACTGGAAATTTCGTCAGTAAACCGCAACAACATAGGAAAAATATTCACAGTGAAGTAAAGCACTTACTGCTGACTAAAAACCCGATTGTGGGTTTGAGTGCTTTAGAGAAAAGGTTGGAAGAGGGAAGAAAATCGATCAAAATGCAAAAAATAAGAAGTAAAACAAGCCAAAAGATGGGAGAAGGTGGGTGTGTAGTTAATGTGAAATGATGAAGCGGAGTTTCAAATTTTGTTCGGAAGTCGCGCGGAGCGAACGAACCTCCGCAAAATAAAACCCGCGCCAGATTGTCCTGCCCCAATTTTAAGGCCAGTTCAATTCTACAATTAAATTTCAATGAGAACTCATCCAGGGCTCTTTGCCCGACGATCTTGGACTTGCACCCAATGCAGAGCGCATTCGAGCGTTGGCGCGCAAGTACGCAAGGCCAAAACAACCAACCTACCTGATGCCCCTGCCCGCACACGTTTTGCGCCCTCACCGACTGGATACCTTCACCTTGGATCTCTACGGACTGCGCTTTTCAATTACCTTCTCGCGAAACGGACAGGTGGCCAGTTTTTGCTGCGCATTGAAGATACCGATGCGGTTCGTGGGGTTTTTCGCGTTTTAGGGTGGTGTGATCAATTGCTAATCGACGCATAGAAACGAACAATTCCTGGCGCAGAGCAAAGATTGTACGATGATCTACAATGGGCAGGGCTACACTGGGATGAAGGTATGCTTGGATAATTCACCCAGCTTACACAAAGCTGACTGCGGTGGCAAGGTCCCGTTGTTGGTGGCCCATATGGACCGTATAGACAGGTAAGGCGTTACACCTACCATGACTCAAATATAGTTAACTAACTTTTCTTGTAGTCAGAACGAACAGCATTGTATCGATCTCATGCCGACAAGCTGATCTCTGATGGCCATGCCTACCGGTGTTTCTGCTCCTCGGAGCGTCTCGATTCTCATGCGCGTCACCGAAGTCAGGCTGGACTGGCCCCTGGCTACGACAGAACATGCGCAGACATTTCATCCGAGCAATCTGCGGATAGAGCTTCCAAAGGAGAGGCACATGTGGTCCGGCTGAAGGTGGAGGGATATCCCATGTTCAATGACCTAGTCTACGGCAAGACTGGTCAGAATAAACCGAACAGTAACAAACTGGACTTTATCGATCGAGTATATGATGATCCGATTCTGTTGAAGTCGGATGGACACCCGACATACCATCTGGCTAATGTGGTGGATGATCATTCCATGAAGATTACCCATGTCATTCGGGGAACGGTAGGCTTATTTCAATACTTTATTCAAGGGTAACTGCTCATATCTATACAGGAGTGGATGTCATCTACGCCTATGCATATGGCTTTATATAATGCATTCAAATGGGAACCACCGCGATTCGGTCATGTTCCTCTGCTTGTCGATAAGTCGGGGCAGAAACTGAGCAAACGAAACGCAGACATCGACCTCTCTTCATTTAAAGACGGACAAGGGATCATGCCAGCCACTTTGGTCAACTTTGCATCGCTCCTAGGCTGGTCTCATACTCAAAAATCTGATATTTTCAGCCTTGAGGAGCTCGAAAAGATTGTATACTTTCACCATTTCTATTCGCTCCCGTTCTAATACTAACAGACCTCCCAGTTCAACCTCAAGATCACTCGTGGCAACACTGTAGTGGCCTTCGAAAAAATGTGGTTCCTACAAAAAGCTCACGCCCAAAGATTTGCCACAAATGGGGGTCCCGAATTTGAAGACCTCGTCAACAAAGTAAAAGCCAGCGTCGAAGAAAGTCACCCACCAACGACCTTGTAAGATCACAACCTGATGACATTGAATAAACTCACCAGACTCACTTAATTTAGTGCCCCTCTTCTTCAAAACCGTACACTCGCCGAATACATCACCCCTCTCCTTCGTGCCGATGCCAAGTCTTACACCACGGCATCAGACTTCACAGCGCGCAATGCAACTTTTTTCACCACCGAGCTGAACCGGGAAACATACATAAGTACATCGGCCGCAGTTCCCATACAAGCGCTTCACACCGCAGCAGCCGCTCTTTCCCTTGTACCACCCTCCCACTGGACGGAGGAAATGCACCGCTTCAATATAAACTCCTACGACGGCTCCGACGCTGTCCTGCTATCCGAGAGTGACGCACCTGTTTCCGCAAATAAGCTCTTCAAAAAGGAGTTGTATCATTATCTCCGCTGGGCACTATCTGCCTCGGCTCCGGGCCCTGGGATTCCCGAGACTATGACGATCCTGGGTAGAGACGAGACTGTACGAAGACTTCAAGATGCGAAAATTTTGACGCAAGATCTTGTTCCATCTGTTGGAAAGCGTGTGCCCAAATCCTCCAAGTCTCAAGAGAACGATGATCGTAGTTGGATGGGGTCTCTTGCTCCTGGGAAATAGTATATTACGATCGATTGTACAATTACCTATTCCCATTCTATATCATATCAGTCCATAATTCAATTGATAAACATTGACCTTGGAAGGGACACCGACTCCAAAAATCGTCAAACAAATACTGCACATGAAACTTGGATGGTGCCCAGGTGTGATAATACTTTTTGGCGAATATAAATACCAGTCACTTTCTCCCCTTGAAGGTATTGAGGCCTGTAATGTCGATATCTTATTAAGGAAGGCGTTGTGAACAAATCCCTCTCGCTCATCAGTACAAAAGAGATGCTTCGATCCCAAGGCTTACGGACTAACTACCAGTTTCTACTGCTACAGGACCAAACACTACGATAGAAAGAGATTTTGTAAATCCGCTAGTAAGATTATGAACAAAGCTGTAGTTCACTAGCAGACGTACACAGTAAAAGAAACAAGAGAAGCTGCACCTCAAGGGAATAAGAATGGAAACCAGCACCATAAGACCATACAAGAAAGAAATAAAATAAATAACACCATGCCAGCCAGACCAAAGGAAAAGGGGAAAATAAGTGCTAAAGTCGTCCCAGCTGGAAAAATTCCACTGGACTTTGATGAGGTTCAGAAAGAAAAATAGATCATTAACAGTGGAGACATGTTTTGAATTCTGAATTTTGAACAAGGAAAGGGAAAAATCAAGATCAGATCAGCGAATAGAATGCCGATCGAAAAGAGCGGGAAAGAGACCGACCCATTAGGGAATCTGAACGGTAAAAGCTCAACAATAAGGCATCGTGAACATGTATCGTGAGCCGTAAGTCGTGAGCCGAGCAGAGTCCGATCTTGAGATCATCAATTAACCAAGCGATTTGCATGAATGCGGCTTGGTTTTCTGAAGCGGCGTCAAAATAAAGTGCAATGAAGTGAAGAAGATTGCCAAAAGATTAGAGTGTCATATGGCATAGCTAATAGGTTTCAAAGTCCTCAGACCAGTCATTATCACTACCTGCAACACGGAGCACCTGACCAGGATGGGGACCATCCGGGCTGACACTTCGAATGCCCCTGCTTTTTTTGCCCATCATGTCCATGGCATCTTCGGGAGCATATCGCTTGCCATGAGCAGCGCGCATCTTAGCGTAGTAGATATCGCTAGCATCTGCTTCTGACTCTGAGCCATCGTCAAAGGTCTCCCAGTTCTCAGACCCGGAGGTGACTGTGTTGGTGGCAGATGAGCTTGAGTTCGTCGAGGTCTGACGGAGAGCGGGAGGTGGTGGTGCATGTTGGAGGTATGTGTTGGCACGTGGGTAGCTCATTTGGGAGGAGGCCAAGGAGATGGAGGACAAGGAGGATTGGGAAGAGTGGGAGTAGACCCCTGACCGATGTGAGTTTGACATTACCGACATCACTGCGCGCTGGCGGTCATCATAAGCATCTTCGGGGCTGACCGGCCGCACAAAGACGCTAGACATGGCGCTATTGCACCGCGGGAGCTCCTTCAAGTGTGCATGGCGATCCTTTGACTCAACAGTTAAAGCACGCATTCTTGGCGGAGGTCCCATCTTGCCTTTTATGGTGGTGGTGGTGGAGTACGCTGCAGGCTCAGTTTTCCGCTCCGGGGAGTTGTTACCATAAGGCAAGTTGCTCAATGGAGCGCGAGCTGGGAGTTTAGAAGGAGAGTTAGCTCCTGATCTCGAGCCAGCGTAGCCAATAGTACTATGCTTATACAAGCCACCAGTTGGGGTTTTGGTCGCAGAGCGAGGAGGGCCACGCAAAGAGCTAGCAGGCCGAGCAGGTGTCGGTCCGCGCATAGAGCTGGGGGGACGAGCAGGAGCCGGTCCACGTATAGAGCTGGTGGGTCGAGTAACAGATTGCTGCCTTGCGAGAGACGCTTTATTTGTAGAGGAAGGCGCAGAGGGTGTCTTGGAGCGAGGAGGAGGCTTTGCTACGGCTTCAGTCAAGCTGTCAAGGTACCGTTCTCCATGGACGAGGAATGGTCGGCCATATTCATCCTCCCATCGCTCCAGCTCCTTGCGCAGCTCAACTTCAAGCTTAGGGAACTCCTTGGCAATACGCTTGCGCATTTTCTCCTCGCGCAGCAGCTTGCCTGGATCGCGCTTCTCGCCCTTGTTACCGCGGGCCATGAGTCGCGAAGCGTCCTGGCTTGACGTGTTCAAGGCATCACGTTCTGCCAGTAGGCTACGGTGTCTCTCAATCATCTCAAGAGTAGAAGCACGTTGCTCTTTCAGAGTCTCCAATCGCGCAATCTCGGCATCGTGAGCCTCAAGCAAAGCATCACTGTACACATCAGAGAAGGCAGGAGTAAAGTCGAGCATTTCCTCCTCAGAAAAGAAGAGACCATCCCAAAGCTCCTGCAAGCGGCAGCGAGCATCCTCGACAAAGAGGTGCATATTTTGTCGCTTCAACTCGTTGAGGCGAGCCAGCTCTTCCTCAAATTCATTGATTGTGCGATAGCCACAACCACGGTTAGCAGACAAGAATGCCTTACGATCAGCTTCTTCGACGCCGAAACGCTCCCACAGACTCTCGACTGTAGTGCGGAGTTCCTTAATCTTGCGTTCGCGAGCCTTCTTCTCTTCGATCAATCTATCTCGCTTGCTCATCAGATTGGCGAGGTCGGCTTCATGGAGTCCCAGCTGCTCTGGAGACTCACGATAATTCTTAACAATGTTTGAGTCTGTTTGCACTTGCGGTGTACCCAGCTCTGCCCACATAGTAATAATTTCCTCAGAGCATGACTGGACAAAGTCAATGCGGCGGTGATATTCTTCATAAACACGTGTGAATTCAGCATCCAGAGCAGTAACATAGGCGGGTGATAAATCAAAGCTCGGGGGAATGGTCGATCCCGGAGCAGTGGGAGGGAGTTCGAGTGTAAGGAATGAGTCTTCAATGTGGGAGGAATATGATTCCAAAGCCTCGACAAGCTCTGTGAAAAATGTCAGTGTCAAGAACAGTCTGAACGGTCGTCGCAAACCTACTCTTCACTTGCTCAAATCGCTCGCGATGCAGCTTGGCCATGAATTCACTTTTCTCGCGCAAGCTTGCGATGCAGCGGTTGAGTGGATATGTAACGCGAAGTTCCTCGCTGTTAAGCTCGAACTGGCCATTGGCCTTCTCGTCGCCGAGGGAGGCCTCCATTTGTTGAATTGCGGTAATTAAGCGCTGCGCTTCTTTTGTCATGTCTTTTTTTCACTGCAGAGTAACTCCAAATTAGTCATTCACCCTAATTATGATTTGTTCCGCACTGCGACTTACCCATCAACAAGTTTCAGGTGGTTATTCAAGGTATCCGATAAAGCGCTAAAAAGCTGTTGTCCAAGTCAGCATCAAGGCAATCCAATGATAAGTCTCGGGGAAGAGTCAATTTACCTCTGACTCGCGACACTCGCGCTCGCGAGTAGGAATCCCAATGTCATCAAAGATGCCATGGAGCTGCTCCACAATATTGTTGACCTGAGTGGTCAGGTAGCTTGTATCCACGGCCATAACTATCAAAGACCCTCTTGAGCGACGATGAGGGCGGCGGATTCGGGAACAAGGAAAGTGGTTCGTGCAGTCGGCGAACTACTGCGTCTACGTGGATTGAACAGAGGATCCACCGCGTCCGGACGCTATGGCAACAACAAACAATAATAAAAGGAGAGTGGCTTGCGGAGGGTTTGTCAGAAGCAAGACATGGATCAGGGAGTTGAGCGTGGGATCTTATGTTTATGAGTGGGACGGGCCGAAGCTGAACTTGGATGATTGCAGGCTCAATCAACGAATCCCGCAGTTATGTTTGGAGCAGATCGTCGTCTAGGGCAACGGCTGACTAACATCCTTTTTCCAAGAAGCCGAACAACCCCCTCCGTTTTCACCGCCTTAGTTTCTGCCAAAGTCTATCCCCCCACCGCCTTTCTCCACTGTCATGCTGGCTGTTGAAGCTCCAAGTTTCCCCTCTATCCACGATTAGCCTTTTAGCTGATCTGACATCTGCTTTAAATCCAATTACCGATCGAAATGGAGGCTGCACAGCAGTCATGGGGTAGGTCTCATGGTGGACTTATTGGATAAAGCTTAAATGGTAGCTAACAAATGAGCAGAGCTCTCGAACGCAATCAGCGTGTTCGATCCACAACGTGATGCTCTCTACCAATATGATGAAGCTAAACAAAAGGCTCTGAACACGGCACGTCCCTGGGCCAAAGACCCGCAATACTTCAAATCCGTCCGCATTGCCGCGTCAGCACTACTGAAAATGGTGATGCACGCTCGATCAGGCGGCAATCTCGAGGTTATGGGTCTAATGCAAGGCTATATCCTGGAGGAAACATTCGTAGTTACAGACGCGTTCCGGTTACCGGTCGAAGGCACAGAGACCCGCGTCAATGCCCAAGATGAGGCAAACGAGTACATGGTGTCTTATCTGCAGTCGTGTCGAGATGCTGGACGCATGGATAATGCTGTCGGATGGTACCATAGTCATCCGGGCTATGGATGCTGGCTTTCTGGAATCGATGTCGCGACGCAGGCTACGCAGCAGATGTCTGGGCCATTCGTTGCTGTCGTTATTGATCCGGACCGTACCATCTCTGCTGGCAAGGTTGAGATTGGGGCTTTCCGTACTTTCCCTGACAACTATACGCCGCCTAGAGGCGCTGTGCAGGATGATGAGTATCAGACTATCCCACTTGGCAAGGCGGAGGACTTTGGCGCACATGCAAACAAGTATTACTCTCTCGAAACGACCCATTTCAAGAGCACACTCGATTCAGAACTCTTGTCACTGTTGTGGAATAAGTACTGGGTTGCAACTCTCAGTCAAAGTCCATTGTTTACGTCCCGCGACTTCGGTAGCAAGCAGATAGTCGATCTCAGCCAAAAGATCCGCAATGCTGGAGCAAATACAACTGCGGTACAAGCAGTCGCACCATACTTCAAAACAGATACGACGGGACGCAAGCACAATCGAAATGGGCAGTTGGATAAGGTTGTTCGTGGAGGGCAGCGGATCGTATCGGAGGAGGTCAAAGGTCTTGTGGCGTCCGATGTGAAGTTGAAGCTATTCAAGGATGTCGGAAATAAATCCGCTCCAACCGTCTAGATCATTTCCCTCTCTCTCCCTCTATCCGGCATGATTGGCGCAGGGGAGTTCATCTCATAGATGTTACTGATGTCACTTGATGTCGCTACGACCGTTACGTTTACTACTCATACTTAAACCAGTGCTTGGCAAGTCGATCTAGATGGGGCCCATACACATGAGCATAGAGCATTTAAAAGTCTCAAATGCAAAACTAAATGTCCAAATTAGAGCTCACTCTCCTCATACATAGTTAAATTCGCGCTAAGAACTCTAAAAAGTCTAAAATATAGATGTCTATCACGTCGTATTGATTTTTCTTGAGATAGTTATGGAGTAGTTCGGGGTATAGATCGACCTAATATAGAGCTAGAGCCACAGTCGTAGTATTCAAGGAGTACGAAAGAAAGAAAGATGATAAGAACAGAACAGTGACATTTATCATTAGAAAAGACGTCAACACTGAAGTAAACAACATAAAGTTCCCTCAGATTAAGGGTTCGTTGCATCTCCAGGATATTTCGACAAAAAAAATGAGAATATGTATAGTCAAAAAATGTACATCGAAAACATAGCTGGTATGTGTGACAATCGAAATGTGTTGAACTCAGGGTATGGTTTGAGAGGTTCCAAGTTGCAGCAAATTAACGGAATGCCAAAAAGAAGGCAAATCTTCGTTTAAAGGTCTATGTCAGGTGAAAAATTTATATCGAATGGAAGAAGAAAGAAAGAAGAGAAAGGAAGGAAATCGCTGCAGTTGGAATCGAATGTATGCTGCTGCATGAAAGGTGGCGTGGTGGGGTATGAAGTTGGAATATCAGATCAAATGATAGATTGCATGTTTCATTGCATGAAGGTTGTGGATGTAACGATGCGGAGATTGATTGCATGGATTTGGCACAATTGGGCGTTAAGGACTCCATAATTACCCAGAATGGGAAACCTGAGCCGCTGCATGTCGCGGAAAAGCGGAACGGGCGGGAAATCGATGACTTGAGTATTTCGGGCCGATTTGATTGGAAGAATTGATATTGAATGTGACGATAGATCACCTAGATCGGACACATCCTGCAGATCGTAGAGCCACTACAGGAAACCGGACTCAGAGAGTAATCTACGGGTTTCAGAATCAAAAGAAGTTAGTCTCAAGGATCCCAAAATGTTTCAAAACACGAGCATCTTTGCCCTCATAAGGAAAGTAAGAGTATGAGATCAAATTTGGGTATCGCCAAAAAATGCCACAAAAAACACCAACTCAAATGGAAATAAAAGGGGGTCCGGGGGAGAAAGAAAAAAAAAAAATTATCGCATTCTTGCGACGGTGCTTGCAAAATACATCGAGGTTTTAGACTCTTTGTTTGCGGCTTCGTACCTTGTGATTTTCTCATCTTCACGTTCTCTAGGCTCGATCTCGAGACTTCGGTCATACATGTCGTGAACATCACCGGCAGCTTGAAGATTACTGAGGATATAATCCTGTAGTTCCGGTACGGGTTGAAGGAGATAGGGGACGTTCTGATACTGCTGGATGTCCCGGATAACCTCTGCAGTCTTCGCTCTCTTGTTGAAGTTGATAAGTTCAGATGGCGTAAGAGATGGGATACCATCCTCAATAAAAGTCAAATCTGTGAGATAGACACCTATATGAATGGTCAGCTACAAGTACATGTATGAGGGAGGCACCATATCACTTGGTGCTTGTTGATCTCACCAAAAAATGGAATACAAGGAGGATTGGCAAGATGCAGGGTCTCGCGATACTCGCCAAAATTCTTTGTGCTTGCCATAAGGCGACGCATCTGCTCAAGAATTGCATGAGTACGGCCGCTGACTTGGCTCCAAGTGCGACCAAGGCGATGAATGGGAGCGGTTCCAAGAGCAGAGATGATAGATGTTAGGGTGGAGTAATTGTTGAGCGAGCGACATTTCTATGTAATGTTAGCATGGTACTGTAATGGATATAAAGAAAGAACACATACGTCAGCAACGTTGACAAAGTGCTTGATAACGCCTACACGCTTCTTGACATCGCTTTGTGTCAAGATCATTTCAGCCACCCAATTTGTCAACTGGTTGGAGTGCAAAATCAGAGCCTTGACATTAGCAGCCGGCTCTGGCTCCTCAGGGCCAACTTTCTTCTGCCAGGTCTTATTCAAACACTCTGTAGGTCGAATTTTAGAATAAAGACGCGACTCGACGATAGTCAACTGTCGGGCAAACTCTGTAGCATCAATATCGAGGAACTTGAGCTTCTTCATGTTCTTCGGAACGATTGGTGGTGGTGCTGCGACGTTTTGGGTAGGTACAAGTCGCTTGCCACTGGTGTCCTGGCCACGCAGTCGTTGCTCAACGACAGTAAGTAGTGCAGGAGCACCAAGAGTCTTGGTAGTAGCGACTGATTCCTTCGTAAACGAATGTACCCGTCGCATAAGTTGCATATTCACTTCATCATTGGGCTCCATCCAGAAATGGTCAAACCAACTCTTGAGAATGTTGACTACGCGGAATCTTATAGGTTTTTGTTTCCGATCAATCCACACTTGCATTTCATCTGAATTCAACCCAAATGGAGGCTGGACATTGAAGCGCTGCACGAGAAGTTCAAAGAGTTCGGTTGCGGAGGTGAATGAGCGATAGGTGAGAAGGAAAGTGTTGTTGAAGGATGCATCGAGCTTGTCGTGGCGCGTAAGATGTTCTACCAAACCAGCCAATGTTCCACATTTAAGCATGGGTACATCTCCTTTAGTATCGTAAAACACCTCGCCCTCGTGATCCATGTTCAAGTACCATGGAGTCTCCTCGGGCTCTTTGACAGGCTCCCGGATCTGTGGCTCGCGGGTAACCGTTGCAGGTGGTGCCTGGCCGAAGAATCTCTGGGCCTTGTCCATGTTGCGCCGCACCTTGTTACCCTTGCCGAGGGCGTAAGAAGACGGAATGCCAATCGACTCTTCGGCGATATTGCTTTGAGATCCACTGCGGCTGTGCGTACCGTTGCTGAGTCGCTCGTCTTCTTCGTCCAAGCGGCTTTCGCTTCGAAGGGTATCGTCGGGAATTTGCTCCAGGAGCAAGGCTAGCGAGAAACCTATCTGAGAGACGTAGTTCTCCAACTGTTTAATCACAAGTCGCAAGGCAGTGATACGATCTTCGAGAGAATCACCGCGTAACTCCGACCACTCGTCAGATAGAGGAGCGGAAATTGCCTGGGTGGTTACGATGAAATCTCCAACTCCATCGTACACTCGTTGCTTTTGCAAGCTGAAATCTACCAATTGAGGATTCTGGAAGGTTGTGCCAAGAGGGACAAGGTTGACCGATTCAATAATCTCAATCCAGGGTTTGAATTGATTAAGGACCTTGATCGCTGCAACGGCAACATCATCCGCGAACTCTGAGTGCTCTGGGTGTGTGACGATCTTTTGGTCCATGGTTAATCGCTCCTCCAGTCGACGAACACAACCCACAAAGGACCTCCGGAGGATATCAACCTGATCGAGGAGCTTATTATCAAGAGTGACTGAAGGTTCGGCTCGCGCATCGCCCTCAGGTGCAAGGAAGGACGTCGGGCCAGCATTATTCAAAGTGACGCCGTTATTTTGCCAACTGCCACCACACACACTACCATTAACAAACCCAGGAATGATCCGGTGAATGCTGTCCCCGCGCTGCTGGCGGGCAACGTCCACATAACCGTATACTCCCTGCATGACACCGTCGGCCTCCAACAGGCATTTATTTTCAGAGTCGAGACTGGGCCAATCGGCGGCTGCGATATGTGACGAGAGAACCAACTTGGAGAATTTCGACATCGTGTCCCGGAAGTAAGGGTACAGCGCCTTATTGGTGGAAATGATCGAGGGGTTGCCGGAATGGTTATCAGTTGTGTCAGATCCAGCTGCCAAGAGCATGCGCAGATGATCGGAGATATCCTCCGCCCTTCTTACATACTCAGATCGTTCATGGCGATAGAGAGCCTTGCGGTAGGCGTCAATGGCTGATCGCATGTTGTCCACGAGGGCAGGCCAAGTGACTGGTGACGCAACACCATCATCCACAAAGTGTTGAGGAGTACCGGAGGAAATTGAAGGTCGAGAGAAGCTTTCAGTGATGAATTTGCTAGTACTAGTTCCCCCGTTGCTGCTAAATGACGGGCTCTTGTTTGTCTGCAATGTCTTGGAATCTTTCGGTCCAGGGGGGTACAACGAATCCATAGAGGTAGCAGGAGACACACCATCAATGAGGGATTGACGATGACGAGACAGAGAGTCATGAGAGCTACTCAGCATAAGCGATTCTCCTTCTGCCTCAGAAGCCGAGCCGTCATAATCATCTTCATCTCGCTCAAATCCGCGCGCCATCAACTCAGGAGGCGGTCGAGTCTGCTCAGGGACAAAGAAGTGGGTACGGTCAGGACCACTCTCGTCTGTTGAAGTCGGATTCTCAAATGGCATTTCGTGGGTCGAGTATCCAGTAAGGGTGTTGAAATAGAATAGACGGCCGTCGGGGGTGACTTGCGGAATCCAAAATGCTGCTTCTTCCTGTTCCTTGGGTTCAGAGGTACTCTCTATCGGTAGAGCAGACTGTGAGTCGCGCTGGTTCACTTCGGAGTCCAAATCCTCCTCCTCTTCGTGGCTATTACCATAATCATCATCCAAGCTGGATTCGGTGTTAATATCGGTGTCTTCGTGTGTCTGTGTCATTTGCTCTCCGAAATCATCTGCCTCCGTGATCATTGTACAGTAATTGCTGGGGAACCAGCCGCGGACATTATCAATAACTCCATCCCACCATCCGGTTTCTAGTTGGTTGAGAACCTGTATTATATCTCCTCGGCGGAAACTGAGACTGGTGTGGTCGTCAGCATCGTAATCGTACATGGCCCGCACAAAAAGCGCGGGTGGCTCAGGGGTGGCCGCATATCCGGTAGCCATCTTCAAGGGGGATTGATTTGATGGATTGCTATGTTTTGAAACGCTACTCCCCCTACTCCGTAGAGTTGTAACTGTGGGTTGGGTGGTCTGTTCGTCGGTGTACTCGAAAGCGGTCGCAAAAGCCCCGGTTTTGGTAGTCGTAAGCGTAGATCCCGTATTGACGGCCTCAACGACGCCGAATTCGAACATGGATCAGAGAGTAACCGAGTAGAGGAGTCCGAATAAAACGAGCGAAAGAAAAGAGAGGAGAGGTCGAATGGTTGGGATTCACTGTGCCCCGTAGCTCATGGTTTGAGGATTTGAGGATCGAGAGGGGGGAAAGAGAACCGGGTGATTTGGTGATACAGTGTCCCTCGTTCAAGAATAATCGATGGAAGCTGGTACGCGGTACACAAAATCAGAGTGAGAAAGGGTCAAAGTAAGAACATTGTTGTAGATGTAATTCAATTTAGAGGGGGAAGAAGAGGGAATTTGGAGTGGAGGCGGGACGGATAAGGCGCCAACTCCTCTTCTGTTGTAATATTACAATACGAGGACACAAATTCATCGCGGCTCAATATGCCGGTATAATAATTAGAATTAATTATTACATATATGATTACCGTGGTAATTATTTTCATATTTCATATCCCACTTTATTTTAAGTCTTGTCCACTACTTCGATTATCCACTTCAGTATACGTGCGTTTCTCCCGGCATTGCATCTAACGCACGTTTATGTGCGTTAACTGCCAGGTACTCAGAACTTAGTACTATGTGTATATAGTAAGACCACAGCTCTGCGATCAATCTCCATCATACAATTTAAATCCACCAAATCCATCAACCACAGGTAGCTCAGAATCTTTGTGATCTAGACTAAAGCGAGTTCCGTTTTTTTTAGTGGAATGTGCGCCCATGTGGATCAGTCGAGGCTTGTAGGTAATACTATACAGACAACAACCTTCGAACCCTTGGAACTATCACTTCATCGCAGTAGTTTTACTCTGTCCAGTACTTTCTCTCTAATCTACAAAGCTTCCTTGGAATCTAGGGTATTAGATTTGAAACTGATAGGCGGCACAGAGTATCAAATCCATACTGCCGGAATCAAGTGGAGATTTGCTAATGCACTAACGTCAGTCCACATTGTGTCAAAAGATTGATTGGATTGCATTGGCCAATGCACAGACATTTCCGGTTCTTTTCAGCCCGGAGTACAAACTACGACTATGACTACTTCGTACTTCTCGACTCGGATAATATTCACGCTCAGGGGTATGAAAGTTCATTGCAGCCACTAATGACACACAAAAAAAGAGGAGTAATTGGAGCTAATAGTGCCTCCAGAACTATTCTAGAAGGTATTACCAGATATTAATCTGTGTGGCGTAGATAGTCTCCGTCCAAGTCCGGTTCTCGAAACTCCCGGGGTCGAGCCGACGTTCCTGCGTTGATGCATAGTGTAATTAATTTTGCAAGCTGTCCAGGTGAGGGGTTATATCTACCTCCAGCTACTATGTAGCCCTGGAGGTACTCATACATCTGCATTCTACACTCGCTATCCTTGTAAATGTCGGAAAATATACCGCATTCATGCAGGATCCCGAGGCTCGTGCTTAGAATCCCTCGAAGGTGTCGTGATGCTACGTCGTAATCATGAATGTTTGATCTCACCAATACCATATACTCATTGGATGCCTTACTCTGCTCTGCATCTGCAAGATACTCAGCTTCGATACCTGTAAAATAGGTGATCCCTGAAATCCTCCATTGAAGTATATTTCTAGTATTAAACTATCTATTTAGCTCCGGGGAGATTAAACTAAGTTTCTACCACGCAGAATCCATGTTTTACTCATTCCATATGGAACTCTATTCAGTACAGCCCCCAACTTGGTAATAATACCCAGTTAACGCACCTAGTCCTCAAAATCAACCAAGGAATAACACTAACCTTCTCAGTGCTAGGTCATTCAAATAAAATACTATCTAATTGCTTACTCTATAGACCTAGAACCCCTAGAAGAAGAGGATACCGATCATCGTGCCACGTGGTAAGGTGTCATCTGAGCTTAGCTCGTTAACTAAATGACTTATCTAGTTGATAGCTAACTCTATCCACATGGCGGTCAACGCTGAAGAAGATTATACTATATTCGTAGTCATAGCAGCCCTCGCTTATTTCTGTGTGCGGTATGCGAATTACTGTACCTAAGAAAAGTGTAATAGTCCTTCTGTTCCTGTAGATCAGGGATGATCCTTCCATCAGGCGGGGTTGCTCATGGTAGGGTTTTGATGTGAAGTACCTGAAGTCCTCCGATTCCGCTCTATTGAGTATAGCTGTGAATTTTATTTTGAATAGCGAGCTCGTGTTTGGCTACCCAAGGCTTCATTGATACTAGTCTTGCTTGTCATGAACTCCTACCCCTGATTGAACTGAATAGTATCTATCCACTTGAATGGGCTATTGAATATGCACGTATATTCCTCTAAGTATATTCCAAGGTTGACAGTAATCAATGCTTTCTGTGTTTATTTCATGATAGCAATAGCTGTATAAATAATCATTATTTGAAGGATTTGGTCTACCTAAATCAACTACGGAGGTGATTCCAACCTTGGAAGGCCCCGCCCCGAGGTCGCATCGACTACATATCTACCTAATGTCAATCAATGGCTATATGAATATACCAACATAAACATTTGGCTATCTAGGGGTTTTTACCTTTCCGTGATGTTGGGTAATGCAGGGCTTTCTCCCTCAAGTGAACCCATGGAGCCCGAGGGTACCTACTAAATATGTATGTTTCTAACTACATATGCACTTCAATCTTCAGCCTATGGCCTTCCACATTTGACAAAAGCCCTGGAGGAATTGCTCAGGTAAAACACTTCTCACTAGCTAAATGAGACTAATTCAATTCCAAGATTGGGAACCCAGGTCGTAACCTTAACTTATGCCTCTTCCAACGACCAATAACTATCAAGTAGGGCATGTACTTCAGTCTTACACCGCTTCATCGCAAGATAGCTGATCCATACATAGTCTCACAAAGCTAAAAAGGTTTGTTACGGCAGAAAGTCGTATACCTAATCAGATGGCTTGATGCAAACTTTTAGTAGAAATGAAAATGAGTACTTTCAAAGTTCTCTACATCTTTTCAAAATTTTCAAATCACCAGAAAGTACAAAATCAGGACTTCAATTCACAAATCCAATCAATCAGGATGGGTTATCTCATCCTCTAACAATAAGAATCAAGTCTCCAGGCACATTAGCGTTAAAGGATAATATTATTGATGCTGAGGTATACACGATCTTTGATCGGCTTTAACACCCCAAGAAGCAGACTCATTCAAGACTACATATGCAGGATGGTCGACTTGAGTTGTTCAACCTTAGCAATACCTGTTGTCTGCGCGTATCAAGGTTAATTCCAAAGTTAGTGATTTAAAAAGTCAGTAGTAAACTATTTAGCAAAGATCAACCTAATACCTGAATGTATGATTCTATTGGTGCAATAATGAGCCTCCCAATACCCTGAACAGTTCGCATTCAGGTCCACATGAGCATCTACGGCGTACATATTACCTAGACAGGAGCCTAGAATCTGATTTGCAGCCTGCAAATCTCAGCTCCAAGCTACCTACAGTTAGACTTAGTGGCACAAGAATCATCATGAGAGGCATACACAAACCAACCGACCGGATCACCATGGGCGGAGACACAATTATCTCATAGACAAAGTCCTCCAATTGCAGTTGTATCTAGGGCCTCGGAACCTCTGATCATGATCAACATGCCCCATTTTTCAATGTTTCAGAGTGAAAAGCGAATTGAATGATGCGGAAGAACGCGCTCAGCTGTCCATAAGGACCTAGACCTTTTCTATTCTGTGTTTACGGTGTATGTTCCCCCCCCCCCCCCCCCCCCCCCCCTTTCTCGTAATATCCACTTCTGGCAAACCTTCAAAGCTTCAAACATTTCCACAGCTCTGTTCATTGGACGTGCCGTTTTTCGGCAGATGGGAGACACCAATCCGGTTTGAAGTTTCGCCCCATTCTTGAACTGTTATTAGACGTTTAATTATGGGAAAGAAAGTTTGTGTCTACTTGTAGTAGTACACATCATCTACTTATCGGCCTCCGCTCCATCTCCGTCTAGAAAGTGTCCATCCCTTCGAGAAAACTCGGAAGAACATCCGCGAGAACCCTTCTCATTCTCGGGAGTCGGAGAAGAAATAATCTAAATACTTCTATAATGAAAATATGCACAAATCTCGATCTGGTGGAATCCGCGGGAGTAAACCGTGGACCGGGGAATGTATCCGGTCCCCTTTCGGTCATCCTTGGAACGTATTTAATTCAATTTATCTACTACATCAAGGTTTATTTGCATGACGATCCAACTTAACTTTCATAGTGTTCCTTTCTCGAGAAAACACGATTTCAACGTACTACTCATACGAAGTTCTCTCTACCATGTACATAACCAAATATCCTCCCATTTTGTGAAAAAGTCCAGACCAGACCCCATCCCGTGATGACGAATTAACCAACGGATCAATAGGGGATAAAAAATTATATTTATATATATTACGAAATGCGGTAATGTGATTGCAGGTCTTCCATAAGCGAGGGATTCCTCCCAACGCAGCTCAATATCCTAATAAAGCTAGCTCCATCGGAGCGTCGAAGCATCGGGAAGTTGTGCTGCATAGAGATAGCGCGCTTTATGGATCCGAACAGAAATGAGACGAAAAAAAAAGTCACCCGCTCATACATAACAAAGCAGGACAACATCCCAAATCACATATCCCCACTGGGATTTACATTGCAGTTCGTTGGGAAATCCTGCCATGTGTTCAAGCGGTGAATAAGCACTTAACTCTAGCTAATACTTAGCCCAGGATTATAGCCCTAAGCCAACTGTGAATACCCTCACCGACTTCTTCAAGAAGAGTAAAATTGAAATTTCAGGCATGGGCTAGATAAGGAGTCTCCGAGCTTGAGACTCTAGCCAAGGCCCTAAGGTCCCGGCTTCCGGTGCGCAGCATAGTACATAGTACACAGTAAAGTTCAGGGGTTGCCGGGGAAGAGATTCCTAGAATTCCTTGCGAATGACACTGGACATTGGTGGAGCCCAGGGCGTCAAGACAAAAGTTACAGAAGAGTCGATGTAATCCATTTGTAGATCCATTATTGGGTTTCACCGTAGGGTTTTCCTAACTTCTGCGCTGCTCTGGCCTCCAAACGGAATTCAAGCTCGAGTTCGCTCCAGGGATTAAGAATGAGTGGATCTCTGCTGCTATCACTTTGCAGGGATTTCCCGTCTATTTCGTACCTTTGCTCTTGGGCGGTCAAGTCACCGCTCCTGTTGTTTTCTGTCTTTCTTTTATTTATTTTATTATTATTTATTTCCAGTCTCCTTGCTTGGTTCCTGAGAACGTCAAGTTAAACTGGGTCGGTCCGCTGCATCGGGGTGTGGATCGTGAATTGAATTTGTTAAACACCAGGAGATGAAAGAAGCTCCCTGGTACACCGCTCCGAATGTTCAATGTTGGAAAGCATCGATCAGGTACGGAACGGAGTCCGGGTGAGTAGTACGTTTGCACATATTCTCGTTCCTGAACAGAAGTTGACCTGTAGCACGTCACGTACCTATCTCACCTCACATAACTGAGTCAGTGGAAACCAACCAAGTTATATCAATAAAGGGGACATCAATTAAGTTCATGGAAACTGGAATTTGATACTGTAACCACCTACTTTCCATTATTAGAACAAAACGATCTCCCAATTTGTTCTGTCTTGGGCTGCATCGCGTCTCCACCGAAGCCTTAAACGCGTTTCCTCAGTAACCGCGCGTCGGTCCTTTGCATCCTTAGCGGATTGTCGGGACCCGATGATGCAGCCCCAACGGAGAGGCCCGGGAATTCACGATTTACATCGCAGTCTCCCTTGCGGTGTATTCCGTAGCTTGTTCTCCGTAGGCCACTGTCTGGGACTAGGTTTAGTGTAGTGGGCCAGGATCGAAGACATACAGCAGTGTATCTGGATAATTTTAGTTAGAAAGGCGATAGAGTTGAGGATGTAGGTAGTGCTCAAAGGCACATGTAGTACGCAGGGAGTGCAGGAACAAGTAGGATGTGAACCAGTTCTTCTGCACTACGAGCTTATTCAAATTTGAATTGAATCAGATGATGTATTCGATCTAATTTATGGTTTCCATGCAGATCGTCCACCTGACTAGACACAACAGACAGCACAGACATAGAAATAACCCACTTTGTAATATTTAGATACTTAGTATTGACTAGACAAAGTACTCCGTCTCCGTTGACGTGGATCAGTACCGTGGAAACCGCCACAGAGCGGGTCTTCAACTGAGACGCGTCTGGACCATATCATCAAAAAGAAATGCTGATCTCTCAACCAGGGGCTAAGACGAACTTGTGGCGCACACCTGTCAGACCAAAGAAATCCCTGAAACTGATCCTACCCAATACTTAGTATCAAGAGGGCCATACGCATTGATCGACTTCCGCCACTTCCTGCTAATAGCCCCGCTGTGTGGATCCGATCCAATGCATTTCTAATTGGTCACACGACGTGTCTTTCGAGTGCCCTCAGGACAAAAGTGATTCTGAATTCCTCTACTACTGAGTACGAGTATACGTATATGTACAGAGTAGACTAACTAGTTACCTAGTATATCAGCAATGTTAGAATACTCATCCCTGTTTCATTCCCAACCCACCTGATTGTTCGTGTCCTACTCGGAGCTGTGTAACTACTGGATAGAGAGGGGTGGAGGGGTAATGTGGGTATAGAACTGTTGAAGGATAACGATAAGGATGTATAGATCACTTTTTTATAATTTTCAATTTTCAGATGACTTTGATATTCATCATATTCTGTTTATCTACAGAGTAGGTACACAGTAATTTCCTCCCTGGTGCCACGATCGAGGCACTAAAATTGCCTTGCTCTGTACATGCCAGCCACACACATTTCCGCCCTGCGATAAAGAGGGCCCCCTCTCTGAGACTAAACAGAGAGCCCTGAGTGAGGGGCCTATGCATCATTACTGCTCCACTCTTCACCCTCGCAGCACACTATTCCCACTTTAATAGCCTTTTTATGGTCCTGAATATCATGTTTTCCATTTTGACCTATAATTGATCAGTGTTTTAGTTCTATTGAAGTCATGGTATGAAGTAAAGCCGCAAGGAGATATGAAGTATACAGTGGGGGTAAACAATTGAACCCACACCTTACTAATAAGATATATGGATAATTATGATTGTAATATAAAACATTAATTATGAAATTGAAATTGAAATTGAAATACTATGTAGAAATGTGAAATATTGAAATATTACGTGTCAAATGTGTGTGTATTGTAAAAAGGGGGGCAGATATGGAAAGAGAGAAAAGTGCGTGGCCGTAACAAGGGGTTGGTGATGTTTGATTCATACTGGAAACGTTTTGTTCTGAAGGTAAGAAAGTCCCACCTTTTTCACTCTTTTTTTTCCCTGCTTTTTTTTCCCTGCTTTTTTTTCCCGTCGCGCCTCGCGCGTAGTTGACTCTTAGGCCCACGTCCCTGTCCCCCCTCTCTCTTTGCCCCCCGAAGAACCCGTTCCTAAATTCCCTTCCCTTTCTTCCTCCATCCACACTTCCACTTTCTTCCCCTCTTCTTTCGTCTTTCTTCCCCTCTTCCCCCTCCAACCCTTTCAACAACCCTCCACTCTCGCGGTCCTTAACGCTCGTCCGCCTTTCTTTTCCCATTCATTTTATTTTGTGGCTGGACACACTCTATTTTTTTTTTCCATTTTCGTCAGTTACGCACACATACAAGGAATGATCAGACGTCTACAAGATCTTCGGTCCTCGACACATCTCCAGCACCGTTGCGAGTTCACCCAGGGAACAATACCACCGTATTCTCCTACTTCGATATTCGCCTAATACGAATTTCGACCTTTCACAAAGATGGCCCCCGCAGCTTCAGGGACGGCGAACTCGCCAGCCAAGAAGGCTTCTGCTCCAGAAAAGAAGTACAAATGCCAATTTTGCAATCGCGCTTTCAGCAGAAGCGAACATCGTAGCAGGCATGAACGCTCACGTTAGTATTGTCCTTTCATCCGATGTGGAATCCATGTTTTCAAATCAAGGAAGCTGACCCAATATCCCATTATAGACACAAAAGAGCGACCTTTCAAATGTTTAAAATGTCGTAGTACGTTTGTTCGTCGCGACCTTTTATTGCGCCACGACCGAACTGTTCACGCCAAAGACGGCGGTATCCCTTTGGTTGCCGAGGGACGCAGACGTGGTGGAGGGGTCCAAAAATCAACTCCTGCCGCCCCACCTAAGCCCTCAATTACTATTGATCCGGCTACCTTGGAACATATCGAAGCAAGTAGTGACGGTATGGTTGATCTCGAAACCGCAGCCATGTTGATGACAGATTTCCAACACAAGGCAGCAGCTGCAGCTACTGGTCAGGCTTCCGAGCGCTCCGAATCCCTTTCCCCGGGCAACGGCTCTTTCGAGCCGTATCTGTCAGGCAACGCCACCTTGCCCCAGATGCCCTGGGATACCCTCGTTTCGTCGGCAGATCACCCAATGCACGCACTCGGTCGTCACGGTCTCACCGGCGACATGCTCTCGCTGCCCATATCTGGCAACTCCACCCCGAACGCGCTCTCCCCGTACCCCTCTATGACCGGCCCCGTCAGCCCTGTAAACTACCGTCGCTCTCCCGGACCTAGCCAAGCATTGACCTTGGCCAAGGCTCCCCAGATCCACGACGAGTTAGAACGTAACATGGTGGTTGAGCGTGTCCAAGGTGCCGACACTCTTGGCGCACTCCCCGATACCTTCCAGCTACCTGGAACCCAGATCTTGAACCGGTACTTGTCGACCTACTTCAACCTGTACCATCCCCACCTACCATTCCTGCACCAGCAGTCATTTAGCCCTGCAGTCGTTGCGGCCCCGCTTCTGCTTTCTGTTCTGTCTATCGGTGCTTTGTACACTTTCGAGCGCGAGCATGCTTTCATGCTTCACGTGGGCGCGAAGGTCTTAGTCAACCAGTTCCTTCAACAGAAAGAGAACTTTGACTCTCGCAAGTGCCCACTGTGGCTGATGCAGAGCACCCTGTTGAACATGGTCTTCGAGAGCTGGAGTGGTGACCCGAAGGGGCTTGAGTGGACTTGCTCCATCAAAAGTCTTCTTGCCAATATGGTCGCTGGCAATCGTTACCAACTCAAGTTGCGGACTGCTGCCCGCCAGGGCATGTACCCATCTCGGGAGGACTGGATTGAGGATGAGTCTTGCAGACGTACTTACTTCGCTGTGTACATTTTCTTCGGCATGCTGACTCTTACTTTCAACCACACTCCTGCCATGAGCTTCGATGAATTTGACAACCTCGAGCTCCCCTCATCCGAGACTCTCTGGAACCTCGATGCCGCAGACGAAGAGTCTTGGCATCGACGTGCACCCACCAACACCTTGACTGTGCGCGAAGCCCATGATTACCTGTTCCAGGGAGAGCAGACCCGATACAGTGCGTTTGCTACACGTGTACTGATAAATGCTCTCTTCTTGCAAGTCTGGAACCACAAGCGTAGCTTCGAAGCCCTACAAGACGTCGTCACTGAGTACAAGCTCCGCCTGGCTTTGGAAACCTGGGAAAGTTCTCTTGACGTGTGCGAGTCCGAGACCATTGTTGTCCCTCTCAGCACGCCTCAAAAGGGCCACCCCTTGATTTTTAACTCCATGGCCATGTACCGTAACACTCGTGCCCGCCTGGAAGTTGATCTGAAATCCATCCAGGAGGCTATGCGTTACCACTCCTCGTACGAGGTTGCGGCAGCCATGACCGTCGCACGCGAGAAGGTTAAGCGCTCGCAAGAAATGAACAAGGTCATTCAACAGTGCTTTGAATGCATTGAGATTGCCGCTGTTCAGGGCATCAACTGGGTTGCCAAGACCTCTGCCACCAATTGGAGCGTCGAGCACCCTCTCTGCGGCCTGGACCTGATGGTCATCCTGAGTCTCTGGCTCTATCGCCTGGAACATGACGATGAGCCAGCTACTGAGGCCGAGATGGCACTCTACAACAAGGTGCGGAATCTCTTTGATGATGATGCCATCGACGCCTTTGGCAAACTCAGCTCCACCGTGGCTCGTGTCTGGGGTAACATACTTGACGGAGTGGTAGTTTGGGGAATCACCAAGCTTATGGGTGAGTCATTCAAGCTGCACTCCCAGGCTCTGATCGGCTATGAGGATTCTTTGCGTGTCGCGAAGGATCAGCCGATTCACGCCGTTTCAACCAAGTCGCTTGCTAGCATTGGCACCGCGTACTAAAATACTTTCTATCTTCACTTTTTTTGTTTGTTTCTGACTCTTTTCGGGCTTTCTTCCTCTCATTACTTGGACGCTTTTTTATCTTTTTTGGGACGTTTGGGAAAAATCAGGAATCGGTAATGCCAATGGGCAGGCGGGGTGTTTTTTGGGCTTTGGGAAATGCTTCGCCTCATTTTGCCTCATGGTTAAAATCCCTGAGTTTTGCGCTTTTTTCATGGGTTGCATTTTCTTCTCCCCCTTCTTTGCACCATGGAGTTCTGTGTGGTGTATTCTGCTATTATATTTTTCTTCCGCTGGCTGGTCCTGCGTGCTGTTCCTTTTCGCACTCGACGGAGTTCTATTCTTTTGTTTCCTTGTTCTTCTTTCAAACCTTAGCCCCTAATCGCGCCCTTCGTCCATTCGCCTTTGAATCTTGATACCTTTTGGATTTACGTTTTCCCGCTGTACTTGCGCGCGCTTTGTGTTTAGTGGTTTGAGGGAGACTTGGATCTGATTTTCTCGATCTATTGTCTGAGTCTCTGTTAATTGCATGTCTACTTTTTATTTTTCCCCGCCTAGCAACCTGGTCTGTTTTGGTCTCCGCTCCCATCTCGCATTTCTGTTTTTCTCTTTGCACATGTTTTCCATGCTTGTTTCTGTACCATAAGTAATCCTGAATACACAATTTGGTGGGGAAATCTTTTTCTTGTAGACGAAGGCGTAGTTTAATCATGCTACTTCAGCTATATCTAACGAGTTGTACGGAGGTCTGTCCTAGGAGTCATACTAGATCCGCTAATAGTATGATATCTGAGGGGTCAGTCACATTAATCAAGTGACCATAAAACCTTGTCGTCGGCAGTATAGACTGTTTCGAGGGTCTCATGAACCCACAGCTCCGGGGTAGAATAACGAATAGTAGTAGCCATTAGATAGTATATATAGTTACTAGGTGCCATATTAATTATTCAGTCCTCCAGGACTTCCTCATCCAAGGCTTCATTAGAGAAAGTTCCATATCTATCTCCAGATATCGGCTGAGTCTCAGGGCTGGTCCGGAACCTCTCTCCATGACGAGTGAGGAACAATGACAGCGGTACAAGCGCCAGAGCCACAAACGCCAACACACTATTGCCCCAACCAGAGCCCAGTCGCTCATACATGACTGGTGCAGCAAGGGGCAAAGAAGTGGCCAAGGCAGACCGAACAACAATATTGACAGAGCTGGCACTTGCCGCAAAGATACCAAAGGCATCCATGATATACAGCTGAGCGCTCAGAATCACTCCAATTATGGCAAAGGCAGTGATGCCCGTTCCAATGACAGGCAAAACCCAGTGCATGTTTCCCTGAATCGACCAGCCGTATGTTAGATATCCCAGAGCCATGATGATATTTATGGGCATTAAGAGAGCCAGACGGTCTTCGGGCCGGCTAGTTCCTCGTTCCCTTGTCCTCTTGTTTTTGTACCAGTCGGAGAGAGGACCCAGTATGTATTCACCGGCAGCAAACCCAATATTAAAGCCGATAAATGCTAGTCCCGTTTCGCCCTCATTAAATCCATACTGATCATGGAATAGACTGGGGATTGTAGTGATAAGAAAGTAGAGAGAGACAAAAGCCGCGGAGGTGAATAGAGTCACCAGCAGAAGGACTGGGGAATGGAGTGCGATTTTGACCGAGCGAACTAGTCCGTCCCTGAGAGGATTTTTCTGCTTGTGATTGGACTCAATGCACTTGCCCTTGGGGTCTTGCCCAGCAAGAACTGGTAAAAATGTTTCTCGCATGACCACCAGTCCAATTAGAGCTGTCAGAGCACTCTTCAAAACGATCAGTCATCTGTAACTAGAAAATTCCTAGGGACCTATACTTACGATGACGGCTTCCACCCAGAATACGAATCTCCAGCCTTTCCAGAGCCCTATATAACCACCAAATACGGGACCTAGAAAGCGTACATTAGCACACTATCAGTACTAGCTTGGTCCAGCCCAGCTTACCAATAGTATTACCCTAATAGCGGTCAGCTACACCCTCAATGCGTCAACAAAGCTATAGACTTACCAGCAAATACCCGGTAGACCACAGAGTCATCCACTTCCCACGGTTCTCGAGTGGAACCAAATCCGCTATGTAGCCTGGAGCCAAGGTTATAGGCACAGAACCAGCCAGACCGATAAGAACTCGGGCGAAGAGAAGGGTCGGGAAGGTTTTGCTGGCTGCACAGAGGACTGACGCCAAAACAAAGAGGAAGTTAGATGCATGTGTCAAAGGAGTACGGCCGTAGACTTCGCTCAACGGGGCGACGATGAGGGGACCAGTTGAGAGCCCTACTATGTGAATTGAAATGAGCAAAGACATTAAAGACGCATTGGATATGTTGAAGTCATCTATGATTTGAGGGGTGTTGGGCGTGGAGATCGTCGAGGCAATGCAGCTATGATATTATGAAATTAGTTTCGGATTCGAAGATATTGTGGAGAAATATACTCCGCACTCATTAAAGGCTGTGAAAGAGACAAAAGTGATGATGGTCAGTTTTCTTATGAAAGGCCATTCCATGGGTCGGTTATAGTATGGAGTCCTGTAGTATGGTGGATTCTCATTTGGAAGTAGAAGGGATTCTTGATCCTCGCTGTGTTCCGACATTTCTGAGCGTAAAAATCACAGTGGAAGAGTCAGTCCACCGCTCTATTTAGTCAGGGAGGAGTAGCTGTGAGGTTGTGTGGGGGGCGACAGTCTCTCCTTGCTTTTTCCCCCCTCTTGATCGACGTAGCGAACCATGGAGTATATGCAGGTGCCCAAGTCTGCATATCAACAGAAAGGGGTGAACAATTCGATCTGTAACTTTTGGAATCTTCCAATTAGACCGCGTATAGAGCACTAGCTATCATTTGTTAGAACGATTCTGCAGCTTAGGGATCTATGGTCTCGTCTCATTTCTATATAATCTCGTCTACTTCTGGTTTCTTGATATCTTATTCTCTTCTCCAGTAATTCTCAATTATGACTTGCGCTTGCCCGAGTCACAGTCAGAGTGCCGCAGCAATGCGTTGGATTTTGAATCAGCGATTATATATCCCGATATAGAAGGTGTCTTTTGTGGAAGGCGAAGTTCAGTAAAGCTCATTCAAATAAGCCGATCTCAGGAGCGATAAGAAAAGAATAGAGTTATATAGAAGGGAAAGAAGATTGGAAGGAAGAATTATGATTATGTTGGTTAAATAGAAGAGGTAAGTGGATTATGTGAGCTAGAAGTAAGAAAGCAAACTAAGGATAAAGTAGGTAAATATAAAGCCAGCTGATCAGTTTAAGGATTATAGACGACTAAAGCGGACCGAGATATCGAGCTGATCCACTTCTATAATTTCACGACCGTCAATATGGCTAGTACCCATGATACCAGAAATCTTTTGGCCAATGTAGCTCGAGTGCATGTAGATTGATAGCTGGCAGCTGTACATAGGTATGAGACACTGGATAGAAGTAAGTTTGAAACATCTGAATATCTATAGGAATATCATTAGACAAAGTCTCATTAAATGTAGGGATCTTACATTGGAAATTGATTCAATGATTCAGTCATGTTCTCGAGATTCGAGAACCTCTCCAATACAAGTTAGTACGTGGGGGAGTACTGGTAAACAAGGTGTCAGTCATATCGCAATCTCTCAACAAAAGATCATAGCATACCAATATAGGATAACAAGCAGATGCTTGAACAATATACCATACTGTACAATAGAAACATGGAATGTAAAATACAAGATTATCGTATTATCGCTTTATCGCTTTATCGCTTTACTGTCTTATCGCATTATCGCATATCAGTTTCAAAACTCCAACTTCAAACCCCACCAAACATCCCAGCATGCCATATCAAAGGCACGGGGCAACCCCAAATCAGGACCCCAAAAACGAGGACGAAACAGAGCCCCCATTAACCGAAACTACTGCCCCTCAACCCGTCTCACCAGACTCCTTGCAACGACAACTATGCAACCCAAGCGGAACCGAAACCCCTTCAGCACAAGAAGCATCAGCACCAGCGCCAGCAAAATCCGAAGCATGTAGCTCTTTCTCTAAAAATGCAACGAATCTCTATACGATCTCATACCTCGTCTTCTTTGCTATATTGGGCACTCTCGCGCGCCTGGGTCTACAGGCCCTAACCTCTTATTCTGGCGCGCCGGTCGTAACAGGAGTGTTATGGGCTAATGTAGCAGGTAGTCTGATAATGGGCTTCCTATTAGAAGACAGAAGCCTCTTCCGCGAAGAATGGGGTAACTCCATGAAAGATGGTGCTGTCCAAATACCCGCGACGCACCACAAGGCAGTCAAGAAGACTATCCCGCTGTACATTGGGCTGACAACAGGCTTCTGTGGCTGCTGTACATCCTTCTCATCATTCATACGAGATGTCTTCCTAGCGCTAGCGAACACCCTACCAGACCCCTCACTACAATCCGGCACGGACATTGCCTCTCGTAACGGCGGCTACAGTTTCATGGCGCTGGTCGCAGTCTTTCTCGTCACCGTATCGCTTTCTCTTTCCGCGCTGATCTTCGGCGCGCACCTCGCTCTAGCAATGGGCGCATTCACGCCTACAATCCCTTTCCGATTCACGCGACGCGTAGTCGACCCCGCTGTCGTCGTGCTGGCTTGGGGCTGTTGGCTCGGCGCCGTGTTCATGGCCATATGGCCGCCAGACCGATTCCACGCCGCCGAAACTTGGCGTGGACAAGCTATTTTCGCAATAGTATTTGCGCCGGTTGGCTGTTTGCTCCGGTTTTACGTCTCGCTGTTGCTGAACGGTCGCGTCGCTACGTTCCCGCTTGGTACTTTTGCTGTGAATATGTTTGGCACAGTTGTTGAGGGGGTGTGTTATGATTTGCAGCATGTTGTTGGGGTTGCTGGGGTTCCTGCTGCGCTGACTGGGTGTCAGGTTTTGCAGGGTGTTATGGATGGGTTTTGTGGGAGTACCACTACTGTTAGTACGTGGGTTTCTGAGCTTAATGGGCTGTCGAGAAAGAGGTATGCTTATTTTTATGGGGGAGTGAGCTTTTTAAGCGCACTTGGACTTTTGGTTGTTATTATGGGTTCGTTGTTGTGGACTAGAGGGTTTGATGAGCCTATTTGTGGATGATACCAGTGTGATATATAACAAAATATAATCTGTAATACTACCTAGGCACTTTGCAGAGTCCTCGACTTCCAAGGTCGAGGGCTTGCCATCACCAATTGACATGTCAACTGAGTACTAGAACTCAGACTGGACAGGTCAAATGTAAAACACTGTAGCTCACAGAGCCTCATGACTAGAATTGACTCTTTGCCAATCCAGCCCAAGCCTAGGCCCTACACCAGAATGAACCTGACTCCTGTTTCTCTCACGATCCAATTGCATCATCGGAATCCCATGAACAGGCAGCTCAACCCGATTGACCGGCGGCGCATACCGATCCAGCATCTTCTCCTGCACAACGCGACCACTACTTCCGCCAGGTGTAACAAAAGGCAAATGTTTACTTGGGAATTTGTTCATGTTCATATTCATATTCATATTCATATTCTCCGCTAGGGGCGCAGTGCGGCTGTGGAAGGTCTTGCGATAGGCAAGGTCTTCAGCGTGGTTGCGGCGTTGAGCGGCTGATTATATTGTTATCAGAAACTATAGCTCTTATGCCTTAGATCGATGTTACTTACCGTGCCAGAAGTATGCGTATATGGCTGTTGTTACTATGCATAAGCCTATAAAGCCGAACATGATGCCTAGCTCTTGGCTGAGAGAGCGCATAGGCGTGTAGGGTAGAAAGTTCGACATTGTGTTTCAAGTGCAGCTGATCTATATGTCTCTCTGTTTGAAAGTGATGTGTCAAGTATCAGTCGAAATTATGCTTCTTCTTCGAAGATCTGGAAGTTATTTGTATGGGTCTAAGCGCTTATTTTGACTTCACTTGGCGAACCTTGTTAACGAGATCGGAATTTCTGAAAAGAGAATTCTATTTTCTGTTTCGGTTGATTCGGTAGAGAAGTAGAACTCGAGTTATATGTCGAGGGGAGAATGGGGGAGTTGGATTCTAGGACAAAGAAAACTCATCAAAGAATATTTTTTTTAAAAAAAGAAGAATATGTGGTTCATTTCTCATATGTACACACATTAAAGTAGAACAAAAAAGGGGGTCATGGGTATAAAACACGTATTCCCAGAGATATCATGTACAACATGCTCTATACTCCCATGGCCAAAAAAGGCGGGAATGCAAAATCCCCAATGGGGCAGGGAAGAAGAAACAAGACAGAAGCCGTGGATGCAATGTTACGGCAGGTGATGAAGTCGCTAAAAAATCGCGAAGGATAAAAAAAAGAAGCAGAGGGACGACCAAGTTGCAGGGTCGGATTAAAAAGTAGTATGAAGGGTTCGGAGGGCGCGTGTTCACATGTCGATGCCAAAGGCAATGTTCTCGGGGTTGGACGTTGAAAGTTTGAAAGCAAGAATAGAATAGGAAGAGAGAAAGGTATCGTCGTGTTCTTCTGGTCTTATCGCATTCAACCCAACATCACTGCTGTCAGGGCAGTGACGGTTAACCCGATAGCCATGCCGATCCATGGAGTTTGGCCAAGGGTGCCTTCGCTACGCGCCTGAAGAACATGTCGTGCTGCCCTTTTACTTGGTATCAGACCATCCAGATCAGTCGCAGGAAGGAGCTGTTCCCGCGCAACGGCAACTTCTGGTAATGATGCGGCTGGTGAGCGGATGGCGAGATCGGGAGTAAGATCATATGTACGCGGCTGGGGATCAGCCAGAACGACCGGCGCTAGGGCGACGAGGAAAATGGCCGGCCTCATGGTGAGAATATTGAAATATGTTTAACAAGAAATCGAGACCTTGGAAGCGGAGAGGAATTTGGCGGGTTTCTTTTTTTTTTTTTTTTTGAAAAATGTCTTGAGTAGGAACAAGCAACGCCAAGCAACCTTGGAAGCTAAGAGGGTTTGAAGTTGGCGAGGCAACAAGTGACGAGGTTATATGTAGTAGGGTGCAGGATAACAAGTCAACGAAACAACGATGATGTCGATATCGCACTAGTCAGTAAAAAAAGAAACGGGGTTGATGGGGGACCGCCGCGGATTTATTTTGGGGCTCAAGGAATAGGGGGTGGGGGTGTTTGTTTCGAGCCCCAAGCCGCACGGAGGATATTCCGATTGCAATGAGGCAGGACCAGTTAACCTGTTGATCCTGTGAAGAAGATGCAGGAATACCCACATGAGCAATACAGAAATGAAAAAAAAAAAAAGAAGGGACTTCGAAGGGAAATGAAGATGGGGGTTTTAATTGGATGAAGTAGACGGGTTGTAAGGGACTTTCAGGGCTAGTCTGTATAGTCAGTGGGGGCCTCTACTGTTACTCTTTACTCCTTTGGTATCACAGTAATACCTGATTCAGAGATGCTTATAAAATAACCAATGAAAATAGCTTCGAAAATAGCTTCCATTTGACCTCATAAGGTGGGGCATGACCACAACGACGTAAATCTAGTCACCCAAAGTACTAGATTATCCAGGTATACCGCTTCGGTCTATGTCCTACTTACTTAGTACTTGAGGCCCACCAGTAGTATCATCTAACATTTACCAATATGCACTAGTGGGTCTAGGGTTGTCCAATCTTAACAAACGGGATAAAACCTGGAAAGTCTATGCGCGTAGATGAGACAATGGGTTTGTGCTGCATATTTGATTTGTTGTTCTTGATGTCGTGGATGAAACAAGACTATAAGTGCTCCAAGGACGGTTGTAAGTTGATGATAATTGAGGATCAAGGCACTAAGTATCACTACTCTGCGGTCATCGATGTAATCGGATAAAAGGCCGACTTTGACATTTGTTGATCATGTACGTATGTGGAGTACACATTACTGCTGCCAATCTAACGTCTCGACTCTCCTGTTAGATAGTGCATAGGTGCTGCCCGGGTATACGGAGTGGGAATCTTGGAAGTCTTCTGTTTATTTAGCTGTCTTCGGCTCTTTTATTCTCAGTATTTCCAAGATTCAACTCTATGTAATTTACTAGACTTTCGAATTCTAAAAAAAAAAAATACCAAGCATGCTAGCCATTCAAGTTCAATCAAATCCATGATCTATGGATGATACCAGTCCATCAAAGCTAGTTTTGTTAGTTGCCAACCTAGATATACCAGTGCCAATATATGTAAACAGGAAAGCATACCGAAAGGGAGGTCACTAAGTAGGTGTAGATCCGTAGTAGGCAAATTTGATGTGCAACCTAGAATAAACTACATACCTTAGATCATGTTCAGAATTAGAATTAAAACAATGGGCCTTGACTTGTTGAAATAGGCCCTCATCCCCAAGGTTCATCCTGTACATATGCAAGCCTTAGGCATCAGCGCCTTCATTGGAGCCAACTAGGCAGCACAGTGGAACACAAGGCAGTCATTGGACACTCAAACTCTTTTATCTGCAAAGGCAAAATGGTAGATCTAGTAGCAACAAACAGAGCCTCAACAAAAACATGACAAGGTGGAGGGGTATGGCAGTATAACTTCCTCTCCGCCTTATCACTATCCTTCAGACCCAGATGGATGACTTGACCACGTCCTGCCCCCTCTACCGTTCGATGACTACTCTGCCATCACCCCCCGCTCAGTCTACACTGAGTGAGAAGGCTGTTATTTATCTAGACCACGTCACTGAAAATATTCCAATCCTTCTCGATTCACTTCGACCTCGATTGGCCCCGCTCCGAGCGTACCTGTCCACAACACCCTTCCGCTCCGTCGCGCAAGTCTTGCCATTTGAGATCGACGAGACAACTGCTACTATTTTCGCCGCGCTCACCGTCGCACTCCTCACCGTTTCCATCATGAGTTGGAACTCATTTTCTAGTTTTTGGCGTAGTCCCGCCCCACAGGTCAGTGATGCGGATTTTAGCTACATCACACCCGACGACATCGTCGAACCACCCTCCAATGCCTCATTGCAGGATATGAAATATATTGGCTCCATAGGTGACTCCGAGCCAGACGTGATCAACGTCCGCCACCGTGGCAAGATTTACCCTTTGCAATTCCGCGCCTATGCTATCGATGACGGCCTTTTGACCGTCGGCCACCTACGACGAGAGGCTGCGTTGCAGCTGGGAGCGGAAAACCCGAAACAAGTGCGATTGCTGTACAAAGGAACCATTCTAGCAGACGACAGTCGTTCATGCAAGGCGTCGGGACTTAAGCAGCACTCGGAGGTGCTGTGTGTGGTCTCTTCAGCCGATCACGCTGCTGGTCCGAGTGACAATTCCGACTCCTCCGCACCACGTGAGGTTGCAGAGCCAAGTACGAAAAAGAAGAAGAACAACAAGAAGAAGGGCAACAAGAAAAAGAATGCGCCTGTCCCTGAAACCATCCCGCCAGGTCCCCCCGTCGCCTCCAGTCAGCCGCTCACATCGCCCAACCTCAAGTTATTGCCCACTGCTATGGAGCAGGTGACGGCCTTGACCCAATACCTCATTCATGGCCTGTTGCCTCTGTGCCAAGAATACATAACGGACCCGCCAACTGACGCCAAGAAGCGAGAGTTTGAACACAAGAAACTGAGCGAGACCATCCTCGCTCAGGTCATGCTCAAGGCAGACTCGATCGAACCAGACGGCAATGTTCAAGTTCGAACTGCCCGCAAGGACCTCATCCGAAAAGCGCAAGAAACCCTGAACGAATTGGATTCAGTCGCAAAAGAGGGATAGATAGCTCATTATATCAACATTGAAATCTTATAGAACAGGGAAGACCTGTGAATTGTATATGGGGAATTGGCGTATCGTAAGGCAAAAAGTCCAGACGTTTTCTAGCGGCATCTCATGGAAATCTCTAATCTCAGGGGTTTAATAAAGGCTTAAAGGCTGAAACATTCGGTTCCACTTGAAATTAGGCTTGAACTGTCTTTTTTGACAGCAATATTTGGGTAGCTAACTACCTTATGCGAAAAATGACGTTCAATTGAATTTCAATTTCACCAGTAGTTTGCACCGTTGGGTACTGCAGTCCTTGGATATGGTCTGGCGACATGTCCAAGTCTAGCCTTTTAGTCCTGTACTATTCCCAGTTAGGATCATGACATTTTATTCCCCCCGTAAATCTGTCGCTGTTACATACTCTTCCCTTTACCTTCTCTACTTTATTTTCTAATTTCATTCGTGATTTCAATTTCTTCATCTGTTTGCAATCCAGGAAGTATTCTTCTTTCTTTCGTGGTTGCCTCCGCTCTTTTCTCCCCTCTGTATATTTCTTCTTCATCCCCCCCCCCTCTCTCTCTCTCTCCTGAACCGCATCTTCCCCACCTCTCGTGCCTGAAAATTCTATTCAAGTTCCCGCTTTTCCTGCCGATATCCGATCTTCCGGTCTTCTGTTGATAGAAGAAGACTGCTTGATCATCGACCTCTGAACCCAATTTGCGGCTCTAGCCTCCACCCGTGGATCGCGACGGAGAATACCCAGATCGTGATTCCTGACTCTCTGTTATTTGGAAATCTGGAAAACAAAACATCCCCTGCGTATTTACAATTTACTGCTTTCGGTCTGGCGGGACTTTCCCCCCTTACCACTGATAGACACATTTGCCCCCCCTCCGATTTCCTCATTTCGACCTTCCTTTCCGATCTGCGACTTTCAAGCCTCGGTGGGCGACTGGTATGGATTGAGAGCGAGGTCGTGAAACTCACCATAAAACACGACCTAGCCTGGACTTTTATTCTCCTTTGTTGTTCGTTGAAGTGGGTCCCAGCTGGTCTGGCCTCGTTCTTTCCGATCGCTTCCCTGTGAAACGTCATTGGAATGGCGGGCGTGGCGACTGTGTATTCGACTGATGCCCTGCCATTGTCGGCAGGCGCAGAATGGGACTATTCTGTGCCGATTGGAAACGAGGTAAGTCGGGTCTAGAATTTAGCGGTAGAGCGCGCCACAATGAGCAAGATTTGCTGATCGACATTCTTTCCCCTCTAGCGTCCTTCGATGACTCGAGATTCCCACGATTCGACCTCCATTTACACGAGGCCTCCACAACACAATGCCAACGGATCCAGAAGCTCATCGGTATCACGAAACGTTCTTGCGCATGACGTATCTCACTCGAGCTCAAACCGAGGACGACGAGAGCAAAGCCTGAACCGCAATGGAGACGTTATTAACGCGCGAGAGAGTATCGACACGTTGGCTCGCACAGAGCTCGAGAACGACAAAGAACCTTCTATCCCCAATGAATTGGAAAAGAACAGCGAGAACTGGATCCATAGGGACAAGCTGGCGAAGATTGAGAGCGAGGAGCTTCATCGGGCTGCCATTCAGTTTCAGCATCGCATGAGGGCCGAAAGTAAGTCTAGTGCGGGGCGCGAGAGGAGCCATGATTCGTACCGAAGCATTTCCAACAGTCCAGCAGCAACGTCATCTGAGTATTCTGAACCCTGGCCCGACATGCGCAAGGATAATGGGCTGGTTAGGCCGAGTGAAGACCGCAAGAATTGGGATCTTCGTCGGCCCGAGGAGATCAGTGCACACGAAGCAGCTGGTAGCTTCTACAACAATCCGGCCCTCCGCAAGAGCTCTTCCCGCATACCCATATCGACGGCAAGCCCCGTTCCTCTTGCGCCTGGTCGTCGCGCGACGACGGATGAACACGACGATGAGACCCGAGGCCGTACAATCAGCGAGCCTTACACTATCGAAACGGACCCTTCGACTCCCTCGTCGGGCAGTCGGCCTGTCAGCCGCGGCCTCCCTACTCAAAGCACTCCTAAGAAAACACCAACCAAGGCAACAACTGCCCGGAAGGCCTCTGCTCCGCCGCCAACAAGCCGAAAGACCTCGGCTGCTGTCAGGTCTCGTGCAGTCTCAGGTAATACCACGCAAAGACCTAATACACGATCTGGTGAAACCCGGCCAACTACTGCAGTGAATCGGCCCGAGGGAGATCCACCATGGCTGGCGACGATGTACAAACCCGATCCCCGCCTCCCGCCCGACCAACAGATTATCCCTACACACGCGAAGAAGATGCAGCAAGAGCAGTGGAAGAAGGAAGACCGAACTCCAACTACCTATGACCGTGATTTTGCGCCTCTTGCAGTGCGGCCCACAAACGATGCACCCCCACCCTCGTTCCCGAAAGAAGAGCCAATTGAACAGCAAACGCCAGAGGTCGAAGAGCCGAAGATCGAAGCACCGCCGAAGTCCAAGACCCCTGAAATACAACAAGCTGCACCACCTCTGCAGCGAAGTACTAGTACAGGCTACAGTACGATGCCCAAGGTCCAGGACACACCCCCTCTGGGGTTGATGCCCAACCCTAACTGGACTCCGCCGGTGGTCACTGCACAGGAAAAGCCAAAAGATGATAAAGAGGACAAAGGCTGCGGATGCTGCATTGTCATGTGAGAGAACGCGCTCGTTCTTGATTCTATCTTACATTTTATTCTGCCTTGTGCGGTGTCCAACCTCTTCCGAGATACATACACGCACACACACACACACACACACACATCGCTCCATCTATTTACTTTGTTGATTTATTTTCCTATGTTTTTATTTAGTCTTCAGCGTCTCCGATGGGATAGTACTACGACTTTTGACAGTTGTGGGGAACATCTCTTTCCACCGCATGCCATCTCCATTATGCTTCCCATATCTTTACAGTCTATTTTCCCTTGGGCAAAAACCATGCGATTTGATTCGATCACCCGTGTGCACTTTATTTGACTCTCACCCCAGCCCATTTTTCTGGTTTTATCTTATCCCTGGTCTTCTACCAGTCATTTGCTGCTAATTCTGCCATATTCCCAAGCTCGCAAGCGTTTTTGTTATCATTTCATCTTTTCTCATTATTGACTGTTTAGTTCAGCCGGGCAAGGTGACATTTGCATTTTTACTACTAGTCTACTCTAAATATGTTTAGACGAAAAGAACTTTCGACGTATATACTTCTCGTGTAGATACCAGATATTAGATCGGAGATGTAGGCATAGTCTTCCAGGGTTGAAGCTGTAGATACTCGAAGCTGTCAAAGCGCGATATCATTGTTCCGATGACCGAATCGACGGCAACTTTAGAGCAATCCTTCTTATTAAACAACCCAATCATTAATATTTAGTTACTCCCCACTATAAAAGAAACCGTGTCACCTCGGTTTCTTTTCTTCCCATCGCCCACCATTTCTTTCATCTTCAAGCGTTTATTCGGCTCCGCCGCATCAAACCCAGCCGCCATGTCCGCCGCAAAGACCAAGGCTCAGTCCCTCATCGACTCTAACAGCGTCGTCGTCTTCTCCAAGTCATACTGCCCCTACTGCAAGTCCACCAAGGACTTGCTGAACAGCCTGGATGCTCAGTTTGCCGTCCTAGAGCTGGACAAGCTTGGTTAGTACTCCAACATTTCATTTCACCCTATCGTCAGCCTCACGCATTACGCCATCGAGATACCCCGCTATAACCACTCCATTTGCGTAACCAGACATGCTCCTTTTAGGGATTTAATACTTATATTTCATCAATACAGACGACGGCACCGATATCCAGAAGGCTCTCGAGGAAATTTCCGGCCAGCGTACTGTTCCCAACGTCTTCATCGACAAGAAACACATCGGCGGTAACTCCGACCTTCAGGCAATCAAGAATGACCTCCCCGCTCTGCTCAAGTCTGTCGGTGCTACCGCCTGAACATGATATCGTTCTAAGTATTTGAGACGGAATGAGCTTGGATCTGAGGAATCCAGTTACTTTTAATATACTATTCCTACTTGCAATCCTATAAAATTCTGTACTCTGTCTGTACTCTGTCTGTACTCCGTATTACGTATACGTATACAAGATGCGATCAAGTTTCTTAGGCACTTAAAGATCCACCAAATTGACGCAATTCCCAGATAAATTCACTTGCATTGATAAGCAGCCCCGCAACCCCACGTAACTAGTATGTCGTGATATGCTACCGCGGCTCATAAATCGCTTGCCCTTTTTCTCTGACAAGATACTAGACTGAATGAGTTATTGTTAGTGTTATGGCGCCAAAGAATATCCTTCTCTTCGGCGCAACGGGCCAAATTGGCACGTTCATCCTAGATGCCATCCTAACAGCGCGCTCCCAATTCGACCGCATAGCCATATTCACTTCCGCTGCCACCGCCGAGAAGGATCAGAAGAAACACTCTTATATCGAGAAGCTGAAGCAGCAGAATGTTGAGGTTATTGTGGGGAGTCTTGAGGATGAAAGTGCCGTCAAGGCTGCATATGAAGGTAGGAGACATCCATCATAAAATAGTGGATTGATTAGACTATTGAGATTGATACAAGTTGGAAGGATAAAGAAGACTACCTATATACATTCAAGCTAATAACACTGACCTTCTAGAAATCGACACCGTAATCTCAGCCCTAGGCCGCAACGCACTAGCCCAACAAATCCCACTCATCCGCCTCGCAGCCACAACTCCCAGCGTGAAATGGTTCTTGCCATCTGAATACGGCACAGACATAGCGTACGGCCCAGCCTCAGTCCACGAGAAACCGCACCAGCAGAAACTGAAGGTGCGTGCTGTGCTGGAGAACGAGATTGCACGCTCAGACTTGGACTACTCGTATGTTGTGACGGGGCCGTTTGCTGAAATGTATTTGCATTTCGCGCCGGGCTTTGAGGATGCAGGCGGTTGGGACGTTAAGAGGCGTAAAGCTGTGTTGCTTGGAGATGGCACGGAGAGGGTTAGTTTGACGGCTATGAAAGAGTGAGTTTTAGGTCCACGATTATAATGGAAGGATGATTTACTAACGAGTCTCGTTTCTGTAGCGTTGGACGTTTTGTCGTTGAGACTTTGCTCACTTCAACACCGGAAATTCGAAATAGACCTCTTTGCGTCAATTCGTTCACTACTAGTCCTGCTGAGATTCAGGCTGAGTTTGAGCGGCAGACTGGCGAGAAATGGAGCGATATCTCATATAACTCTCTCGATACACTGCGTGCGCTTGAGGCTAAGGCGTGGGAATCTGGTAGTCCGTTTGCTACTGTGTTGACTCTGCGGCGGATCTGGACTGAGGGAGGCACTTTGTATGAGACGCGGGCGAATGGGCTGATTGGGGAGCCGGAGACGTTGACTTTGGAAGAGGTAGTTGCAAATGAGATCAAGAGAGTTAATTCGTTGTAGATGGCAGAAAGAATCATCAATACCTTCCAGAGTCCAGACCATATTATATTCAAAGTACCTCATCTTCAACTACTATCTTTCTATTTAATCCGTTGATCTCTCCATAAAACCTTTACAAGAAAATGTCGAAATGTCGACACTCCCGCAAAACATTCATATATCAAAACACCGTAAGCTTTGGAAGCTCACATTTGTAATATAATTTTCTTCTTCATGCGGGACCGGCAAAATAGATGACAGCCAGCATGCCCAGGTGGAAGTATTCACGCCTATTGTCGTATGCCTGTCGATGAGGTTCATCACCTCACTTCGTTGGTTAAAAGACAAGGGGGTTGGATTGCCGATGTCCCGAGCCACCATCTAGCTGAACAATATTGGAATTGATAGTCAATCACTTTAAAAGGTAGGTATAGAGGAAAGGCAGAATCGAAGAGTAGGTGAATGGAAGAAAAGTAGACAGAGAGGGGATACCCGCTGTGGTGATCTACCTAGTTTTTATATACTTTGTAGTAAATACCTTGCCTGACCTTGACTCAATGGGCGGTTACTAACGCACTTCTACATTTTCTAGGTAGCACCTTGGCACTTAACTTGCCTAGTTAGGTACTTAGATGGGAACAATAAGAGTGAGAGTAAAAGTGAACTTGGAAGAGACCTAAGGTGGCTCCAAGTGAGAGGGAGGTTAAGGAGAAGGAAGGTAATGATACCATCTTCAGAGCTTAATATAGATCTTCTACTATTGATTTGCCCCTATATGGCTAGTTTATTTCGAAAGAAAATTGTTCAACAGATGGCTCAATGTTGTGCGTGGCTTTTTTAAAGCCAGGGGGCATAAACAGAATAAAAGTGATTGGGGGGGAAGAAGACAACATTTCAAATGATCACTAAGCGTCGGATTCACATGATCGAGGGGAATGGTAACAAAAAAAAAAAAAAACCGGGAAAGTAAGTGGCGACGCAACACCTCCACTGATATCGAACATAAGCAGGCTCTATCTACTGGAAGAATTTCTGGACTCGTTCCTGGTTATCGGGATTGACGCCAGCCAAGATCTGTTCGGCATTCAGTCCTGTGGCTGCGACCAGTCGCTTGGCTGATTCAACGACACGAGCTGCGGTTTGACCTTGCAAGGTGGCGGCGTCGAGAGCCTGAACAATGAATCCGAACACGCGGTCAGCTTTGCTGAAAACAGCAGGGTTTTGTCTAAGAAGAAATTGATTAGTCAAGGTCAATCAATGATTGCTGAAAAAAAGGGCGGCTTACTGGTCAATCAACTGTGAAATAAAAGAATACGCGTATGGTGCGGCCTCCTCATCATAAATGATGGGGAGAGTATCTATCCAAGTGGGAACAATGTCCTGGGCATTCAGTACCTTGGAGGCATTGAAGTGCAAAATCTTGGCAATACTGGCCGAAGCATTCTCAGTAGCAAAGACGTGCTCCTCGGAGCGAGATTGAGGAATCTGGGTGACCTGGAAAAGACTGGGAATGCTGGCAGCGACAAAGTCGCTCCATGCAGCACCACCCTTCTGTGCAGCAACACCGACACCATAGGCAGCTGCCTGACGGTTGGCTGCATTAGGGTCCTGCAGGCCAGCAGCCAGGGGCTGCATAATGTGATCCTTGTAAGCCCAAGACTCATCACCACAGAACTCCAGCACATCGTCCATGATGCAAAGCGCCCATTGTCGCTGTGTGGGATCCTGACTGGTGATGAAGTTGTCGTAGAACTGGATCAGTTGCTGCCATGCGGGTAGGAAAGAAATGCCCTGGTTCTTGAAAATAGTGTGGAAAGCCTTGTTCATGTCACTGAGCAGGTTCTGGTCGTCCTCGATGGCATACTCGTAGTCCAAGTTCTCATCCTCACCCTCTTCAAGCTCAGCCTGTTCTTCCAGTCGCTGCTTCACACGCATCTGGTAATCCTCGAGAGTCGACTTGGCTGAGTCGATAAACGCCTGGAGATGTTGGGGAGTCAAACTGTTTTGGCCAACAACCTCAACAGACTCATAGAAGCACTGGTACATTTCGGCTAGTGTGTCGACAGTGGGCTCGGCGCTAAGAACCTCAATGATCTTCTCCGCCACCTTGTTCCACAACTCGGCAAAACCTGGTGATTGATCACCGTGGGCCTTCTTGTAAGAGTTAAGTAGCTGCGGGATAAGCTTAGCAGACGACACACGGACAGGGTCGTGGAAGAAGAATGCAAGGCCAGGAACGGCAATCTTCTCCATAGTCTCCATGACATAGGGTTCAAATGCCTGCTCAAGAATTTGAGCATAGATGGTAATAAGTTCGATAGCGGTGTTCTTTTCTTCGAGAGCACTGGTCTTGATACCGATGATCTTGCCCTTGAGAGGCACAAGCTCCCATCCCTCATCCTGTTCAACCTGTTCGATCTGATCCTCATCATCAAGCAGCTGAATGTCAGCCTTAGCAGCCGCCACGGTCAACAGAGGAGGCATGACACCAGGCAGGTACGGGACAAAGTCGAGGCCTAGAACGCGACACATACGGCCCCAGCAGTGGAGGAGATATTGAGACTGAGGATCGTCGGTATCAACGATGTTCTGCTGAATGTGGCCGAGAATCTGCACCAGGTTCAGAGCGTCTTGGCCCATCTTCTCTTTGCCGACAGCGAGAGCAATGAGGGTTGCGCACTCCATAGCCTTGGCGCGGAGCAGACGGTATTCCTTGCCCTGTTCTTCCTGCAGCACGTTGAGAAGCAGAGGCATCAAGGTCGCGTAGTACTGACCAAAAGCAGTCTCGGCAGAGTCAGCGATGGTGGCAATAGTGGACAAGGCTTGCTCCTGCAGGTAGCGCTTGGGGCTGCGCAGAAGCTCCAAAAGACGGCTCAGAAGATCACCAAGATACGGCTCCAGGATGCTGCGCTCGGCTTCCTCGCAGAAGTTGACCAAGGCAGCAGCAGCGTGAGACTGTACACGGGGTTCAGGGGAGCTCAGCACAGGGATGATATTGTTCAGAACAATGCCGTGGTACTTCTCCTGCATGGTTCCGGCAAAGTCGGTGCTCATCTGACCAAGGGCATTGCAACCGGCGTAACGAACACGGGGGTGAGGATCACGCAGAGCAGGGACGACCAGAGCCAGAACCTGGTCCAATTCACCAACCATCAGGTCACGGCAGCCCTCGGAGATGGCAGAGATGGCCATCAGAGCAGCGTGACGATCACGCCAAGAGGTCGAAGACATCATGCGGGGGATCCAAGAGAAAGCGGGCTGAAGCACGGCCGGTCCACCGAGTTTGTTGGCCAGACGATCCATACATTGCTCACCGGCAATGTGATTAAGGTCGCTCTCCTCAGGTTCAAGGTCCTCGGACGCATTCCACTCCTCGGCATCATCGTCATCGGCACCAACATCGGTCATCAGACTCAAACATTGGGTGACCATCTCTTGTGCAAAGTTGGGCTCCTTTCTGCACATATTGGGAGCATAGTCAGCAAAGGTGGCCATAAGTTCCAATGCATTCTGGCGGACTTGATCACTAAGCTCCTTGTCCGCAATAACACTGATACTGAACTTGACCAAGTCGGTGAATGAACCCTTGAACATCTTCGGGCTGATTTCAGCCAGCTCGATCAGCGCCTGGAATGATGACGAGAGCTCCTCACTCTCACTGGCCTCCTTGAGGGGAGGCAGAATGTTTAGAAGATCACCCATGAGAGGGAAAAACTTGGTCTGGGCCTTCTTGGGTAGGTTGCGGAACAAAGCAGCGAAAGCCTCCATAGCAGCGATTCGCACCTATTAAACAGCTCGTTAAAAGGAAGAAAAAGGGAGTAGATCGGTGAATTTATCATACTGTAATGTTGTCATCCTTGAATCCCTTAGTGAATACTCCCAACACAGCCTCCTCATGCTGTTTCTCGATAATGCCGGGGGTAGTTGTGAAGATGCGGAAAGCTGTCTCGCGCAGACCAGACTCGGGAGACTGGCTAGCTTGGAAGAGAACACCAAGCAGCTCGGGCCATTGGCCGTCTAAAATGAATAATTCTTTTTTAGAAAAGTCCACACTTTTTTCTAGGGTCCGTTCATACGTACTATTATCGGTATATTGGCGTGCAACCTCGGCCACGGCATCTCCAATCTTTCTGCGCACATCAGGAACAGTCTCGTTGGCAAGACATAACAGCAGCTTTTCTTGAATAGCTACTCTCTGTTCGGTAGGTAGACTCAAGAAGATCTCCTTGGCGTCTCCGGTGGCGGGGTCCTTGCGGGTTTTCGTGGCAATTCTCCGGAAGAGGACACATGCAAAGGAGCGAATCTGGTTGGGTTCATGTGTCAGAACGTGTCTGTAAGGACTGGCAATACGAATAAAAAAGACTTCAAATTGCTGTTGAAGTCTAGTTCTTCAATAGCCTGGATTTCACCCCTCGTGTGAGGAGAGGTTTCAGGAGATCTCACCATTTGTTCTTCGACGCCGCCAATCTGCTCGGCGAGTCCCATCAGAAGGACATCCGGCTTGTTCTGAGTCCAATCATTGTTGAGCTGCTCTTCAGCCTGCGATCGAATGGTGTTGTCGGGCGTGACGAGAGCGCGCAGGAGCTGTGACAGCGCGGTATGGACCTCGGGGGGTAGTAGAGACATGGTGGGTGTGTCTGGTGCCCAAGATCCAGCAGACAAATACAACCCAGTTTCCTTAAGCCCTTACGGGGATATTTGGTGGGGAAAGGATTTGGAGGGGGTTTAGTGAAGGGAGGAGATTTGTTTTTGGTGGGGCGGGGAGGAAAGGAAAAAAGATTGATGATTAGGGAAATTGATATGCGATTAGTATTAACACTTTTGAACAACAACTACTTCTTTCCCCAGAAAAAAGTAATATCAGTCAAATTGGAAATTGAAAATTGAAATGACTTTAGCTCAGAAACCCAAGGGATACAATTGAAAAGGTTAGGAAATTTAATTCAAGAATGAAGATGACATGGCTTTTACTATATCTAATTTACTCAATGTCCACTTTTCGTGTTCCTTCTACTTAGATACCTCCGTTGCCTTACGACAAAGAACTACTATTTGCATTGCAGGCTATAGGAAAAGTCGCAACTGATCGTTACTTGAACGGTGGTATCTTGACGCGACACAAAAATATCCATAATTAGAACATGAAAGGGGTATGCACTCTTTCTTTTTATTTTAGAAGAGAAAATGAGAGTCGTAATCCGGACGGACAAAGGAAAAATGGGGGCTTGTACTCGTAAAAAAAACATCATCCAAAGGATAAGACAAGAGAGACCAAGGACATACAAAGGCTTTGAAGAAGTCGATTCCCTTTTAACGGCCAGTCGGTCGGCTGAGAATGAAGACACCAGCGATGACCGCAGCCAGAGTTACGATCGCTCCAGGGAGAAGGGCTTCATTAGGAACACCAGCAATGAGTTGTTCCACGGGAGCAGGAGCGTGGGCACTCTGGGGACGTGACTTGATAGAAACAGAGTCCTCTAAAATATGGTCACCCGCAACACTGGTCGCCTCAGAAGTCGGAGGAGGGGTGAACGCCTTGATCGTCTCAACAGGAACAGAGGTGGGGGCAGCTGCAGGGATGGGAGGTTGGGCAGGGTCGTGGACAAAGAGATTGACCTTATCAGAATGGAATTGACGAGAAAGTTTGATTGCATCAATCATATCGTGGTCGGTCGTAATGGAGACTGTGTCGCCTTCATTATCCAAGTAACTGAGAGCGTAACCAGTATTACTGAGTCTTCCCTCTTCGACCACAGCCTCACCTCCAACAGCCTCGAGCTCAGCACCTAGCTTTGCGGTAACCTGCTTGACAAGGTCAGCAATACCTGCCGATGTCAACACATTGACACGGTGAACCCGGCCGCTGGGAGCCTTGAACTTGAAGGGGAATGGCGCGTCCTCGGGGATTTGATGGTGCGAGGCGACCTCTGATATTGCTTCACCAGCATGTGATGCGGAATCGTTGGGGAGAAGACTGTGGTCGTAACCAGAACGGGCCATATCGGGGCTCATAACACTGGAACGGTGATTGGGTTGCTGGCTACCAGAGACCATCGAGTCGGACCCGTCGTGGTCCATTGAGAGCCAGAATTTGTTCCATGCTGGGCCTTCGTCGTCCTGAGTCGACATTGTGTTGATCTAGTGCGAGTAGAGTAAGCTTCTGTTGTGTTATTGCCGTTGATTCAACAATATTACCTGTTCAAGCGTAGCGTAGGTAAGCTTCAACACGTCGACCATGCCGACAATCTCGCCAGACTCATTCATCACTGGCAGATTCAGGTAGTGACCGTCTGCGCGAACATCAGTATTTAGGCGTAGGGTGATAAATCAAGGGCGACGTACCATGCATCTTGCGGAGAGCAGCTTGGATGCTCATATCAGACGGAGCAAAGTCGGGATGAGGGGTCATCACGCGAACCACGCTGCAAGTAGAAGGGTCAAGACCCGGAGCAATGACTCGAAGAACGATATCCTTGCTGGTGAAGATACCAGTGATGGAGCCCTGGTCTTGCACGAGCAAAGCGGTAGTGTGGTTCTCCTTCATCAATGCGGCGGCATCCTTCACTGTAGTCCGGACGGAAACAGTGACCGGCGGCAACCCGTCGAGGACCGAGTCAAGAGTCGGACCAGACATCTTGGTACGCAGAGCCTCAACATAGTGGATGACCTGTTGGGGCTGGCTGGAACCAAGTTCCGTCTGAACACCCTCCAATGCATCGTATAATTTCCGAGACGAGCTGTAAGCACGCTCCAATTTTTCCATTGCCTCGTAGAAGCATTTGGTGATATCCAAGACACCAGAGATATCCTGGTTTTCGTCCATCACAGGCAAATGTCTAAATCCCTTTCGGACCATCAAGTCGAGCGCGTCTGTAGCGCTAGTGTCCGTTCGTGCGCATAGGGGATTTTTGGTCATGATCTCTGCAACCGAGACTTCACGAGGCTTCAATCCCATTCCAACTACGCGGAAGGCCAAATCCTTGGCAGTGAAGATACCGGCAATTCGCTCGTCGTCGTCGGTGACCAAGACACAGTCCTCACGTTTGGCGGCCATCAGCTGGGCAGCTTCGGCAATGCTGAGGGTAGGCTTGATCTGAAGGGCTTGACTCGGCTTCAGGGCGAGAACGGTGCCTGGAGGAGCCTTACGAGAGCGACCAGCCTTGGTTGGGGCTTGGGGTTTCTTTTTGTTGAGATTCGCCTCCATCTTTTGGCGGATAGCCTATATAGAACGTAAATGTCAGTCGAGACCATAGTAGCCGGACCAAAGTACGGCGTATTTCTAATTGGAATATCTACACACCTCATCACGCTTCGATTGAGTTTGTCTCTGTCTGCTGCTGGCTGCGCTCATGGTGCCGGTACCAACTTCGCTCGGTGGGTTGTGAGAGACGGTAGATTCTGGACGGTCAGGTCGGGGCCGGGGAATGTGTGAGCCGTTCCCATCAAAATCGGGCAATCTACCTCTTCCGATTGTCTTATTGGGAGTACCCCTAAAAGTACCAGTATGCGACATAATTAAAATGTCCGGGAGGGGAGATTCACAAAAACAAAAGGAGGTTGGGGAAGAGCGGGGAGGAATGAGGAATTTACTAAAGGCAAATAATCTAGGATTTCGTTCCTCGAAACCACAGGAGAATACCGGTATAGATCAGGGAAGAGTGAGCTGATGAACAGGGGTGTGCCCGAGGTGTTATCGTACAAGGAGTAAACAATAACTGCTTATGTCAGGAACTTCGTTTTGGGCGGATCTTCCCGGGTTTAGAGCACATGATCTGCTAACGTCACATGATTAGTACATGTATTGACACCTCAGGGGTAAGGTGTCATATATGTGGGTCTCGCTTAAGGGCTTAGGGCTTCCCACAACACAGCCCACCCATCCATTCCAGTAGAGAGTATCTGCGTGAGCGAGCTTCGACAACCCGCCCCCTCGACAATTTAACCGTACGCTATCTTCCCCCCAACAGTCGTTCACTCCTTATCAGGTCCCTAATTCCATTACAGAGAAAACCGTCAAAATGGTCAAGAAGCGCGCGAACAAGTAAGATCTCGATCCCATACTCAAAACCGCGATTTCAGTCTCCCATCCGCCTTGAAACTCCGCAATGACGCCCACGAATTCGATTTACAACCCATCGTCAGAAAAAGGACAGAAGACAAGCAGATCAATCGATGCGTATTGCTGGAACAAGGAGCATGGGGACTGGACCTTCGCACATTTGAAGTTTGAAGTCGAGGTACATGGATACTAACGATTTCATCTAGCGGTCGCAACAAGAACGGCCGCGGCCACGTTAACCCCGTGCGTTGCTCCAACTGCGCCCGTTGCGTTCCCAAGGACAAGGCCATCAAGCGCTTCACCATCCGCAACATGGTCGAGTCTGCTGCTATCCGTACGTGATATCCACAAAACCGACAACAAAGCAAGAGATTATGAACTCGAGACAGAATTCTATATGGAATTCATTACGGATCTCATTCTTTTCGACAGCATTCGATGTTGGAAACGACTATGATTTCAACAGTTACTAATAACCAAATAGGTGATATCTCGGATGCTTCCGTCTTCGCCGAGTACTCTGTCCCCAAGATGTACTTGAAGCTCCAGTACTGCGTGTCCTGCGCTATCCACGGAAAGATCGTCCGGTACGCTTAAACAGCATCCATCCACTTCGTCAACAATATTCTGATATAATAACAGTGTCCGCTCCCGCGTCGGCCGCCGCAACCGTGCTCCCCCTCCCCGTATCAGGTACAACAAGGACGGCAAGAAGCTGAGCCCCCCTCAGGCCGCTAAGGCTAACTAAGGGATGTGAAAATGGCTCGTTACCAAACAAAATAAAATGGAACTAGTCTGAAATGAATTCTTTTATTTTGTCTCCTTTGCATTGATCTTCTTGCGCGACGTTTCGGATGTTTCATGAGTGAAACCGGCGACACACCAGAAAATGATGATGACTGGGAATTGGGAAAGAAAAAACGGCATAACTTGAATGTCTCGATGCTGGCTGTTGGAAGGGAGGAGGAATTCCAAGTTCTAGTCATTGCGGATTTCTTGATCTGGTTTGTCTGGATGGGTCGGGTCCCCTTGTCCTACTTCTTGCCACATTCGTGTCTGGTACTCTTTATACTGAATTGCTTCCAACACAGCTCGTACATCTTAGCCGAAATTAACAATAAAAGTTCGAAAAGAGTATTCCGACTGCGTATACATTCTCACACCTTAAGACCTTCCTCTTCCAACCTTTCAGCGTTTTATATTTGAGTGACCAAAAATCGCTATTGCACGTTGGATTCCAATGCTATAAATTCACTGGCACCACTGATAATACAATCTAATCAGATACACTGAGCTTCGCTAGTCCGCTCTTTAATCAACCACCCCAGTAACTCTGTCCAGAACGTCATAATACCAGTTCGTGACCTTATTCACTACCTGGTTTGCAACTTCACTCTCGAACACAAGGTTCCAGCCCTGACTAGACAGCTTATCCTCAAGAACACGACCTGGCGGCAAGTAATGCTTAGCGGAGTTAGCAGCAGCTTCAATTGGAACACTCAAACGATACTGCCAGACGGCTTCACCATCCACATAGAGCGAATAAGTAAGCAGAGAACTACGAGAGTGATCATCATCAACGCCGTCGACAATCTCAATCAGCCCAAACTTGCTATTTCCATCTGGGGCGTATTTCACCGCCACGTCCTCGCTGTCTGTTTGATGATATGTTCGAATGGGGAGGTAGAACATGCTCAGAGGACCAACACTGAATTCATGCAGACCATGTCCGGCAGTATTGGGCTGGAACTCATTCTTCGACAGAGCAATTGAGGGGTCTGGGAAGCGCGATGCGGCGAACTCGTGCCTGTCACCGCTGAGTAGGACGATACGAACACCTAGCTCTCGCTCGGCGCGCCACATTGCTTCGAAGACTGTGCGGCGTTCGTTCAGGAAGCCACCCCATGTGTCTTTGGTACCGACACGCCAGTTCTTAGTGAAGGGGACGCTAGATGCAATGAACTTCCAACGTACGCCTTCTGGCTCTGGGGTTGCGAGGTATGTTAAGAGAGACTGCAGCTGTGCGTATCCGAGGATAGAGGAATCTTTTTGAGATGGCTCGGAGCGGTAGGTCCTTGTGTCTAGCATGAAGAACGAGGCTGGACCGTTTACGAACGAGAAGTATGTAACGTCGTCTGGGTCCGCATATGAATTTGCGGGAACTGGGGGGTTCGCGCTCACATGATAGTGAATGAATGGGTCAGCGGCAGCTGGATATGGCGCAGTCTTGTTGCCCTTTGACCAGTCATTCTCAATCTCGTGGTCATCTAAAGTATGGATCCAGGGTAGGTCAATGGCTGTGCCGCCTGCTGCCTTGGCCATCCACGATGGAGACGAGTATATGCGTCTATATTCGCTGCGATAATGATCCAAGGAAGACCCGAAGCGGAAAGGAACATCGATGTAGATGAAATCTCCGAGGAATAGCATGAATGCTGGTCGGAGGAGTGCTGGTAGCTTCCCAAAGACTTCTGTCATCTGCTCAATTCCATGAACCCGCAAGGGATGTGAGAAGAGGTCGTATGGGAAGTTTGGCTTTAAACAGCTCGTTGTGGCAAATGTGAGTCTATTTGCCTCCAAGGACCCAGGCTGGGGGAAGTGAAAAAAGTGCCAGTCTTGTTGTTGGACAGCGAGTATCTGTACTGGGTTGAAGGCTTGAGCTGCTTCAGAGTCACAGTTGTGGTATAGTCGGTGCTGTTGTCTAATTTATATACGGTCCCTTCTTCGATCCATTCGGAGTCGGCTGAGACTTCTTGATATGATACAACCACTGGTAGATGGGCTGTATTTGGCTCACGGAAGAGCAAGTTTGCCGTCGTTGGTGAAACATATCCAATGCGTGAAAATGCCACATCAGCGGCTGAATAGACTAGAAAGCCTCTCAATAAGAAGTCAAATGCTAGTAAAGCCAAAAAGACATTGATCAGCGCTGTTATCCATGTCCAAAGTGATGACCGCTTGGAAGGAACTCCGGTCAATAGGGTCTTAAGCGCGGAACTGCCGGATGAAGATTTCTCTGTTTTTGCGCTTTTTGCTATTGATCATAATTAATATGAATGAATTTCAATGTTATCCTCGCACAGTACACATTTGAACTTACTCCTAGAGCCCTTGGTGTTCTTGGCACGGTCGATGGGTTGATCATTGAACAAGAACAATGATGACAGATAGACAACCAATGAAGATAATACAATGGGTACAAAATGGTGTCCGGGTATCTAGCGATAGTGAGTTGCGAACATGAACATGATGCGGGATTGGCATACCCATCTCAGAAAGACGAATGTTGAGAGCCGGATCGTCGCCGAGCTAGTGGCTGTGATAGCCCGCCGCAGGGATACCATGATAATTAAATAGAGATGGTAAGGACAGGCATCTCCCTGTGGAACCAGGAAGATCTCAGATCTATATCTAGGTAGTAGAAGAAAGCAGAATCAGAGAGGGATGTTTCAATGTTTTATCTGTTTCATTTTAATGACGTTATCAGGTCCAAGCTTGGCATTTTCAACTTAGTCAACACAATCTAGTTTCACCTAGTAAATTATTGCAATTTTCTATGTTTATGCATCTTCATATTTCCAACTTTATAGATAAATCAAATTATTGTAGAGTCCAAATTCCCTCAAGATCGACGCAATTGATCCATCATATCTTGGAGTAGATTGGTCAAACTGCTCGCCATGGGGTCAGCAGTAAGCAACTGCCTAGCTACAACCAGCACGTCCTTCATACCCATACTGATTGACATAAGTGCTGCCCATTGCCATGGCTTAGCCCGCTCTCCAGGCAATGCATTGAAATACTCCCAGCCCATCACACCGCCAAAGGTCGGGAACTGTTCGACCAGGTTGGCGAGGACGGGTCCGATCTTCTCACTCGACACAAAGCCCTGTGAGCCATTACCAGGGTTTGTAAGAAGACCATACACGACACGGCGTGGAGACCATCCCTGTGAAATGATCGCAGCGTACATTCGGGGATCCTCTGCTTGACCCCACCCATTGTAGAACTGGGCATTGTACCAGCTGATCTTGGAAGCACGAGCTTGCTCAAGTTCACGGTAGTCAAATCCCGAAAGATTCCCAATTCCCAGTAACGCGGCAGCGACGGGGGCTAAAGTAATAATGAAGCCGTCTCCCATGTCGGCCTTCAGTCGGTCGATAAGTCTGATAATGCCAGGCAAGGACATATTCTCTTCCACGTCCAGATCTAAGCCGTCGAGTAGATAATGACGGAGAATAGCCAGGAGAGGACCGTAGAATGCTTCAAATTGAGCCTGGCTGCCGTCTAGTCGTTGAAATGAGCCTGGTGCGGCGCCACCGAGCATGCCCATCACCTTAATACCGCCCCGCTTAACGAGGGGCACTTCCGCCCACAGCGGATCAAATTTAGGACTGTCTGGAGGGTCGTCATTTAGAGTGATATGACCAGGTTCTCCATTGATGTGAATTGCTGCAAGAATAACATGCGTGGCACCAGTGTTGTGTTCCAACAACGGGAGCATGGAGACATATTCTCCGCCACCTGGAATAATGGTTTGGTGGTAAACAATAACCCGCCGACGCTCTAGCGCTCCGCCAGGAATGGGCGGCATGGTGATATTTGGATTCAAACAACAAAAGAGCTCAGATTCGGTTATATGTTAACAAACAAAGTTGAAGCATTGTTGTTGCGAGAGAAAATCTAGTGGGGCGATAAGACGGAAAGGTGTTAGTCTCAGAACGCAAGAACTACAGCTTGTTTGATGCTAACTTCTAACATCATAACTAAGTAGGTCCTATCTTCCGTCCATTTGAAGAGAACGCTTACTAGGTAACTAGGTGGGGGTTGAATTTCCAAAGTTGAAGAAATCTGGGGACAATTTCTAAAGTTCCAAGGTAGAATGTGTAAGCCTCAGGCTTATATATCTGGACCAGGTCAGATCGAAGCTTCAATATTGAAATGATCCACGAGTATCCATCAAATGATCGATACCTAACTATGTACCACGTGCATTGAATCTTCAACATTTTGAGATTCCTTCCAAGGTCCAAGGTTCCAGTGTCCACCACGTGCATTCAAAATTAAGAGAAAGGAGTAGTGACCTCGAGGATGATCAGAAGGACTTGAATTTGAAGGAGGTCCAGTTTTTCGATGCTGGATAGATAATTCGTAGAGATATTTCTCGGGAAAGTTTGGAAATTGGCCTCGTGATACACTAATATGTACCTAGGTAGATGAACCTTTCAAAGAAGATTGAAAAATTAGAAAGTAACTGTGAACCGATTTATTCGATTCTCGCATCGAGAGTCTGAGATAATGGGCGAATTGTATTTGAAGTTATTATCCTATTATCTTTTTGGCGCCTAATTATATCTAGATAAAGGACATCTGATACATATCTAAATTTGACACAGAGTTCCTAAATAGGTAGTCTTCCACAAGCCCACTCTTCCACAAGCCCACTCTTCCATACCACCTCGCGTGACTGAAAGCATGCGCCAGCGAGACTTACTAGGAATTGTTCATCTTTCGTCAGCCGGCCAGGGAGAGGAGTTGTGCTCGAGAATGACACCTGGTTTCGGACAAGGCCATAGACCAAACCATCAGACATTTTTCAGTTGGAAGATGGTCGAAGCAATGGAAGGTGGGAGAAAAATTAGTGCCCAGCATATTTTGGGGACGTACGATGGGTGGGATTAGGGTAAAGAAAGAAACAGTGAGGTGATGTGAAATGAATAGATCTCTTTCCGGAGCGAGGATAGTAGTCGGACGAGTCGCTTGGAGCCTAGGTAGTTGTATTTCGCAGAACCGGTAGATAATCTTACTGTAACTCTCATCATTACTTTCAGTTCCACTGTGACTTTCAATATTCACACTTACAATTTACTTTCCCCGTTGAAAGGTTTCGGGTTTCCTCTCAAGGTCCCAAGTAGCCGCCTAATCACCTAAGTACGGTACTTCGATCAGGATGAATTTAACGGAGGACTGATTATACTAAATATTGCTACATATGTATTTGATGTGGTGCCTAGAGACCTCGGGACCAGGGTTGAAAGTTGATATGACCAAAATATCGCTCTCGAGTTGAATAGCCCTAGAAGTTGTACATTCCAAGGTTTCAGGGTTCAAAGATGCCTCCTATGGAATCTCATCATGAAATAATATCTGACTAAACAGTTCAATCTCCAATTTCTTCTAAAAGCATACGGAATATCTTATTAGTAATGACCGATGAAAATGGAAAATGATATGTTTGGAAATAAAGGATGCGCTAATCCCAAAATGGAAGTAAACATAGCTGCCTTAGGCTTCAAAAAGCATCGCAATTTCGCGCCGGCGCCGCATTTCATTCGCGACTGTTATGATCTTGTTATTGTTATTCTGCTCAATGGTTCCCAACTTTTTATTATTTGCTTTCTCAGAACATGCTCTTTTGTCCGCAAGACTTTCATCTTTCAATACCACTGCGCTTCAATTAGTCTCTTAATATCTTTAACCTGCACGAGTTCGCAACTCCGCGATAATGGCGAATGCTGGATACACGTCACCGTTTCCTACGATACATGACACTATCGGACAGTCAACACTAGTCACCCCTCTTTTTATGCCCTCCTCACCGCCACACGAATTATCCAGTCCGACCCCAGGTTCTCCCTTGTCGGACAAAAGTTCCGTTTCCGAGCATTTCGAGCACCGCGACAACAACAATAATGGAAACACTAGTGATGGGCCTCCCTCAGACGACGAACTAGACAATTTAACACGGCCATCAACACCCGGAAGCCCGACGGGGTCAGACTTGGATGCCCGTCTTGCGGAATATACTTTGGACTTTAGTCGATTCCCAAACGGCCACATGGGTGCAAACGAACCAGACGAACCAGACGAACATGCCGAGTTGGAAGATGAATTGGGCGACCTGAGACACGATGGGGAAGAATACATGTCCGATGTAGGTGGCCCGGAAGATTTCACCCAAAACCTCGACAAATACTTGTTGAGCGAGGGTTTATCGAGCATCAAGAAGCCACGCGCCAATGATGTTTCGCTCCCGCTCGGCGATTTATCTCTTGGACTAAGACAGCCAGCTGTTGAAGAGGAGGGCGAGTCGGGTGAATACAGCGAGTTTGGACCTCCAGTGGATATGTCGACTCCTTCGCATCTTCTGCACAGGATGAGTGCCTTTGCTAAGGAATCGACCCATCTCGAAGATATCGAAGAAGATCCAGACGATGACTTGCCAGACCCGGAATCCCCCTCAATCCGCAGAATGCCTACGATTACCGAGAATGAGGCATTAGAACGGGAGAAATTCTTGCATGAACGTATCGTTCAACTAGAAGAGGATTTGCATGATCGAGATGAGCAGATGCAGAAAAATCACAACCGGGTTTTAGAGGCTGTCTCTGCTGCAGAACAAATCAAGCACCTCCAAACTGAGCTCCAGCGCAAAAATGAGTACATTGAAGACATGAAAGCTAAAGCTACCGACGAGGAAAGGCTTCGTGAGCAGGTTGAGTCATTAGAAAAGCAGAACGCCGAACTGGAACTGCGTCTCCAGAAATCAAATTCGCAGAGCCCGGAACTAGAAGAACTCCAACAACAAATGCAAGCTATGCAGCAGCATCGGATTCAAGATGCAAACAAGTTTGAGTCTGAGCGTACTGAGATACTAGAGAAAATGGCCACTTTGCGACAACAGCTCCAACATACGGAAGAGCAGTTGGATAGTCGAGACTCGACTCTCGAGGATACGATCGCCAAACTCAAAGAAGTTACTCACTCAAAGGAGATACTACTTCAAGAAAAGAACAACGAGATTGATCGACTGAGTGGCGTGCTTGATGACCGGGTCCTGGATAATGAAAATCTGGAAGCAAAGCTCGAGGCCCTCCACACAGACCATGACGCCTTAGAAGATCGTTTGACAGATTTGGAAACCAAGAACCATCCTCTGGAAGAGCGAAACCAGTCTCTTGAGGCAGATCTCAGCCGTGTGCAGTCACAAGTTGAAGCCCAAGAGAATGCTCTCAAAGCCGTGGCTGCAGATTTGCCCATGGCTGGCCGCAACACACCCCTCCAAACAAACAGCACCTACAGTGAAATTCTTGACCTGATCAAGGATCTTGGCCTCGCAACCCCTGATTTGATAACCCCGTCACCAGCAAAGGAGGAGTTCTTCGAGGATCACGATGTGGAGCAGCTTCGTCAGGATATTACCAAGCTCCAACAAGAATTGCAAGACGCTTTGGCCGCACAGAAGGCCGCTGATGCTGAAGCAAGTCGTCAGCGTGAACAGGCCACCGAAACGCAAGCTCTCATAAAAACCATCGAAGGAGAGAACTCTCGACTGACAGCCCGAGTGAAAGAGCTAAGCTCAGCACTCAAAAAGACCGCCGAGGATTTGATTCGTATGAAAGAAGAGCACGCCGCGTCTCTGGAAACTGTTGCTACTCTGCAAGAGGCGGCTCTCCAAGCTCCCACTCCACCTTCGCCACCCACAACTCAACAACCTGCTGCCGTCGATACGGCTGCCCTGGAAGCTTCACACCAACAACAAATCAGAAGCCTCAAAACCGCACACTCAACTAATGTATCCACCCTTCGCGTTTCACATGCCGAGTCGATGCGGAAAATCCGCAACCTCGTCACAGCAGCCGAGCAACGTGAAGCGGATCTGCGCACAGAGCTGACAACTCTACGTACCGCTAGTTCCCGCCAAGAATCTCAACTGCGAAAGAGTTTCAGGTCTGAGATTAAACGTCTGGAGAATGTCATCGCCGATAAGGATGAGACTACGGCTGCCATGGACCAGCGTATCGCTTTGTCTGTGGAAAAGCGAGAAAGCGAGTGGGAACGTCGGGTAGATCTCCTTCTCAAGGAGCGTGATCGCATGGCTAGCGCTCTGATGATGTATTGGGGCGAGAACGACATGGGTAAAGGACCTGGTTCTTTGGTGCCTTTGGCCGAAAGCAAAGACAGCCGTCGGAACGAAGAGCGTGGTGAGAAAAAGCAAGGCCAGGCTTATCGTTATAAATATTCCCAAAAACACAAGTCGAAGCGAGATGACAAAGCTTAAGTCGACATCTCACAGACAGATTTAGGCCTGTCCTTTCTCGTTCTGGTCGGATTTTTGACTTTACTATGCATGGTTCAGATTGGAGTATGTGGCCATGGCTTTTTTTTTTTTTTTTTTTCATGGGCTTCATTTAGGGCTTTTAGTTTGTTTCTCTGTTGTTCGTTATGTTGATCATAGCACACAACACCATACTGCCACATCATCTACTCGAACTAGGTAATAAATGAAACTTCTACCTTATTCTTTGAACATGCGTGAGTGGAGTAAGATCTACAAAAGGAGACCTCTGACTTATTATATGAAATTAAACTAATTATCCAAAACCTGGTATCGAAATGCTCCGTTCGATATCGCAAAATGAAAAAAAGCAGTCAATCAAAAATATCATCGCTTACTTCAAACAGTAAATGAAAGCTAATGACATTTCAAAAAGGACATCCGACCAGCAGATGGTATTCAAGAAGGAAAGAGTGGATAGGTTCAGTAAAAGCTCTTGCTGGTACGATTGGCACCGCGATACATAGACTGATCGATAACGTTACGCTGCGCCTCCGAGTTCGACATATCAAGAGATCCGTTAACGGGAAGAGGAGGGACAGGAGTTGTTTCAAAGATACAGCTCAATGTACTGCTCTTTCCGCCATGGGTGTTACTACGAGGTCGCCTGGTGCTGGGGTAGACGAGCTCGACATCATTGCGGCGTGGGACAGGAGGACCTGGGCGGGGGAGACTCTGATCGAACAGGTGCTGGCTATTCCACGGGACGGACTGCTGGTAATATTGCAGATTGTGTTGGCTTTGTGTGTGGCAAGGCATCTGTGATTGTTTGAATTGGTATGAGCTGCTGCGGGTTGGGTACTGGGGCGTAGAAGTGTTTGCTTGTCGGGTAGTATTGGCTCTTCTGGTTTGATCGGTTTGCGTTGGTTGGAAGGCTGAGTTTTGACGGCAGGATTGAGAGTATCTCCGTGGATTGGGGGCTGGGACGTAATTCGGATGATGGGGGTGGTGGATGGAGAGTGCTGACGAATATGCTGTTTGGGAGCGGCGTACTTTAGGCTCTGCTTGCACTACCACCTCTGGTGCGTCTGCGGAGTTCATAGTCAAGGTGCGAGTGTGACCCTGAACATTACTCTGGCCTGTGGCATCGTAGGGAGACAAAGATTCCTTAGTGGTATCCTCGCTCGAGACGAAAGGATCTTTGATGTCCGGAGTCACGACTTGCTTCTCGACATCAGATGCAGCATTTGGGTCTACGAGGGCGCGAATCTGGGGATCCGACGATAATTCCAATGACTGAGGTAGCGAGAATGGCAGGACCTTGGGCAAAAAGCGCTTTAACGAGGACAGTGATGACTTCTGTCTCTTATGATTCACGCCGTACGCTTTGGGGATCTGCGGGACATATGGAATGGACTGATCTGCAATAAGGGCACGAGTAGAGTTCGCAGTATGAGAATTTACTAGAGTTGAAGTGCGTGAGATGGGGAAGAAGTCGCTGGCCAAAGTCTGTGCTCCGGGAGAGTAACGGGAATTGGTATCATCTGGTGAAATTGATACGCCGGATGTAATATCGCCATATTGGGAGCCGTGATTGGTGTTGAGCTTGAGCTGCGGTCGTAGACGAACAGGTGCTGGATGGCGAATACTTGGATGGCAATTCACCTTGTTTGCCAGAGGGTCCATATACCACGTCTCTTCATGAGCCATGCCGTCGTGTTGACGGCATAGGTTGAGAATTTCGTTTTTGAGGGTCTCGTCGCTGTCCCAGCTGTGGCCAGAAAATACGCTACCATCTCGAAGGGCCTCGCTTCGTTTGTAAATTCCAATCAGGGAAACATCGTAAGGTCGATCACAGAGTTCTCGTGCACAGTAAATAGTACAGACAGTAGCTCTATGTAAGGAATTAGTTGCAAGCATTTAGGGTCATCATAGATATGAGCTTACAATGATACCACTGAAACAAGCACAGAGATTCGGTGAAATATACAGCTCTCACCAACTTTCCAGAAAGTGGCGTCAGTCCCTGATGGTAGACAGTATACTTGATGAGCAGCAAGTACTAAACCTGATACGCTGGCAGCCAGCCACATCATTAAATCAAGTCGAAAGACGTAGGTGCAGACATTGTGCAAGACTGTCTTCTGTTCTCCGAATCCACCGATCTTGTTGTACTGCCAAGCTACTAGGCTCTGAAGCGAAACCAAAGGGATTGTAATAAAAGCCTAGTTGAATTAGTTTAGGACATCGTAAATTGATGGAAAAGGGAAACAAACCGCAACCAGAGACAGAACCACACTTAGGGTCATATTAGAGTCTACCTGGTGTCTGCCGTACAGAAAGAGCACTATCACTGCTTGTAGCATGGATTCAAGGATGAGGAAGTATAGTGAGATGAATATCACAAGTTTAGTCCATGTGCCTTCTTTGCGCGGCGCGGGCGAGAATCCGGTAGCCATTTGGGTGGTACCTCAGGTGCGCAAGCTGCTCTGCAGCGAGGCTAGTTGAAATTATCTGACCTGGCGTACGGCTTAAAGGCCTGATAGGGCAATTGTAGATAGATGGTCGATGTATATGAAGTATAGGAGTGGGGATCACAGCCAACCTAAAAGCTGACTGATCGCGGCTAGTACGTGCCAGAAAAGAGTACTGGAACTAATAGGACTGGAAGGAGTTAAAAGAAGTGTCCTTGAACTGGAAGCGCGTCGACGCGAAGGGAGTGTGGAGGGTGGGTGGAATGTTCGTATGAAGGGTCGCAATGAAGAATCCCAGCTGCCTCCACAACCCACAATGCACGTACAGATTAGTTGGGTAATCTATTCGTTGATCACCCTGGAATGCCATACTGATAAGGAAAGGTAATTGATTTCCAAGGGTGTGTTTGGTTAAGAGACTTGAGCTCCATCCCTGTATGAAGTAGATCACAACGGCTCAACGTCACTTCGATTCAAACCCTGAAAATGAACCTCTCGGAGATTTTCAATAACTCAGTCTTTATTTTTTTAGTGATTCAGTTTGATAATCTCACTGTGACAGGATTGAAATCTCACTCAGTCAAGACAGGGAGTTGTGGTCTTCCCTATAAGGGCGAACAGGGTCAACCCCTCGATGACTTCATTTTCTCCTCTCCCAGAGTCCACGGAGGTATTGCATGTCAAAGTCAGATGTCATAGTTAATAGAATTTCCATGATTAGTCACTTCTTTTCTGGAAATCTCTTCTCATCCAATTTCTTAATGCCACGTGATCCGAGGGGTGAAGCCGCGAGGGTCAAAAGCATCCAGGAGTTTCGAATATTTGAACGTATAGGATCGCGCATGAAACTTACTTCTTGTCTCTCATGCGGTATGCCTTTCAATGTGTCCAGTTTTCCATGGCCTGGCAGCATCGTTCAAATCTAAGCACCGGAGCAGCAAGGCACAGAACCTGTCACACAATAGAGTGCATTTTCTTCAGCGACATAACATAACCCATTATCTCGCTGTTTCAACCTGCAAACGCAAATTTGACTGACCCCTTTGTGCTGGTTGAGTGAAGCATGTAAATGTGGCCGCCATCATCTGTCGGGTCTGGGTTCTCTGAGCGATCTCTTGCTGTCGTGATATACAAGATGTCGTGATTCCTGCCTCCCCATGTCGGACAAGTTGGATACATTGCCGGCATTTTGACTTTTTTTGACACTCTCCTTCAGGGCTAAAGACCATGATATGACTAGTCCCATAGACAGACACCCATAAATTACCAACAAGACTATGAAATGTTAGCAAGGGACTTTGTTCAATATGATGGTCAAACACACTCTGTCACCATGCCATCTGGTTCGCCGCCAGTCTCTCGAAAGTTGACCAGAGTACGTTGATTCGATATACTTCCACTTGGCAAATCAAAGTCAAAAGCTGTGATTTTCATTCCCACAGAGTCATTGAGATACACTGGCAAAATATCTGTCAGTCGCTGTCGTACCATCAATCAGGAGTATGGTGATTCTCACTGGTCTTATTGTCTGGGCTCCATTTCACTCCATTCCCGCAAATAATACCTTGAGACACCATGAGATGCAGACTTCCATCCGGATCATACCTCCAAAGTCTCCCCTTCGGATTTAAGTAATCGGCAGCTTGGGAGGTCGACGTCGCCTCAATATCGATCTCTGCCAACCAGAAGCGCCCAGCTGCGTCAACACCGCCGTCATTAAACCTGCGTTTGCTTCGCTCTGAGGTAGGGATAATTTCACAAGCAACCTCAATTTCGCCACTTGCCTCATCCAGGAAACAAACTCCTTGGTAATAAGCCGCGATATAACTACCGGGCTTATCGCGGAATGCAGCGACAGTCACGCTATCGGAGAGAGGAATGACACGTGCGTCGCTTATCGGAAGACCAGAATCTGGATCAACTGGGAGTATGTAGAGCTCACTGGGTGAAGAGAGACAGTCAAACCAGTGTAAGGTAGAGTCGCTTGCTCGATAGATTGGGGCTTCCGCGAGGACCATGCGACCCTTGGGTGCACGGTAGATGGGTGGTCCTGTAGTGAGAGAAGATTCATTCATACTGGGGTTGATTAAGCAGTAATTCAAGAATCGGAGTTTTAGTTTCTAATGTATTAATGAGCTGGCGCTGCAAGATAGATGGAAATGTGTAGGTGTTGACTTTCTCCATTGCCCCGCAACATTATGATCGAGAAATGAAGATGACTCAATACATTCAAGATAGGAGGTCACTTCAAAATCAAAGTTGATACCGTCTTTCTTCAGGTTTTGACTAATGGCGAAATGAAGGATAGCTCAGGGTTGTCTTGGAAAGTTCCTGTATAGATAGTTGCACATTATCTCCTTTTCTCTCCAAGTCCTTAGCTGCTTCAAATGCTACCTAATTCATTTTACTTTCTCAATGCCACAAATTAACGTCTTTGTCTTCGATTTCATGCCCATGTGCTAGATACCTAGTTAGCAACATGGCGACTTGGCAACCTAGGAAGACCCAGGAAGGCCCACCAGAACATGGCTTTGACGGATACAGAATGGTGGTTCCTTCAGGGCCATCAATCGATGGTACGGACCAAATCCAAGGCTTGCCCTTAGATCATAACCCTACTGTGGATTCCATGGAAAGCAATGCCCTCGCTTCCAATTTTGGAAATGGCGCAAAATTGTTTGTTACATGTGGACGCAATAAACTTGAAATTTTTAAAAGAAAGAGGAACCAAATCTCATAAAAATCAATAAATGAATTACATGTGTATGTGTGTATGTGTGTACGACGTAATGACTAAAGGAGCAAAACAACACAAAGTAGGGTGGTGCTGACTAAATAACTGATTATTCTTAGACATGAACATTCAAACCCCCTGGAAAAGTCCACGGGAATACCTGGAAATAGTCGAGAAGAACTGTGTGGCATCAAGCCAGATCATGCCATTCCTCCGAGGTCGTTGGAATTTTCTATTGATTTGAGAATCAAAGTCCGCGGCTGAACGCCAATTGCCGAAAAATGACTCGTAGGGTGCTTGATGATTTGGACAAAGGTACTCGAACAGAGCCAAACTATTACTGCCTAATAGTATATTAATCTAATTTGCTTATTTTGGTGGAAACAGGTTTTAAAAACACTTTTAGGTTACAGTTTTTAAGCGCTGTACGGAGTAGTTGCCTAAGTATCCTAGGTAGCCACCGGTCCTCAAAAGGTCTTAGAGGGGTCCTAGAGAGGCGGTTCATATACTATGTAATATTTCCACCAATGGGATTAGGTATAAAATGTCGCAACTAAGAAACTTTTCCACTAAGAGCCCACATAGTATGGACTATTTATGACTCCTACTTCACTAGTTAGAGGGTCATATTTGAAAGCGAGCTCCTAGGCTCGAAGGCCCGTGGCATATATTCGCAGAAGCTTGCACGGATGAATCGGAGGTTGATCTCCCGTTAGTTGGGAATATCATCGATGATTTTATCAGGGGACGTGTGGATCCTACACCTGAAAATAACCTTGGAACCTTGAAGATTTCGAATCTGGGAAAGTTTACCTAAGTCTTAATTCGGACATGCATATTCACAGTTGTTGCAACTGATTAGATCTACGTCCCACTTTTCACAGCCACCGGGCTTCAAGGGGCGTTAATGAAGTATTTTCTTCCTTGGAGCAGGGCTGTCTTGGGCGCGGAGACTGTCCAAGGTGGGACGATGGAGGTCGAGACCAGTCACTTCGCACTATACCTAGCTGGGACTCCTAACAAAAAAGCGGATTGGATGAGCCACTACCGGAAGATTACCGCTGGCCGAACAAGTCCGTAGTTTTAGTGGGTTTGCGAAGATACTTCGGCCATTACTCTGCGCCTAAAGGTTATACTCCGTACACCCAACGCCACCCCCCTTAGCTTCCACAATCAAGCCACAGAGAAAAGAAATATAGAAGTTGAATATACCATAGGGCTGCATTCAAGGGTATGTTAAATTCAGTTTAAGAAATTGTAAGGGAGTTGGATTTAAAGACAGACAAAAAGTAGGCAGGAATATGGGAATATGTGGTTAAAAGTAGATAAAATCGACATTTTTAAGCGAGCGGATCCTTCCGTTTGAGCATTTTGATTGGTGTTCCTGGATGAACCCAATCTCCCATCACCTGGTCTCTTCTTCTCCTTCCATTCCTATTCCATTGCGATATATAGGCATGTTGAAAGGTATAGTACAACTCTGGGAATAAACAACAAGCCATAATGCGAGTTTATCTCAATCAACCCGCATTTTCATTGCTTTTTCTCTTTCCCACAGGGCACAAGCTTGCGCCAGTTTCTGGAACCAACGTTGAACCCTGGACCCTGGCCAATGACTCGGCCCAAGCTTCGGGAGTTGTCCTGAACGGGTTAGGTGAACTGTAGGTTCATGGCACAGTGGGTCTAACCGGAGATTGACATTGGTTTACTAAGCTTTAGCACGTCTCGTATCTCGTTCCGTTTAGGATGAGCCCGAACTCTATATACATTTGCGGCTCTGAACTATACCAGTCTGTCCATACACTGGATTTTCGGCGTACCAAATCATTTCGCCTTATCATGCTAAATGTGGAATTACTGCAGGGGTACCACTTCATTCGACCCAATTGACTCCATTTTTGAGCCACGCCCCGCCATAATTCTTATGATCCAGGATTCCAAATGTTGCTAGCTGCTAGTGCCTAGAATATGGATGAAGTATCCGCGCTTGACTCGTCCGAGTGGGTGGAGTGATCCTCAATGTGGAAGCCGTCGAAACTACACCAAATAATAATGACCCTGAATACGTCTCCATCCGAGTAATGAACTGAAACGTGAGATCAGTGCTCGATTGGTACGTCTCACGGTCCACTGGGTATATGTATAATAACCTATTTCTCTAAATCCGTGGTGCTCTTCTCTCTTTCCTCCCTCCTCCCTCTCCTGTCTTTTACTTCACAGGCATCTGGATTTCACTCCCTCTCTTTGAGTGATTTTCCAAGCAGAACTTTTATCTGCGTCCTTTCGTTGATCGTTGATCATTACAGGCTCTAAAGCCCCTGTCACTCTTTTGCCATTGGCATAATCGTTCATTATTAATAATAAAGATGGTTGGAAAGACTATCTTCGCTGCAGCTGCAGCTTCGACCTTGGCGTCTTCTGCTCTTGCCTTCGATGCGGATTTGAGCTCTAACCTCGCCGTCTACTGGGTTTGTCTTCGCCAATAATATTTTTGATAATCCTGATTCATTAACATGTCATTACAGGGACAAGGGCATGCCCAGCAGAGACTAGCCCATTTCTGTGAGGAGACATCGATGGATATCATTAATATCGGATTCATCAACTCCTTCCCTAGCGCCCGAAATGAACTGCCCGGGTCCAACTTCGGAAACCAGTGTGGTGGAACATACCCCAACTCAAATTTGCTTGGACCCTGCGAATATCTGGTGGAAGATATTCCCATTTGCAAGGGTTTGGGAAAGACTATCTTGCTGTCCATCGGCGGTGACTCTGCCAATGAAAAGCTTGCGGATGATGATACCGCTGCTTGGTTTGCCGACTTCCTTTGGTACTCGTTTGGTCCTTATAATGCCGCTGCTATGGAAGAGAATGACCTCTACGTTCGTCCGTTCGGGTCCGGCGATGAGAACTATGTTGATGGTTTCGATTTCGATATCGAGAACAGCGGAGACACTGGTAACGCCAATCCCCCTACTTTCGCATCACGGCTGCTAACAAACAATAGGATATACTGCTATGATCAATCAGCTCCGCACCCGTTTCACAGAGTCTGAAAAGACATTCTACATCTCGGGTGCACCTCAGTGCTCCATCCCTGATAAGCAGCTCGGCGATGCCATCAGCAGGGCGCAGTTCGACTTCATCTGGGTTCAGTTCTACAACACTCCTGCATGTGCTGCTACCGCTTACTTCGAATCTACTGGTGGTTTCAACTTTGACCAATGGGTGGATGTCATCCAGGCTTCAGACTTGTCTTCTGATGCTAAGCTCTATATTGGACTTCCCGCTGCATCCGATGCCGCTTCCGTGGGCTACATTGATGCTAATTTAGTCGGAACCTTGGTGGACGAGTACTTGAACAAGTACCCCGCTGTTTTTGGTGGTATCATGCTTTGGGAGGCCACCTTCTCCGAAAACAACAAAAATAGCGCTGGCCAAACGTATTCTGAACAGGTCAAGGACATCCTTCTCGAGATTGCTCCTCCTGTTGTTACTCCTACACCTACACCCACACCCACCCCCAGTGTGACCCCAACCCCCACCCCGTCTCAGGTTGCCACTTCTAGCAGTGCTGCAGCCGCTAGCTCGTCGGTAGCATCGTCTTCAAGCCCCGCTATCTCTTCCAGCTCCAGCGTTGTGGTTGCCTCTTCTAGCTCCGCTGTTGTCTCTAGCCCCGCTGCTGATACCACCCCTGCTGCTTCGAGCCCTGTTGCCTCCGCTTCAAGCTCCGCCGTTGCTTCGAGCTCTAGCGTTGTCGCATCCAGCCCTGCCGCCTCCGTTTCTAGTTCTGCCGTTGCCTCTAGCGCTAGCGCTGTTGTATCCAGCCCTGCTGGTGGTGCTTCTAGCTCTATTGCTGCCTCCAGCCCTGCTACCTCTAGCCCTGCTGCATCTAGCCCTGCTGCATCCAGCCCTGCTGGTGATGCTTCTAGCTCTGTTGCTGCCTCCAGCCCTGCTGCCTCTGTCTCTAGCTCCGCCGTTGCCTCTAGCTCCAGCGTTGTTGCATCCAGCCCTGCTGGTGGTGCTTCTAGCTCTGTTGCTGCCTCTAGCCCTGCTGCTTCTAGCCCAGTTGCCTCCGTTTCTAGCTCTGCCGTTGCTTCTAGCTCTAGTGTTGTTGCATCCAGCTCTGCTGGCTCTTCTCACGTTGCTTCTAGCCCTGCTGCCACTGGCCCTACTGGCTCCGCTTCTACCGCTGTTGCCTCTGGCTCTGGCTCAGCCATCTCCTCGAGTGCTGTTGTGTCCACAATTCCCGTTGTTGTCCCCACCAAGTCTGCTTCATCCGCTTCGACATCCGGTGCTGTGACCTCTACTGGAGCAGGCTCTCCTTACTCGACCACCGAGACTATTTACAGTACCTCAACTGTCTTTGACTGCCCGTCCAGTGTTACTAACTGCCCTGCTCGCACATCCACCAGCGCTGCCAGCACCACCGTCTACATTGTGACCCCCACTCCGGCTGTTCCCTCTGTCACCGATTCTGCTAGCACTGGAGCCGCTCCCTTCGTCACCACTGAGACTATCTACCACACCTCAACTGTCTTCGACTGCCCATCCAGTGTTACTAATTGCCCCGCTCGCACAACCACCAAGGCCAGTACCACTGTCTACACTGTGACCCCCACCTCGGCTGTTTCCACCATCACTGGATCGCCCGAGACTGTCACCGCTGTCATTACTACCTCTTACACTGATATCTGCTCCACTGGTTTCACCACCATCACCACTACACTCACCACTTACTACTGCCCTATCACCGCCGCCGAGGCTACTGCTACTGGTACTCTGACCAACCCCGCTGGTGCTGGCGCCACCGCGACTGCATCAATCCCCGAGGGCTGGACCACAACTGTCACTGTCTGCACTAACTGTGCCGCTACCCCTACCACCGTCACTCTCACAAAGCCCATCGTCACTGCCACCACCACCGCTGAAGTTACCTCAGAGACTGCTAGTACCGGTGCCTCGGCCGCTGAGACCACCAGCTGGTCCACCACTGTGTCTACTACTTCCGTCCCCGCCGAAGCCTCGGGTAGCACTTCCACTAGCACTGTCACTCTGGTCTATGTCCACCCCAGCTCCAAGGTTCCCAGCCATACCCCTGGCCGTGTCCGCCCAGCAGCCAGCCACACTCCCTCATTCTCAGCTCGTCCTGTGAGCAGCAGCGCTAAGGTTCCTGCCACACCTAGCACTACTGCTAGTGTCTCAGCCGTTTACACTGGAGCTGCTTCTAAGTCCGCTGTGAAGTTCTTCGGTGTCGTTGTCGCCGCTGTTCTCTCTATTATGTTGCTGTAAATTTCTATGATTTTTTCCGATTCTTGAGATTAGTTCCTTTCTTACCCGATCTTGGCTTGTGTGCTTATGTGCTCCGAGGCTTGCTGAGTGATTCCATTCTATGAACATTGTTATTTACCCTTTTCTTGTTGGAGGACTCGTTTACGTGATTTATTAAAATACACTTCAGTGATATCAATCAAAGCATCTATTTTCTTTTCTCTCATTATTACTCCCATACATAGTCCTGCTTATTCCTAAGGTCCTTCCGAGTTTGCCAAGTTTACTCGAGAATATTATACTTGATCGAAATAAATTCAATGTATATCTCACGGGAGCGTTGATACCTGGGTGCTTCCACGGTTTGAATTAGGGCTTAGAATTTTCCAAACTTCCACGATTCAAACACTTCTGTAATATCACTCTGTGAGCTCACTTGATTTTAACTCATGTTCATCTTACTTCACTTCTGTATTTTCTATATTTTACACTCGACTCTACCTAGGTAAGTACTTAGGTAAAGAAAGGAGGGTAGCTGGTCACATACCATAAACATATATGAGGTGTGGCTTATTTTCAGCGGCTTCAGCTGCAGTTCGACATTTCATGTGTACCGAGCCTTTTACCTAGGTAATTTACTACAGAACTCACATCCATGTGTCCAGTCTTGATAGAGCTGTAGCAACATTCAAAGAGAGTCAAATGTCGGGGATGGGATACTGATATCAGTTTAGGATAATAGCATTACAAGGTTGTTTCCATCGAAACTTAGAAAGGATGTTTGATACCTAACCACTTAAGCATGAGTATAAGGTGAAATTGCGCTTACTTTCAAGGCTTTAACTATTTCTCATTCTTATTCCCTCGACATTACCTGATTATTCTCAGATATAGTTATATATTCAGATACTAAGGTTCACAACTAAGAAATATTCAATTTCTAGCATTCAAGTAGTTTCTCACTATTCTTAAATATATAAGACTTAGAATGATCATCAGATTCATGATACTTGACTTGATAGACATTGCGAAGGAGCACAATCTTTCGCATAGTCTCTCCTGCCATAGAGTGTCGGCGAACACCAAGTAGGTCTCTGATACTACTAAATAGTCTCTCTACTGATACTTCTGCTGCTGGAATAGCTAGATAGTCTCTTGCAGCTGCTGCCATTCTTGGGTATTCACCTTTATGGGCATTCCACCATAAAAATAGCCAATCCTTTTGACTAGTCATGGTAGGATCAATCTGGATAGGTGCTTCATAAAAATACCGATCAATGTCTGAAAATTTAGGTTAAGGAACTTGTAGTTTTTTTAAAAACACGAGCCTCAAGACCTAGTAGGTGTGAAGGGCTAAAGCTAATCTTAGATTCAGAACTAGCTAGGCACATGCTGTTTACAAAATCCTTGAAGAACGTAAACAATTCGGGATGGAATCGTGAGGTATGCGGTTTGTCAAATGGAGGTCGACTACCAAGGAATAGTGGATTCTAGTGGGCAAATGAGAACGCAGTATGCGTACCAAAGTGTGTATGTGTATCGATTGTAGAATGGAGGAATCCCATTGTGGGATTCCAATGCTGACTAAAATAGACTAACTGTAAATGGAATCGGGCCTTTGACACACCCCTTCAGTTTTCACCCCTCCAAGGTGTAAACTGGCCTTAAACACAGGGCCGATTTGGGCTGTTGAATCGCCTCAATTCCCTCTAAAAACGCAGTCTATATCCTGATTTAGGCAGTTGATGCTCTAAATCCTCTGAATCTAGGGGTAAGACCCTAGATTAGAGCAGTTCACTTATATCTTCCAAATTGAGAAGACGAATCCAGGCGTCAAATCTCTGTTTTGGCAAGATTTTCGTGAAGCCATCTGCCACCATAAGCTTTGTTGGGACCCATCTGATCTTAATACGTCCTTCCTGCACCTCCTGGCGTAGCCAGCTGCGGTGTATGTCTATGTGACGTAGCTTGGTCTCAAATGCTCCCTCTTTAGTGAGCAGATCAACTGTTCTCTGGTTGTCGCAGTCGAGAGTTATATTGTCGTATTCCATTTCTAGTCCAACATGGACTAGTACTCTCTTCCACCATACCAGTGTTTTGGCTGCGTCCGATAAACCAAGCAATTCTGCTTCGGTAGTGGACGTCGTCACCGTCTTTTGTTTAGACGCCTTCCAATCTATAGGGCCGCCGAAGAGCATGCATATCATGCCTGCAGAGCTCTTACGGTCTTTATGGTCACCATAAGATGCGTCACTGGCGATGGTTAGTGCCGATGTGCCTATAGATTGGTAGGTTGCGTCGTTGGTCTGATCCTTATTTCGGCCGAAATCAGGGTTAGAGGTGTCATCAGAATAGTGTCCTAAACCATATCTAAGTGCTCTGTTCTTGGTGTGGAACAGATAAGTGATTGTCCTGTCTGCCGCAGCAGAATGCTGCGGACCTGGGTTCTGCAGGAATTGGGCCAGTTTAGTGGCTGGTTTGGCTACATCAGGCCTGGTTATAGTAGCTGCATACTGTATTGAACCAATCTTTTCCTGGTAGAGTTTGATCGCATCAGGCGACGCAGTTCCTTCATATGGTAAGAGTTCTTTAATTGGCATTGGTGTAGCCACTGATGGTCGGTTATTTAGGCCGAAACGGGCAGCCATACTATCAATATAGCTGTCCTGGCATAGCCAGAGCTTGCATTGTTTACGATCGCGTACAATGCGTATGTTCAGGAACCACTCTGCGTCGCCGTGATCAGTCAGTTCCCATGCTTTTTCGAGTTCCGATTCAAGCTGCCTTGTGTATTGAGCTTTTGTCTTATGGCTAGCAATCAGGAAGTCATCAACATAGAAGAATATTATGACTCCGTCGCCTATAAAGACATATGGATCCTCTAGTAACTGTGTAAGACCTAGGCCTAACAGGACTCTAGAGGCCTCCTTCTGCTAGAGCTTTGGTGAGACGCGTAATCCGTATAGTGCTTTATGGAGGTGCCAAACTTGGCCATTGGTGCTCCTGAAGCCAGAGGGAAGCTCTGTGTAAACCTCCTTATCTTCAAGGAAGCTGTTCAGGAAAGCTGCGACAGCATCTCTTTGACATACATCTAGATCGAATGTAGCTATTATTACGAATAGCATGTGTATAGTTTTGATGGCTAGTGTAGCTGAACGTTTCTCTTTAGTAGATATCCACTCTATATCTCCGCGTACGCAGATATGAGCTTTACACTTCAGGAGTAAACCATTCTCATCAAACTTGTAAGCATATACCTATTTCAAGGGCAGAATCTGCTTTGATCTATCGTTTGGCCTTAGGACGACTGAGAATGTGTGCTTTTCAGTAAGACTATCGATCTCCTTTTACATTATAGTATTAAACGCATCTTTAAACGCATGCCCTTTTACCTCCTTGAATATGTTCGGAGGTGGTGGAAGGTCGTCTCTGTACATCTGGCTCGCTGGTTTCTGCACCATTCTGGTGTAGAATATATAGTAATAAGCTTTAGATTGTGTCTTAAGCTCATCTGGATCCTTATCTGGCCGCAGCATAAGCTATATAAAGTAGGCATCATCTCTCTTGGTTGGATGGCGAATACGTTTACCAGGGATAATGTTAGACTCGTCTAAGTCTAGACCAATCTGTCGGAATTGTGGTTCACTATCTTAAGTAGTAAACAGGGGCGAATCCCCTTTAGTTGGCTCTATAGGAGCCACCCCCACCCCTTGATTTGGCACTGAGTCTAGCGAATCTGGTGAATTCGGTGTGTCGTCAGTTATATCAGGCTCGATTAGGTCTTCTGGGAATGTCCTAGGAATCTAGTCATGTTCTATTGGTATAGGGTATTGTGGTGTATTTAGTCCAGGATTTCGGCCGAAAAATGGGTTTTCGGCATTGATGGATACACCAGACTGGTTGCTTTTTCTAGTAAATGCGTCAGGTTGTTGAACTAATCGAGCATCGAGAGAGAGGACAGGACTATTAGTATCCTGATCAGATAGATATGAATGGTCAACTACTTATGTTTCAGGTAACATCTCCTGTAAATTGGTCTATAGGTGGGTTTATAGGACTCCAATCTCCCTCTAGAGGACGTCGTCAGCCTCTTCTTTAGTCAGGATAACTGGCTCAGGACCAGAAAAAACAGGCATCTCTACTAGCTTATATGGTATAAAATCAGCTATATATCGCCTATTCTCGTCGAAAACGACGTCTCTGACTGGCCTGACTTGACCACCCCTTGAATCTAGAAACCAGATTCTCCAGACATTAGATGCTATATATCCAACAAGGAATCCAATCTCTGCCCTTCTCAGCATCTTGTCTGATTTCGGAATCTTTTGGATTCTGCAGTAAGCTAGACTGCCGTATAGACGTATGTTCGCGAGATTCGACTTAGGCAGTGTCGTTCGTTTGTCCTATAGGTCTGAATTGGCGTATTTGCGCGTCTCTTCCCAGGGCACTATCCAGGAACCATTTGCGTTCGTTGGCGTACGATTTAGTATGTAAACCGCAGCCTTTACCGCCTCTGGCCATAGGCTGATGGGGAGCTTTCCTTCCTCTAGGAGGGCCCTGGCGCGTGTAATTATGATGCCGCCTGCCCGTTTAATTAGGCCATTCATCTCAGGATGTCCTAGAATTGAATGCGTCACTATAATACCTTGATCTGCCAGAAACCGCTCTACAGTAAGGCCTGCAGCTTTCTCATTGTTGTAGTAGAATGCTCGAATGGGTAAATTCCACCAGTTTTTCAGGAGTTCAATGAAGTGTCGAATCGCATCATTTATCTGGTTCTTTGTATAATAGGTGAAGACCTAATGGAAGTGGATTCCGTCAACATAAAAATGGCAAATCCAACGCTCTTCATTATACACGATTGACATTTGGATCAGGTCTAGAGAGATCTATCCAAATCGACCATACCTATGTCCTAGATGACGTCTAGATATCTGTCTAGGAGCTCTAGTAAGACTACAAACAGAGCATAGGCTCTATATTTGGCCATTTATATGGTCAGTGACTGGTTTAGTTAAGTC